CTCCCCAGGCTACCATGAACCACCAAAAATCCAAGTGGAGGGAAGAGATGCTCTTTGGTTCACTCCTCTGACCAGCCTGCAAATCTGGTGACTGGGGATCACCAGAATTTGGAGAAAATATATTAAAAATCCTTATTCCACTACCATGATTTGGCTGGAACATGCTTTAAAATACGCAAGTGACCTGGGTGATGAGGGATCACTAAATATTTGGGCATCTGGTGACCAAACTAGTAATCAGGGAAAGAGGGAGATGGGTTGAAAGGATTCCAGCCTTTCTGTTCTCCTTTTAGAGAAAATGAGTTACAATGATGGATGGTGAGGTCTGAAACCACAGGAAAAAAAATAAAAGGAAAATAACAAATGCTGAAAAACAGTTTAAAAGGGCAGAGTCTAAAAGAAGACTCAGTTCTTGGCTTTGATTCAGCCTAAGAAAAGCTGAAGATTCCAGGCACAGGGGAATTGTGGTGGCATGATTTACAAGATTCTGTCATCAGTGCAATTAAAACAACCACGCTGATGAAGTAAATGCAGCAGGAAACCACTAATTCAGTCATTGTGTTACTACCAGGGAAGAGCCTGACAGCTACCTGTAACACCATTCCTACACCAGGCTTAGGATCCACTACAGGGATCTGTGTAACACCAGCAGAAGAGGGAGAAATTAGAAATATTCCCTTTATTCTTGTTGTGTTATTGGAAATGAGCTGGAATACTGGAATAAATTGGCCTAAATGAGTTAGTGTTGTACCCAGAGCCCTTTGTTAGGGTTGCTAACACTTCATACCCACAATAAAGTCTTGATTTTCCATACAAACAGTGGAACTTCATGGAATATTTGCTCAGTGCTCTACTCTAATAACTGAACTGACTGTTAAAATTTAGACGCAAAAAAGACTGAGATTTGTGAGGAGTTTGCATCTTGGCAGGAAAAGCACCCCGGAATTAATCTGTGTAAGGGAGGAGATAAAAAGCTTTTTTTTTTTTTTTTTTTTTTTTTTTTTTTTTTTGTCATTCAGAAGTCATAAAATCAGATTAGCAACTGAGGGAGTGAGGTGGTGATTGTTTCGAGTTCTACACTCTGGAAAGCAAAACCTAAGTAAGGAAAAAAAGAAAATTATCCATTTATAATGTGGGAATACCAGCAGGACTTGGACTAGAAATCATTACAAAGCAGCATCAGAACAGAGCATTTCTCTCCTGATTCCCATCCTGCTGCAGTGTCTGCTGCTTTCTGAGTGTGATTCCCTCCCCTGCTCCCCTGGCAGTTTGTGCCTGACCCTGATAAACCCACGGGCAGCCCAAGATCCACTGCAGAATGTGGAATCCCTGCCAGCCATGGCCACACAATGGGGATTTCTGTTCCTTTTTTGGTTGTTTCCCTCGCAAAGTTCCTCAGCTCTCAGCCACTCTCCCAGGACTAGAGAAAAAGTGGAATATGTCAGAGTAAAAAAAATATCAAGGAAATCTTTGGTAGCAGTTTGTTTTAAATGCATGGACTGCTACAGCATTCCCACCTAATCACTGGGTTCCTTCACCTCAGGCTCCAGCCCTCCATTCCCTGCCCAGCTGTTTCCCACTATGTTTGAATTTATTATTCAATTTAATATTTATTTTTATGTTCAGAGTTCCTCAGCCTTTCCCTTTTGTGAAAGACAGGAAACCTGGGGTCCTTTATCTCCTTACATGTATTTTTATGTGGCAGAAAGGAAAAAAGGTATCAAAAAACTATTAAAATAATCAAAAAGTTTAAAGGTGCAGCTAAATCTGATTTTCACTCTATTTTTCTCCCCAAATCCTCAGTTCCTGCCTTCTTCCCCTTCAGAAAGCTGCTCTGTGTCCTTCCCTTGTTCACTGCTTTTTCCTGCTGCCTCCTTTTCCCACCACATGCCTTGGAGCTATCTGGCCTTACCAAGTTATGGATCTCATACTATAAACCGGGTGAAAAGGAGAATTTTCCCTGCATCCATGAGGACTGCAGCTCAGCTGCAGGGCATTTCCAAGTGCTGGTGCCAGTCTGTGTGCTGCTGTCAAAGTCTAGTCCTTTCTAAAAACCAAATTAAAAGAAACTTATCAGACCTTGCAAAAATAACTTATCAGACCTTGCCTCCTACATGAAACTCCACAAAGCAATTAGACAACAAACACAGAAAATATTGTGGTTTTGCTACATTTTTAAAACGCTTTCCTCAGGGAAAAGGAACTTCTTTAACATTAAACCAATGCATGAGACAGTGTAAAGATACCCGAGCTACCACTTTTCCCTGCTGTTTCACCTTTCCAGTCTACTCCAGTCAGATATCCTTCACTGACTCATTAGCTGAAGAGCAGACGAGCCACTTCTACGTATGCTCCCTGCAAAAACTCTTCCACTTCTACATGCCCCTTCCCATACTTTGCTCCCTTTCGCGTTCCTCACCTTTTCTGCCCACATCTCGTGACTCTTTGGTTAAACTCAGGGCTTTTATGTCCCTCACACAAGCTCTTTGTGCTGCTAAAGCTACACCGGGCAGCAACTGCAGCCTTTCACCCACTTGGCCATAGAGCAGAGCCTGTTCTCCTCTCTTTGCTGGGGCTGGTTTGTGTCCCAGGAGCCAAAGAAAACTTGGAACAAACCCTGCCTGAAGCCTGACAGCCTGGCTGGCTGTGCTGCAGGAGGCTAAGAGCAACAGGGATTATTTTAGAAGCATCTTTCAATGGCTTGTCATTAAGTTATGGTGCAATTTTCCATGGGAAATATCCAGGTAGGGAGTTCTGGGAGCTGATTTTGCTTGTCCATCTACAGGTAAATTCCAAAATGGACCAACCTCCTTTTCAGCTTATTTCATAGAATCAACATAGAATCCAGGAATGGTTTGGGTTGGGAGAGACCTTAAAGCTCATCCCATTCCAACCCCCTGCCATAGGCAGGGACACCAGCCACTATCCCAGACTGCTCCAAGCCCCCTACAACCTGGCCTTGGACACTTCCAGGGATGGGGCAGCCACAGCTTCTCTGGGTAACCTGTGCCAGGGCCTCAGCACCCACACAGGGAAGGATTTCTTCCTGAGTTGTACATATGCAGGCACACCTACAGGACTAAAATCCCCAAATTCAAAGAACTCAGCAAACTTTTCCCTCATCACAAGCAACATGTTTCATGTCCACCTGAATGTGGTGTCTGGCTGTAATTTAGTCTGATCCTTGTCACAGGGCTATTTTGAACCACACTAAATAAAACTTGCAAGTCTTAGCAAAACATTCCTGTCATTTCTGACTTTCCTCACCCCACACCACAGGCAAAGACTGTTTAACAGGCTGAAGCCATCCTGCAGCATTAATGCCAGGCAGAAACAGAGGAAAGCTCTAGCATGGCTTGGCACAAAGCTAAAGAGGAGAGATTTGGACTGGAAGAAATCCTTCCCTGTGAGGATCCTGAGGCCCTGGCACAGGGTGCCCAGAGAAGCTGTGGCTGCCTCATCCCTGGAAGTGTTCCAGGCCAGGTTGGATGGGGCTTGGAGCAACCTGGGAGAGTGGAAGATTTCCCTGTCCATAGCAAGGGAATGGGACTGGATGGTCTTTCCCACCCAAATCCTTCTGTGATCCTATGGCTAACCCTGTGGGTTCCTTCACCTGCTTAGGCCCAGCCTCTGCCATTCCAGAAAGGATTAATAATCCTCCCATTTATTCATGCAAAATCATCACAGAAAAAGATTCCTATTGCCAGGAAAACTGGGGATCACACCTGCCTGGCCCTGGAAAGTGGCCACAGGTGCTCTCAGAGGTAAACAAAGCCGCAGGGAAAGAGGTATTTTTGTGGTATTTTTGTCCTTGCCGCATCACACCTTGCATAACCTAACACAGGAATTGCGTACAAGAAAGTGCCCCACGGCAAGGAAAAGATGTAAAGATGGCATTATCCCACCTGTTAATGAAACCATGGCCTGGGGCAGGAGAGTTCAACCAGCTTTGCTTGTGCCACCGCAAAGCTGTGAAGTCTCCAGGCAAAAACAGAGCAAAACAATGCAGATTTTGGGCAGAAGAGCAATAGCTCATTTCTGAGCTCAGCAGTGAATAGTGGGGTGAGAAGTCTGTGGGGAAAAAGGCAGAAAAATGAGAAAAAAGCAGGAGGAAAAAATATGAAAAAGAGGGGGAAAAGAAAAAAGGTAAAAAAGGTACAAAAGAGTAAAATTAGTAAAAAGAAAGGTTAAAAATAGTAAAAATGGTAAAAAATAGTAAAAGGAGAGGGGAAGGAGGAGAAAAGGGTGAAAAGAGAGGAAGCAGGAGAAGGGGTGAAGGGAAAAAAGAGGGGAAAAGGAGTGGAAGGAGAAAAGGCAGAAAAGGGAGAAGACAGGAAGAGGAGAAGGGAGGAAAAAGAGTGAAAGGGGGAAGAAAGGGGGAAGAGATGACAAAAAGAGGAAAGAGGGAAGAAGGGGAGACGAGAAGGGGGAAAGGTAGGAAAAGTGGGAAAGAGGAGAAGGAGAAAAAAGGGGATAAAGGGAGGGAAAAAAAGGGAAAGGAGTGAAGTGGGAAAGGTGGGGAAGGGGAGGGGGAGAAAAGGAAATGAAGAAAAAAAAGAAAACAGGGAAAAGGAAGGGGGGGGAAAAAGAAGGACAAGAAAAATAACGCGGAAAAAAAAAAAAAAAAACAAAAAAAACAAAACACCAAGAAACAAAAAAAAACCGGCGGGGGCAGCTCTTTACATCGGGAACCAAAAAATCCCGAGGACACGAAGCTCGGAGCGGGAGGTGGAGGAGGAGGAGGAGGAGGCGAGGGGTTCCCGTCCCCCGGCGGCCCCGGCCGCTTCGAAAGATCGGGCCGGGCCAATGGGCGGGAGCGGGAGGGCGGCGGGACAGCCGCGATTGGCGCTGGGGCTCGGCTGATCCCGCCGGGAGAGCCCCGGCACCGGGCGGAGCGGGGCGGGGGCCACGCCGGGCAGAGGGGGCGGGATGACGGGCAGGGGGAGATGCCCGCGGGGAGGAGGATGCTGAATTTGGGGAGGGGGGGGGATGCCGGGATGGAGGAGAGTGCTTGGGAGAAAGGATGATGCTGGGAGAGGGAGGGGATGCCGAGGGAGGAGAATACCCGTGGGGGGATGCCCGAGAAGGGGGTGCGAGGGGGCGTGTGGGTGGAAGGGGCCGAGCTTCCCTCAAAACACTGGGCTATGTGCGAGGATAAAGTGCATCAGTGCGGGGACAGCCAGCCTAGGGGGCACTTCCGAGCAGGCGGAGAGAAGCGAGAAACAAAGAGAAGGGAGGACATGAGCGAAGGCGAAGGGAGGGAGCAGGGGATCAGCTGAGTTCAATCCCGCCAGGAAGGCTCTTCCCCTCCGGCACATCCCTGAGAGGCGCAGGGACAGGTTCTCCCCCCTCCTCTCCCCCTTTGGTCAAGAAGACAAAGAATCGAGTGGCCCCATGGGGAAAGGGGGTGAGCAAGGGGGGGACTCGGGGGAGCCGGCGGCGCAGATCCGCTTCTACACCTGGGAGGAGATCCAGAAGCACAACCTGAGGACGGACAAGTGGCTGGTGATAGACCGAAAGGTTTATAATATCACCAAATGGGCAAAAAGGCACCCGGGGGGCCAGCGAGTCATCAGCCACTGCGCCGGCGAAGATGCCACGGTAAGGACCGGCCCCCGCGGGTCTCCCGGCTCCAGCAGCATCCTCTGACAGCTCCTTCCCTCCCCGAAGGGAGCCAGCTGCCTGCTGTCCCCTGTCCCCCTCTCCCCAACACCTGCGGGACACCCGGCTCTGCCCTTTCGCTGCTCCCAGCTCGGTTCAAGCGGATGCAGGTTCCCCCCGATGGGTTGGTAGGGATATTCTGCTTAAATCCTGCTGGTTTGCCTTTGTCTCCTGCTTGTGCCGTGCCCCGAGCCCTGAATTCAGGAGCAAAGTGTCCCAAATCTCCCCCTTTTCCAGTGTGGGGCTTGTGACATGCAGAGTCACGCAGCCAAGCACAGGGAGGGTTAAACAGAGGCCAGGCTGTCTCTCAAAGTTGCTTCTCTGAGGAGGCTTTAACACAAGGAGCTTTTTAGCATTTTTTTCCCCGGGAGAAAATTCTCTGGAGAATTTGGTTACAGGTTGCTACAGAAAAGAGGAAAAAAAAAAAAAAAAAAAAAAGGCAGCAAACCATTTGCTGCTGCTCCAGCTGCTCCTTCGCTGGGTTCAGCCACCTCTCAGGTTTCAGTCAAAGATAAGAAACCAAACAACAACCACAACAAAAATAAAAAAACCCTAGGCGTGAAACAGGAACAAATTTGCAATAAATTGTTTGTTGTCTGGAGTTCCCCTCAAAACCACCTTCCTCAGAAGTGCATCCAGAGAGCATGTTCTCCCTTCAGGGCATGTTAATGAAATCCAAGCAGCCTCAGAGCTCTTCCTAAAACGTGCAGACACCAAGCAGGAACAGGAACTGCTGGTCTCCCACGGCTCCTGACACCTTAGCAAGGAGGAGACAAAATTTTTTGGCAGAACCTTCCCTTTCCATCAGTCCCTACTTCCCTGCATCCTGTGGTTATTTTCCATTCTTTTCCTTGAAGCACTGAGCTGCATTTTGGCCCTTCTGTCTCTTTTAAGTAAATCCTCTGAATGAATAGCTTTCCCCCTCAGAAAGATGGGCCAGGTTTTGCTTTCAACTGCTTAAACACAGAGCTGCTGAAACAAGAGGAGTTTGATTCCTATCCCCAAGAATTTAACTCCAGTATCTCCATTAGCAACCAAAAAGCATCTGTTACTGCAGAATCCTTGAAAGGGAGGCTGAAACACAGGTTGGTGGTTCCAGGATTGCTGGTTCTCCTCCCACCTCCCCAGGGTACATTGCATCCCACACTCCGTGAAGCCATGGCCTTAAAAATGCTCTGAAATTCTTAAATCACCACTCTGAGCACTAATCCAAGACTGGCATCAGTTTTGCAGCTTCCCTGTGATGAACAACCTCTTACAGCCAGAAAACCCTCTCTCATTCAGGGGGAGAAGCCTCTGTGGGTTTAAATTGGATTTTAGGAGGAAATCCTTCCCTGGGAGGGTGCCGAGGCCCTGGCACAGGTTGTCCAAAGAAGCTGTGGCTGCCCCATCCCTGGAAGTGTCCAAGGCCAGGCTGGATGGGGTTTGGAGTAACCTGGTCTAGGGAAGGTGTCCTTGCCCGTGGCAGGGGAGTGGAATTAGATGATTTTTGAAGTCCCTTTCAATCCAAACAATTCCATGTGTCTCTGATTTTTTTAAACACAACATCTGAGTCTGGGCCAACCTGTTCGAGAAAATCCTTGTGCTGACTGCTCTAAGCACTCCCAATGCTCAAGTACAGCTCATATCTCAATTATACAAAGCTTTTTTTTTCCTCACCAAAAGCAGCTGGAATAACTCCCATATCCCATAAAACACTTCAGCTTATTTGGTCAGTAGATCACAAAGCTGGGAGGTCAAGTGCCAATATCCCACAGCATTTCCCAGGGATTATCTTTTCCCTTAAGCTTTTTATCTCCTGCAATACAGAACTGAGAACAATTCCAAAATTCAGGTGCTATCTTATATTTGGGACCTATTAGTACAGGAGCTTCATGAGATAAACATAAAAATCCAATCCTTCTATCATTTGCAGGATCTCCAGGCAGTAAGCACCCAATCAGACCTCCAAAGACTTTTTTATTCCCAGCAGTTAAAATAATACAGAATCAACACTTTTAATGCTTCTCTCTCTTCCCCTTTCTTCCCCTTTTTGTTTTCACCCAAAACTGCAGAGCCTTGCAGTAGGCACAGTCAGCTATTCAATTCCCCCCCCATTCTGATTTTCCTTCCTCTTTCACGTCTTCTGCAAATTGTTTCAGAGAGGGAAACAATGAACTAGAGTCAACATTTCAGTGACCCACTTCTGGGTCCAAGTTTTGATTGATTTTGGTGGACTTTGGGCCCGAGGTTGTTGCCTGGTATTTCTGAACTCCAGATTGAGGGCAGCTCCCTCAGGGTCAGCTGGACACAGGCAGCACTTTCCAGTCTGCCCTTTGTCTTTAGAGCCAAGAGGGAAATATTAGTTGGTCCCTACAATTGTTAGACAATGGGACAAAGGTGGAAACACTGGAGCATGGTTCCCCTCACTCCTGTTTTTAATGATTTTTTTTTTCCATACTCTCTTAGCACTTCATGGAACCAATCTTTCCTGTTCTCCCAGGTGAATTCCAAGAGCTGACTCCAGTTCTATGCACACAGGAAAGGGCAAGGACAGAGTGAGCATTTTTGATGTGGGTCAGCTTTCTGTCCCTGCTGCTGTCACTGGGGTTAAAATTCCAGCTGTGCCATGGGAAAGGATCTGGCCAAGATTTCACTATGAGCATCAGGCACTTGTGGGATACAGGTGGACAAAAATATGTGGAAAGGGGAAGGAATAGAGAAAAAGAAGAGCCAGATAAACTAGTGAATGACAGGATCAAAATTATCCACAAACAAGGCATTATTCTCAAAAATCACTTTTTCTTCAGCTGTTTTACAGCTGGGTTTTCCAGGCCTGGCCAAAACACCTAAGAATATTTTTTGTGTTTGCAGTCACATCTAGCTTCAGCCACCACAGTGGCTTGCCTCCAGGAGCAGACTTTCCAAGGGTATTTATACCCTAGGAGGGATTTGCACAAATTCCCCTCTGCCTACCTTCTAAGGGAATTAACAGGACTTAAGTATTTAGTTGCTTAGAAAGAATTTCTTGAGGTGCCTTTCACCATATGGCTGGATGCCATCCCAGGTCTCACCGTTCCCAGACAGCAAATTCATCAGGCTTTAGTGGAATTAATGTCCCAAAAAGTGATCACAGAGCTGGAGGTCACCTGGCCCCTCTTCCACAGGTTCCACACTGCTGGAAGTGGGTGGGAATGACACAGTGAATAGGAAGAACATCTTACTCCTGGACCTCACACAATTCCTCCTGTTTCCACTCCAGGATGCATTCCAGGCCTTCCACATCAATCCCACCTTGGTGCAGAAGTTTCTCAAGCCACTGCTCATTGGAGAACTCGCTCCAGGGGAGCCCAGCCAGGACAGAGACAAAAATGTGAGTATTTATTCTTCAGCTGGGGTTCAGGGTGGCTGCTCCTGCCATTCTTTCCCTCTTGGGATGCTCTCCAGAGAAGGAGAGGAGTTCTCAGTGACTGAACATCTCCATGTAGAGTATTTCCATCCTATCATGGATTCAAATATGTGTGGAAAGGGGGTGACACTTCTGGCTGTCCAAACCTTTTCTTTCCCACAGAGCCAGCAACAGCCAATTTCTGGCAGCCCATTGCAGGTACCCAGGCTGGACTGAGCCCATCCTGAAGGGAAATGGGAACTGAGACATGTGGAATAGGAAATGTGCACCAGCCCTGGTGACTGTGGTCCCTTCTGCTGCTCCTTTGCTGGTGACCAAGCTCCAGAACACAAGTCCCCAGATGTCCCATTTTGGTGGCCTTGCTAAGGAGCAGCAGCCGCTGCCCATTCTCAGGGCAGCTCTGTATCCCTGCTCATCCATTATTCAGGCCCAGAGCATGGCACAACTGGCTCTGGCCAGGAAACTCAATCCTGCCCCGTTGTTTGTGGCTGGCCATGATTGTGATATATCTGTGTCACTCACAATAGAGGGGACAACGCTGGCCCCCAGTGACCCAGGAATGCCCCTCATGGATGGCTGCACAGGACCTGGCCCATGGATTGAATGGATGACGGGTGATAGTGGGTGCTCATTGTCAGAGCTCTGGAATTAGGCACAATAGCACTGAATTCCCTCTTGCTCCAGCTACTCCTTAGTGCTCAGGAAGCTCATTCAGACAAGTGCCATCAGGTGATATGATACTCAACAGAGCTTGGATTACTCTCCTGGCTCCAGGTCCAAAAGGTCAGGATGTGGACTCAGACTGGCCAGAATGTTTATTCATAGGAATACATAGGGCAAAAAGCTGGAATATGGAGCCAGATTCCTTAGCATGGAGCCCATCCTTCCTCTGTCCATCCCACAACTCAGTCAGGCTCATTTCCAAGCCTCACCCTGCTCTTGCCTGTCCCATTGCAGTCTCAGCTGGTGGAGGATTTCCGGACCCTGCGGAAGACAGCGGAGGACATGAACCTGTTCCAAGCCAGCCCCTTGTTCTTCTCCTTTTACCTGGGCCACATCATTGTCATGGAAGTTTTGGCTTGGCTCATGATTTCCTACTTTGGGACTGGCTGGATCACAACCCTCATCCTTGCTTGCATCCTTACAACTTCCCAGGTGACAAAGAGAGATCTTCCTCACACTCCCAATGTGCCCTCTATCTCCATTTCTTTCCTGCTTAGCTCTGATTCCCAATAGCTTCCTAACTATTTGATTCCCCCTCATTCTAGGCCCAGGCAGGGTGGCTGCAACATGATTTTGGACACCTCTCTGTGTTCAAGAAGTCTTCCTGGAACCATGTCGTCCACAAGTTTGTCATTGGACACCTGAAGGTAAAGGGAATTATGGAGCCAGGGAATTCTGGGAATGCATCACTTTGGCTGGGGCAGTAGGGAAGGGAGGCTCTCAACCTTTCCAGAGTGAGCAGAGGCACAAAAAAAGTTGGTGACCATTGCCCATGGAGCAACCTGGGCTAGCGGAAGTTGTCCCTGCTCATGGCAGGGGACTGGGACTAGATGAGCTTTAGAGTCCCTTCAAACTCAAACAATTTCAGGATTTTCTGGGAAGACACAGTGGCCTGTAACTCACTCAGAGTGTGTTTATTCCGTGTTCTTTCAATACAGATGATCCTTAGGGATCTCTCTGCAAGCAGCAGTCTCATAGCAACCAACAAGTCCACCACGCCCTGCTTGCTGCTCTTTCCAAAGAAATCCCACTTTGGCCACAATTTGAGTCACACCACTTTAGTTCCTATAAATGATTGGGTAATCCCACCTTGGGAGCAGCTCTCCATGGATGAAAACTCCTTGTTCTCCTTGGCCAGGGTGCGTCTGCAAACTGGTGGAACCACCGCCACTTCCAGCACCACGCCAAGCCCAACATCTTCCGTAAGGACCCAGATGTGAACATGCTGCACATTTTAGTCCTGGGAGACACACAGCCCGTTGAGGTAAGGAAAACTGGGGAAAACATGGAAAACTACTGTCCCTGAGAGGGCCCTGGAGAGTGGTTGCGCAAATCCAGGAGTTGGCTCCCATTGTGAGACATGACTTGCACAGGCAGGACTTCCAGGAATGCTAGAAATGAAATGTTTAATCCAGGGATTTCGTCTGGCTACATGGTCTGACAGGAGTTGGGAGCCAACCCTTGGGCTGAGGAGCAGCACTGACTACTAATTCCCAATCCATTTCCTGTGCTGACCACAGGAGAAAGTGTCTTGGGTTACCTTGGGAAAAATAATGCAGATGGGGTTGGAGAGAAAGCAAAAAGCCACTACAGGCTACTTCATGCTGCTGGCTTGAAGTACCAGCATGAGGGGGGAATACGGTGTTCCTCAGTATTCTCGCAAAACCATTTCAAATCTGACCTTCCATTTCCTTAGCAAATATCTTCCAGCATCAAGTAATTTTTATTTTAATTCTATCTACCCCTCCAGAGCCAAAATTTTTACTGCCTGTTTATAAAAACCTACCCAAACCATTAAAATCATGGTGTTTTTCACAGTGGAACAAGGATTTATAGTTTTAAAAACAAAACCCCAAGAAAATGGACAAGCAGCAAAGACAACACAAGGAAATACAACATTAAAAATGGTTTCTCAGACAGATTTTGTATTATTGAGAAAGCAGATCATGGTTCTACTACTTAAAGGAAAACCTAAACGTTTGTGGTAACAAGGAAAAACTGGATTTCTGCCTCAAAATATCTGATATTAGGCCAGAATCAGTCTATCCTAATATTCTCACATTGGTATAAAAATCCTTTTCCAAATGATGCCAAGCACACAGCCTTGCAGAGCTCAGCCCAGAGGGAATAATGTGCCTGATTTATTGGTGTTACAAGCCTCCCATTCAAAAAAATCAGACTTTATGCCTACCACATTTGTATTAATAAAGATGGAGGTGCTAGCAGCTCTTCTAACAGACACAGGGATGGCAGAAGGTGAAGTGCATCAAAATTCCATGAAGTAAATAGAAACTATCCTTAAGAACTGAGTTTACACCTAACACAATGATGAAGTTAGGACATTTAATCATTCTAAATCTCTTCTTACATGCTGGTGAGAATTCAGTCAAAATTCTCTGGTCAATACATTAAGAATTATTGCAGAGCATCTGCTTTTACCTGGGAATGTCCCAGTCTGAGCTGTTTCTTTGTGTCCTGCAGTATGGCAAGAAGAAGCTGAAGTACCTGCCTTACAACCACCAGCACGAGTACTTCTTCTTCAGTGAGTATCCACTCTCCTCTCTTCCCTTTTCCTGGAATGCCACTTGTCCTTTCCAGCCCTCACTGTGTGAGCAGAACAACTCCTCAAATCCCAACTCATCCCACCCTTCCTCAGGACCCTGTGCAGGTCCCAAAATCAGCTCAGGAATATCCAAGCACCTGGAACACTGCCCTGTAGAGCAAAGGAATGTAAAACACCTGAGGCTGGCAATGACCTCCATGTGAGAGGCTCCATGGAAATACTGCATGTTCCCAGTTCCATGGAAGCAGTCCCTCATGTCACACACCTTCCCACCCCTCTGATGGCCAAACCATTTCCCTTTGCCTTGCAGTCTTCCCACCTCTGCTCATCCCTGTGTATTTCCAAATCCAAATCATCTCGACCATGATCAAGCACAGGTTCTGGGCGGTGAGTGAAACATTCCCTCCATCCTTATGGGGTCTGGCTGGAAACTGGAGCAGAGAGGGAGGCCAGGGGGCAGGCAGGAATTACCCAGTGTTCCAAACATCACCAGCAAGGACACGTTATCCAAGATGGGCAAAGTGATGCCTGGTGTTTTCTCTGTCCCCCAGGACTTGGCCTGGGCCATCAGCTACTACCTGCGCTTCTTCATCACCTACATCCCGTTCTATGGCGTCCTGGGATCCCTGTGTCTCCTCACGTTTGTCAGGTAGGGGATCCAGGGCATCCCTGCTACTCTCCCATCCCTCCAGTGCTGTTTGAGCCTGGCCTCAGCTCTGCTGTGTCCTACTGCCTCACTTCCCTGTCAGCATCTCCGAGTTCCAGCTCCTCTGGCACTCTCCCTGCACCTTCCCCTGCCCTGTGATGGTCCTGCCAGGATTCTCCTGCCTTTCCTCATTCCCTGTTCTCACACACTGCTGATCCCACTTTGGTCATGGCTGGACCCTCAAAGAGTGTCTCATCCCACCCTCTTCCCAGCAGACTGTGGAGGTAATTCTGTCCATGCACCAAGTCCAAAATCAAGCTGGAAACTTACCACAACCAGCCCATTATTCTCAAAATATTTGATGAAATTCGAAGTGCAAGGAAAAAAAAAAAAAAAAACAAAGCTGCAAAATCGGATCATTTGCTTTTGCAGAAAACAAGCCTGGAACAAAGATGATTCCAGGCAATTCCTTGTCAACATCCATCCAAGTCTCTGCTGCTCCCTGCAAACCCCACTCTATCTACCTGATGTCCCCATGTCTGGTAGAAATTCTCATTATTTTTCCTGGTTTTGCAGGTTCCTGGAGAGTCATTGGTTCGTGTGGGTCACCCAGATGAATCACATTCCAATGGAAATTGATTCTGAGAAGCACAGAGACTGGCTGAGCTCCCAGGTAACTGGGAGGGGGAAAACCACCCCTGACTCACCCTGAAATGGGATTTACTCAAAGAGTGTGACAGTTACCACCAGCCCCAGTGTTACCACCATCCCTTACTAGGATAGAGTGTCTTGTCCATGACTTCTCCTATAAACATGTTCTTCCCAGAGCCAGCAATGCTGGGGAAAGACATGGAATTACAAAGTTCTGCAGTTCCTTTGACAATCAAAAGGTTACCTGTGGTGAGTGAAGCTGGATGTGATTGCAAATCCAAAAAACATCCCTGGGTGCTTTGGCCATGCCTGTAGATCTCAGCAATATAATAGCTGAGGAAAAAATGTCAGCTCTTCATTTTGGAGCCTGCCTTTGTCCTTTTGTTGTGGAAGATGAGTGATTGTGCTCTCCCTTTCCTCTCCTTTATTCCAGGGCCATATTCTTGATATTTTGGCAGTTTTTTCCCCCTGCAAATTCAAGTAAAATGTGTGAATGAGGAACCCTATCAAAAATGTGGTTGAATTTTAAGAATTTTAAGAAAAAAATATCTAATTTTATGATCATTAATGGCAGGAATACCTATTAAATATTCTCAGAATATCACTCTTAAGGCAAACTGGGCAATAACTACACGGGAATGGGGGAGCTTTGTGTCCGTACATTTTCCTCCTGTTTTCCACCTTGGTACTGCTGTCAACCCTTTGATCTCCAACAGAAGAGGCTGAGATTTAGGAATCTGGGCTTGGGCTGCTACATCACTTCACCACCAGTCAGAGTTTGATTATCTGAGGCCCTTAGGGAGGATTAAAACTCCCCTTGCTGCACCCGGCCAAAGCAGGCTCTGCACTCCAAGAGCTCAGGGAAGGGGAATTTCACCCTGATTTTGGGATGAGCCATCCCTAACCCTCACAGTTTTCTCTCTCCCTGACAGATGGCAGCGACCTGTAACATTGAGCAGTCCTTTTTCAACGACTGGTTCACCGGGCACCTGAACTTCCAGATTGAGCACCAGTGAGTACAGAGCCAGGATGGTGAGGGCACTGCCAGCTTGTCACAGGCCAGGGGAGGGAATTATTGTATGCCAAGGAAACAGAGTCCCAGGCTGCACAGGCATGGAAGATGTGGCTGCTCCATCCCTGGAAGTACTCAAGCCCAGGCTGGATAAGGCTTGGAGCAACTTGCATTAGTGGAAGGTGTCACTGCCCATGGCAGGGTGGGAACTGAATGAGCTTTAAGATCCCTTCCCACCCAAACCATTCCAGGATAGTCTGTTTCCATTACAGCCTGACATTTTTCTCTTTCTTCAAAGCTTTCACTCACAGCCTTAATTTAGGGTTTAATTAGGAGTTGTCATTATGCATCTGTAATTGCAAAGGCTGTGGGCTCAAATCCCAAGATCCACAACAGAAAACTCCTCTCCCCTCCAGTGTTTTATAGAGTGTGGGACTGTGTAGGATGCTAGGTACCAGATTCCAGAAAAAATATGGAAAACAGGGACATATGGACAGTCTGTTGCCAATAGCAACAGCAAATGTGAAAGAAATGGCTTTTAGGGTGAGGCTGGCTGGTTTGGGAGTCAGCTTAGGAAATCTCCATGAAAGAACATAGGGCAAGATACCCCCAAAATCCTTCTTTACCTGCTTCCAGAAGTGAAAAAACAGGTCACTGGGAATTCAGTTCAGCAAGAAACAATTATTCCCAGAGGAATGGCTGGCCATCTCTGAGGCTCTTCCCTCACTCCTGCTGCCCTTTCATTGCACTCATGTCTCTTTTTGCACAAACTGGCTTTCAGTGTGTCCTGAACATGGCTTTGCTTCGAGGCAGGACAGGAAAATCAGTTTTCACCACCTGCTTGAGACAGGAGTGTAAAGCAGGGATGTCTCAGTGCCTCTCTTCCTTTGTTTGTGCACCTTGAGGAGGAGGCACCAGTGATGAGCCCCTGAGGATGCAAATCCTAATGCCAATCCCTTGTCGCTTGTCTCAAGAGTTTTCTCAGCTTTGTTTTCTCTCTCTCCATTCCAGCCTGTTTCCAACAATGCCACGGCACAACTTCTGGAAAGTAAAGCCTTTGGTGAAGTCATTATGTGCCAAGTATGGAGTCCACTATGAGGAGAAGCCTCTTGGGAAAGCGTTCGTAGACATCGTTGGGTAAGGCCCTCCTGAGCTCACCTGCAGCTCATTTTTCCAGGGACACACAGGATATTTTCTGGAACAGAGGATTCAGGACATGGCAGACCCTTCAGAAATTTGTGTTGTTGCTTTCAAAGTACCAAACACTTGACCTTTACACAGGTACACACCTGATTGTGGTATTTGAGGACATGGTGGCTCAGCAGTGCTGGGGTCGATCTTAGAGGGCTTCTCCAGTCCTAATGATTCTGATTTTTATACCGCCCTGTTCTGACAGCTGGTGGCTCCTGCTGCGGGGAGCTGTCAGCAAATCTCCTGCTGCAAAGTGAGATGAATCAAAGGGAAACAGGTCGGGTTACAGCCCCTGCTGTGTCCCCTGAGAGCTCTGCCAGCAGCAACAGGCAATTCCCTACCGGCAGAGCTGGAGAGGATCTAACAGTCCTTGTCAGCAGCCTCGGTGTTAATGTTGCTGTCTCAGTTCCTCTGAGGGGAATAATTCATGGCAGGGAACATGAGAAAGCTCTGCAGTCCAGGCACGTCCTGCACAAAGCACTCTGAGCATGGGCAGATGGAAGTGGGGTGGCCACAGTGGGCAGGAGAGCTGGTTCCAAACCTGCTTTTGTCCTCAAATCTGGTTGGGACAGGGCCACACAGCACCAAGGCACAGTGGAGTGAAGCCTGGAGGCTCCCAGGAGAACTTACAGCCCCTTCCAGTGCCTAAAAGGGCTCCAAAGGACCTGGAGAAGGACTTTGGACACAGGTCTGGAGTGACAGGACCAGGGGGAATGGCTTCACACTGGCAGAGGGTGGGTTCTATGAGTGTGATCCTATGATATTAAATTCAGTAATAGCCTTCATTGCAGGAAAAGCACGACAGAAGCAAGATTTCCAAACTTCTCCTTTTCTTCCCACAGGTCCCTAAAGAAATCTGGAGATCTCTGGCTGGATGCTTATCTCCATAAGTGATCATGAATCTTTCTGGGGAGGTGTGAGTGACCGGGAGGGATGGGGGGGGGGACGACATGGTGGGGGGATTCACATTTGTGTCTTTTACTCTCAGATCTCAGTCTAAATCCAGGGTTGGAGAGGAGTTTCCTGTCTTGCCAGCTGCTTCTGGTGCAGGCCCTGTTCAATCCAGACAGATTTAAAATGTGCTCCAAAGGTGGAAAGCAAGGCCAGCAGTGCAAATATTTCAAAAAGGGTCATTAATATCTGACCTTGACCTTCTTTTCACAAGATTTGTTTTCATTCTGCCTAAACCACACAAACCCTGATTCACACCTAAGGGTTTTTAGGCCTCAGTGAGTGTTTGCAATCCAAGGACACCCCAGTCAGCTCATGCCTCTTTCCCACGTTTGTCTGGAAGAGGAATCACATTCCACGGGAGTGGCAGCTGCTGCACTGTGCTTCCAGCCTTGTCCAGAGCCCAGCTCCCTCCTTTCCCTGCCTCCTCCCCTTCTCAGCATCTCTTTAGTGCAAGCTGTGACCCTGGCCCTGCACAGCTAACCCCTAACCACAGCAGGGTTAACATAGCCGTGTTTTTAGGATCAGCCCCTCTTCCTAGGGGTCTGTAGAAGATTTCTGGGTTTAAACAGCAAAACATCTCCTTTAGGGGAGGGTCTGTTTTCTCTTTAATGAGCAGCAGGTCTGGCACAGGAATTGTCAGTAAATCACACAAAAGACCAAAACAATCAAACAAGCAAAACGTGCTAATTGCTCCTCAGTGCTCCAGGGGAACCACAAATGGCCTTTTCATCATCCTGCCCTGAAGAAACCCAGAGTTCTGTCTGTCTGCACATGCCAGGCAGGCACCGAGCCTCTTCCTGTCTGCCCTTGGGAACAATGCAGGAGAAAGGAGTACTCCCTTCGAAGGAGGAGCTGCTCAAATCCCAACCGGAATCAGCCCTGCCCAGGCTGTGCTGCTGATGTGAGACCTTTGGAGAACCCTCTTACAAGTTGTCTAAAACTCTATTTTCTGCCCACCACCTAATTACCAAAATTCACTAATGGCTTTTCAGGAGATATGGTTGGACAGCTTCCAGATGCTTCTGGAACAGGTGACTTGACCCCAAATAAATCCAGGGTTTCAGCTGCAACACTACAGAAGAGATACTTGGTTTAGGACAAAAGGCCATGGTTCCAAAAGCAGCCTCCAACTCCAGCATCTGCCTCGGTGCTCCCTGGAAACACCAGGAGGGAGATTCTGGTTACTGTGCACACCTCATTACTTCCTTCAGCTCTGAAACTGGATCCTCTCTGTCAATCCCACAGAATCAGCAAGGTGCTTCATCATGAATAAAGAAGACTCTGGGATCCTGTCCAGCATTGCAAAAAAAAAAAAAAAAGTATTCCCTCCCCACCCTCTTTGGAGAATAAAATGAGATTTTATCTTTGCCTGCAGTGGGGAATTCAGCATCTTCCAACTTCAGCAAGCAATGCTTACAGTTTGTAAAGGGCTTGTTCTGGGGGGTCTTGCGTCTTGCTCACCCAAGTACCACCAGGAATGTTTAGGGTGAAAAGCTACATAAGTAACATCCTTCTGGATGCTGTGATTTCCCAGGCAGGTAGCAAGGAGCTCTCCTGGAATTTAGCTAACCTCATCAGGACTGCCTTAATTTCTGCATCCCTTCCTTGAATATACTCCACTGTGCTCCAACAAGGATGAGCACGAGCACAGTGGCATCAGCAGTGCAAATTTTTAAATATCCAGCTTATTCTTCTCACAGCCCTTGGGGTTTTTTTGTCTTATTTCCAGAGCAAATATTTTCCTCCTTAGCCCCCTTCTTCTCTTCTCACTTGTCTTCTTGGGAAGCTGTTTGGGTTGATCTTGGGGAAAGATCAGCGCTCAGGCAAATGGGCATTTCTTCCCCAAAAAAACTTACTATTTTTTCAGGCAAAGCCTCTCTGGCTCATGTAGCTTTTTCCTCTCCTTCTAAAAAACCCAAGCTTTCTCTCTCGGAATTTGAGGTGATTTTTACGTGCCTTGATTCCTTGTTGACACCCCATCCCTGCAAGTGTTGCAGGCCAGGTTAGATGAGGTTTGGGGCAACTTGGTCCAGGGAAGGTGTCCCTGTCCATGGCAGGAGGGTGGAATTGGATGATCTTTATTGCCCCTTCCAACCCAAACCATTCCAGGATTCTACAAGCTCTCCACTCTTTATTGGAGCAGGTCAAAGAGATCCCTGACAAAGAGCCCTGTAAATCTGGATCAATCTGCTTTGTTATCATTGTTCTCCAAGTAAAATTAGGTTTATCTGGAGAGATTCCAGAAGTTTCAGTAAGACTGGAAATGTAGATAGATATAAACTTCCCATGAGCTTTGTCTCCAATAAGGCAGCAATGAGTGAGACATAAGCAGGTTAAAATCTGCCATCAAAATGACTGAAACACAGAATTTTCAGCACAGCTTTGCCCAGCTTTCTTAACTAACCAGTTTCTCTGAAAATAATGAGGTGAAATCTTGTCCACTTTCTCTCTTGATAAAGGTCATTCATTTGCACTGTAATGAGACACAAACATGGAAAAAAAAACCCAAAAAACAACCTCAGCCAGTAAGAGGTGCTGGGAACCTGCCAGGGTTTATTGAAACCAGCTACACACATGGCAGTGGGGAGCTGGAAACATAGAGCCGGTTTCAGGGCACAGAAACAAACAACAGCCAGGGAAGGACTGGATTTGTTCTCCCCAGTCACTGTGGGGGGACTGGAGTAGGAGCTGGAGGACCAGGATGATTGAGGATGCCAGAGAAAAGCACAAACAACAGCAAAGAGAAGGCTCTGGGTGTGCTTTGGGAAGAGAATGAGAGATGGGAGAAGTTTGGGAAGGTCAGGAGTTGGGGAGAGATGCATGAGAGTTGGAGAAAAAATACTGAGGGATGAAGGAGACGACATTTGGAATCAGGCGTCCCATGATCTCCCAGCATGGCTGGAAGCTGCCTGGAGGGCTGTGCTGGAGACACAGGACAGGGCAGAGCTGGGGCTCAGAGCGGGTGGCAGGGACTGGTGACATCCACAGGCACCTTGGAGTGAGCTGGATCTCACACTGAGTCCCCTCTCCCACAGCTCTGGGAGCAGGAACTCACTGCCCCCAGCTTCCAGGGAGAGGCACTGTGGGACTTAGGGCATTTTCCTTGGAGTTCTCCCTCCAAGCATGGATTTGAGGAGTCTAGATCCCAACTGCTCACTGAAACAGGGCTTGGGACGCTCATCAGGACCCATATCCAGGCACCATCTTCCCTGCTGCAGGGGCTGAGCTCTCTGGCTGAATTTGAGGTCTTCATGAGGGCAAAGACATCCTTTTCCTCAGTAGATGGTTTCCCAAGAAAGCCTTCGTAACAAAGCCCTAACATTTCCAGTGTTAAAACAGCAAACCTACATTCCTTATAGGACAACTCCTGGTTTTATTAATTCTTAAAAAAAAAAAAAAATCCAGTAACTCAAAAAGAGCAATTTTTTTCCTTGTGTATTCTACCACACAATAAAATCATAACTATTCGTTGACCATACAAATGCTTTATGTAGTTTTTTTTCCCAGAGCCACTGGTGCTCAGGGAATTGTTCCCTCTTGGAGTGCCTTCTGCCATACAAACCCACAAGCAGGTGGGCATGGAGATGCCAACTAAGCAAGTCAGGACATTTCTAGTGTGGGAATGTCACCATCCAGGTTTTGCTGTAAGATCAAAAACATGTTCAAATTCAGAATTGTAAAGAGTCAGCGTAGGATTTGACATAAAGGGTGACTCAAGCTCCAATTTCAGATTTAACCTTGTAACTTTTTTTTTTTTTTTTTTAAGCAGTTCAAAATCAGATCCCAAGCCAAGAGCACTGTGGAAGCAAACTAAAAAAGGACCTGGGAATCAGACTTGCTTATTATGGCTTCCCTTGGTTTTCCTGGGGCTTTCTATGCAGGAGCTGTTAGCCAGTGAATGTGGAAAGTCCTTTTTCCTTTCAGGTGGTGAAATTAGTGGAACTTCTTTGATACCACTGCCTTTAATAGCACAGATGGATTTCTCTATTAGCCTTCACTATCTCAGGATCAATACTGCTGCTTCCCCTCATCCTGGGAACAAACACCAAAGGCAAAGAGATCTTCCTGTCAAAGATTTGCCTGGCCACTCAAACTCGGCCTCCAGTCAGTCTGAGGAAGCAGCTGAGAACAAAATTGTTGTGAAAACTTAATAGAAGCATATTGCAATTTTCTTGAAGTCCATTTTGTGCCCATTCATGGCTCATCCTGTGGTGCGTTGAGCACCTTGCAGCAGCTTTTCCAACCCACAGCTCCCTACGATGATTTGATGGGTTCTGAGTTGACACCAGCAGTGGATTTTAGGTCAAAACTGTCTTGAGGTCAGCCCAGAGGCTTTAACAGAGCTGGTTCTGCCAGATGAACCCATTGAAAGCTGTCCCATCAGGTGAAGGGGCAGACAAAGAGAGCTCACAGGTTGTCCAGGGTCAGGACATAAAGTGATGGCCAGATTATCCTCACCTGTCCCCTAAAACCAACACTGGACCTTGCCAGAGTCCAAAGGAATTGCTCCATAGGCAAACTCATCCTACCCAAAAGCAGGTGGCACAGAACTCAAAGCAGAAAATGACCTAATTTTTAGGGCTTTCATTTCATCCCAGAACAAACAGGTTCCCCTAATGCAAACACAGGTGTCTCTTATACAAAAATTAACTGTTACAAATCAATAGTTTCACCCATGAACAATATTGCTTTTTTAAAAAAATCCTGTTTTACTTACTCTGCAGGGGCCCAGTTCTAGAGGTTTCAGGAAACTTCTTCACAACATAATTTGTGTGGGGCATCAGCACAGGGAGAAACAGCTTCATGGTGTTCAGATGTACAGTTTTTATCCCCTCCAAACTGGCCTTGAAAACTTCCAGGGATGGGGCAGCCACATTTGTGAGCTATGGGTTTTTTAAATTGTTTAAAAAAAATAAAAACAAAAAACCTAAAAACAACAGCAAGCTCAGCCTCTGAAAAACCCTCAATTTTTTTCCAATGTTTGTGCTGGGTTATATCATGGTATCATATATATTTTATTGAAAAACTAGCCTAAATTCCTGAAATATCGCATAGAAACTTGTCCATACTGAGTCCTCCCTACACCATCCCTCTGTCCTGGAATTTCTACAGAACAAGACATTGTTGGAGCTGCTGTAAGGTGAATATTCCAATCACATTTCCAGCCACACACTTATCTATTTGGAAACCACAATGTAAAGAATATGAAGGGAATAATCCTGAATTCCAGAATGAGCCAGGAGGTGAATCATTTCCCCACAGAAGAACATAAAATATAAAAAGTAAAAATTATATCAATAAATAATAATATAAAATAAAGGTGTTATCTACTCCCCACAGAGGCTGGAGGGTACAAATGTACATTTCACTGTGGTGAATGATGATGCGTTCTAAAATACCCTGTGTCAGAGCTTTTCCACCTTCTGCTAACCTCTGAGGTTTGAAGGTCAAGCCCAGGCTGCTCAGGTCAAGGGAGGCTCAGCAGAAATTCGAGGGAGGAGTGGGAAAAGGCCAAGAAGAAGGATCCTCACCTGGAAGCACCACCTTCGCCTGCAGCATGCTCCTGAGCACAGTTAGGTAACTCCCCAGCTTCTTGGCCAGGTGCTGGCTGTGGGGATGACAATGAGAGGATTAATCACACTAATTCCCTGTGATTGCACCCATCCTCCTCAGAATGGGTGTGGCTGGTTCACTTGCCTGATTAATTTAATTGGCCTCAATTAGCCTGGCCTTCATTAAGCAGCAGTTGGTTTTTCTATAAAATAAAGGAGTCATATTGCACTTTCTCTGTGTGCTTTGTTCCCTTATTGCTTACAATATGATGCCTAATAAAGGCTGGAAGTTTGAGTTCTGAATTGAAGATGCTGCTGGTTTCTCAAATGGGGCCAGTTCCTGGTCCAGCATCTCCAGGTAAATCACTCAGAGCTGAAATTATCACTCTTTGCAAGTCCACAAACCTTTAGGCCATGCTAACAACCCCAAATGGAGCAAAGCAGCGCAGCCTGTGCTTCACCATCAGCCTGGGGTGGGTGGAAGTGTGATCAGAAATCAAAATGTCGCTGCCAGCTCCAACTCCATGCCTTGCTCATTCTTGTCTCCCCATCATGCTGAAGTTCACCGAGTCTAAAACTGAACACCTGATTTGGTGAAAGTATGTGAGTGAACTGGAATCCAACAGCACTAGAGGGCAAGGAATGGTGAAGCCACAATGTTCCAGCAGCATTCCAGCACCATGACTCCTCCACATCCCTGCAGAAAATCAACAACTCCACACTAACAGGATGTCTGGGCTTGAATGGTGCAGCAGGAGCTTCTGGGCAAGTCAGGAGCTGGAGATCATCTTTAGAGATCCCTTCAAGCCCAAACCATTCCCTGGGAACATTTCTGTCTGAATGAAATAAAATATTAAAAGCAAAACTATGTTGAGACTGCTCTGCCCCATAATGCACAAACGAATCAAACACAAAACAGCAGACAGAGATTGCAGAAAGGAAATTGCTTCTTAATGTCTCTCTAAACAGAGAGGAACAGTTTTAAAGGTCTCTATTGAAATATTTAGTAAATGGTTTCAGACAAGCTCTCCTGGATGTGGTGGTGTTGGCACAGGGATGAGTCCCACGTGCTGCAGTAAGATAGAGGGGTTTAACTAATTTGTGTATTTTGAATGTGTAAAGCCAGGCTTTTAAAAACAGCACAAGGAGGAGTAAGTAGTGATGCCCACCTGCTGACAACAGAAAATTTTTTGAGTTTTCCCAACTCACTTGGTTCAGGCACTACTCAAACAGAGCCCACAAGGTCTTCTCCATATGCACATCATTCCAGTGTGAAATTAATCAGATTTGAGACCTGGTTTCCCTCTCCTGTTAAGGACTAATGTCTGCCAGAGCTGCCAAGATTTTGGAGTGGTTACAAAACTTCCCTTGTCTAAAAGCACTGTGGGACCATCAGACACTGCTCCAGCTCTCCTGAGACATTATTTATCACTGCCCTCAGTTTGATGGAAAGTTGGAGTGGTACTTCCCTCCTTACTCCTGGTTTTGCAAGATGGCACAGGTGGCCTGACAAAGGGGAAGGTCCCCAGAGGCAAGTGGCAAGTCACCTCTGTCCAGGTGCTGATCCAGAAAGCAAAGGTGTCACTAAGCTGTGACCCACACAAGTGTCCACTGGCATGAAGCACCTTAAATTGATTCTAAGGTGATTAGCAGAGCAGAATTAGCACAGTGAGCAAGAGGAATTAAGGGCAGGGAGCTGTCCTTGAGCCAATGCCATGGCTATATCTGCCTGCAGCCCCAGAACCAGAGAGGGAACAGAAACTGGAAGCATTAGCAGAGTTAAAAGCTCAGGATGTTCTGTGTGCCCACACAGATATCCCTGTGAGCACCACAGGACTGAGTGCTGGGGCTTCCACTGCAAAACATCCACAGGAACACCTCCACCTTCAGCTTCCTGCTCCCAGCTCCCCTCTCTGGCACAGTCCCATGGGGAGCTGTTTTGGGATTCTACTTGTGCACAAACGGCTTTTCCATCACTGGCGTCACTTGTAAATAACCAGATTTGTACCAGTGACTCAGCTTTTCCTGTGCAGCTGATGTCAAGGGAGTAATTTCAAAATTAAGCCAAACAAAAGCTAAGGAGTGCCTCTTCTTTCCTAAACCTTCCTTGCTGTCCCTCTGGTCCATCATTCCAGCCAGTGCTATCTCATCTCTGAGAGCCAGGACACCACTGGCAGCTCAGATTTATCAGAATCTCAGAATGGTTTGGGTTGGAAGGGATCTCAAAACCCATCTCATTCCAAATCCCTGCCATGAGGAGGGACACCGTCCACTATCCCAGGCTGCTCCAAGCCCCATCCAACCCGGCCTGGAACACTTCCAGGGATCCAGGGGCAGCCACAGCCTCTCTTGGGCAACCTGTGCCAGGGCCTCCTCACCCTCACAGGGAAGGATTTCTTCTTATATCTTATCCAAATCTACCCTCTTTCATCTTAAGGCCATTGCAAAGCCATTTTCCCTTCTCCTCACATCCAGCCCACAACTAGGCTGATCATTTTCTCTATGTTCCCTTTCCCCCCTAATCCACTCCCAAAGGAGGTGAAACATTCTCTAGAAGTTACATAAACCAACACAAAGTCCAGCTGCGTTCTCAGTCTGCCTTCTCAGCTAAAGTCAACCTTCCAGCTCAGCCCAGTGAGCCTTGCACAAACATGGGAATATTGACATGACAAACAGCAAATCCGACCCCTTGGCTCCCGGCACTGGTGGCACCACAGGGATTTGTTCCTATTAGGAACGGGTTGCCTTGGCAGAGCTGGCCAGCCCCAGCTGTGGGTGCCACGTGCACACTGAGAGTTGTGCCAGGAGATCTGACTTTTCCTGGCAGGGCCACACTCCCTGAATGTCCAAAATGACTGGAATTTCCCCGTGGCTGCCCAGTGCTGCCTGATCTGCAGGGAATCCTCTTTGCTTTGATGGATTCATCCTACAGGAAGGTCAGGAAAGCATGGAAACTCCTGACTTTTTTGAGGCCAGCTGCTTATCTTCTCTCTTTTATTTGATTGCACTTAAAGCAAATAATAATTAAAAATTTTTAAATATTTCATTTTTTGGTTCCTGGGAACAGGAACCATCCATCTCTGTGTGTGGGCGTGTGGGGACAGCTTGACCTGCACAAAGACAGCCTGATTTACAGCCCTGACCAAACCTGGAGTAATTCCACAGGCAGGGAAAGGACACAGCTAGCAGACACAAGGAACTGCTAGGAGCAGCCAAATCTCTCTGGTCTAAACTCCAGTTTCTCAAATAGTAAAATCCAAATGCTTAAAAGCACCTCACTGTGCACAACACTAACCTCCACCATCATCCAAATATCCCTTTTCTCTCCCAAACTTGAGGGAAAGAGGGATGAAAACAAAATCAAGCAAGTCAATCACATCTATAAAAGCAGATTTTTCAACTCCCACTCCTCTGAAGCTCTTTATTTCAGCCCAGGACAGGATGGCAGACCCTTTGTGAGGGCAAATAGGTGCAAGGAAGATTGCAGGAGGTACCAAAGGATCCAGAGATTCTGCTCAAACTTTGATTTATTTATGAGGGGAAAACCAGCAGGAAAGTTCTGGTGGAAAAGGCTGGGAATAGGGGACATGATATCTTCTCATACCTTAGAAGCTTAGGAGCCAATGTCCCAGGGAAGTTTCTGACAGCAATCCCTGCTGACGTTACACCAGAAGAACCCAGACACAGGAAAGCATTCCCAGTGTCTCACCTGACCATCCCTTACAGAAATCCAAGTCCTTCCTTTCCTTTCCACTCTCCAGCTACCCAGTTCCCTTTCCCAGCAGCGCAGGAAAGCTGCAGCAATGTTCTCCTGTCCAGAGGCTGCAGGGAGGGTCAGGAGCGGGTGGGACCTGGAGATGCTCCATTCCCCCAGGGAGGGAATGAGGGAGGGAGGACAGTCCCTGCCTGGGCTGCCTGTGCCCTCTCGTGGCTGCCTGACTGTGCTGCACAACCAGATTCTTGCGTGGCTTTTTAATTGAAAATGAAATTAAATCACTTTCTGCACACAGCTCTCCCACTGTCATCTCCCAGAGGATGAGATTTTCCATGATAATGTGCAGAGCCGAGCAGGGAGGAGAGCAAGTGCTGTTAATGAAACCAGAGCGACCCAAAACCTCTGCCTGCTGAGAGAACGGGGAGACTGATCAGGAAAGAGGAAGGAAGAAGATCCTCTAATTACCCAGCACGCATGCAGTTCTCCAAGCCAGCGAATTAAAGGAGACACAACCGAGCAGAAGCCTCAGCTTGCCTCAGGAAGAGCAGGTACCTGCTCTGATGAATAAAAGCACCCCACACCCCATCCTGTGGGATTTTCTCTTGCACCCCAAGCACCCCAACCCTCCAACTCCAACCAGGCTTGTAGAGGTTAATAGGAAAAGTTTATTTTCCTTTATGAAAGAGCAGGGTGCAACAATCCCGCTGCTAATGGAGTGACTTCATTTTCCTTCACAAATTGTTCTCTGCTTTGAAATGCAAGACAACCGCAGACAAGGCATTGCTCCAGTTCCTTCTGTCTCAAAGTGCTTTTCAATGTGACACCAAGGAGGAAAAAATATCCCACAAACCAAAACATCTCCTAAGCAGAGAGATCATCTCATTCCCAGTGCTGCAATGTTTGTGCGGTGTAGCAGCTCACTGCACAGGAAGACATGGAGAGATAGAAAGGATGGGGGAAGAGATGCAGGGAGAAATTCCAGGGGTGGAATTCACCTGAGCTGAAATCCACAGCTGGGGAAACCAAAGCTGTGTTATTTCTCTCTCCCCTAGACAAAACCCAGCAGCTCAGTGGAAGAAGATAGAGTTCTTACTGTAATGTCCTTCAGGAGAGGATGGAATTATGGAGCTGAGGATGGACAACAGTTTGCTGAGGGTGGCAGAGTGACAGGATGACAACCCTGTCAGAAATTAAAACCCCAGAGTGCGTGATGGCTGAGCTGATTCCAGAGACACTGAAAAAAAGGTTAAATTAGCTACAAAATACTGTCATGGCTTCAATAAACCTGGGTCTGAGCTCAGGATGTGTCAGGCCTGTACATTCTTACAGCTCCAGTGACATCCCTCCCTCCCAACACATTTTGGTGCAGGCAGGAACCTCAGCCACATCCCTCATGTGCACACAAAGAGGACTCAGTTTCCCTCACCAGGGAATGGCAGCCCAGGAAAAGTTGTGATTCCCAGTGGACATGCATCTCCAGGTCTGATGTAACACTGGGAAGGAATCTCTGGGCTTTGGGACTGCCCAGCCTGGGCATGCTCCTCCTGGAGACACAAAGAACCCAACCTGGGAACATGGGTTCTGCCTGAAGGGTGGGAATAGCACTGCCCAAAGTTCCCTCAAGAGCAGGAACAGCTCCAAGATTTGTTTGTGGGTGAGGTTTGTGTTTAGGAGCATCATGGGGGACTTGACACCAGGGACTATCACAGGGTCCTGCATCCGTCTCCGACAACTCCAGCAGATTCCCTGGTCCAGGGGCAAAAGTCCTGCAGCTGCTGGGAGTTAGGGAATTTCTCTGCTCCCTTTCTTCTGCTGGAGGCCCCAGGTGCACAGCTCCAGCCATTCCCCAGCCTGCATAACCCAGTGCCAAACATCCAGCTAAAAACAGGAACAAATCCCTCTTTGTGACTCCGCTGGCAACAAGCTTCTCTCGCAGGCTCCTTGAAAAGGAACAAGGAAGTACTTGGAAACAAACTGTTCAAGATTATTGTGCTCTGCTGGCATTTTCAGGGCTGCTGTGGTCAGCAGGACCTCGGGGACAGCACCCCCTCCATCCCCAAAAAAATTAGTGGAACAGACAGCCAGCATCTGTCCTGACTGACTGGCTTACAAGGAAGGTCCAGAATTCCCACCCTGCACAGGCCTGGCCCCTGGTTATGCCAAAGCAGGCTGCATATAAAAACAAAAGGTTTTTAAAAAATGGATATACACTGCATATAGGAGACTCCAGAGTCCATGGATGGCCATCCTGGAGCAGCCAGGGCCAGCCCAGCTCCAGGGGTAGCATGGCAGCTGTATTCCAGTCACACTTGGCCAAGTGGGACAGCTGAAAGTGGAACTTGTGCCTCTTGCTCCTTTCTCCAGGCAGAGGGAAGGTGGGAGGGAGCAGGACAGGCACTGCACTCCAAGCCCTTCCTCCAGGAGCAGTTTCCTCCACGCTCAGGGCTCTGCTTACATCTCGCTGGGATAAAATCCAAGTTTGGCCAGAGACATCTCCCTCCGGAGCCGCATGACCTCCCAGTACATCAGCTCCACTGCAAAGCACAATGGGGACAGAGAAGGGGAAAAACCACCAAAAATTCAGTAAGGAGGACACAGCTGGCCACCAGCTCCTGCTCTGCTGTGCTCCCAGCATTTCCAAAGGGGAAGGAAGCAGGATAGGCCTATCAGGTCATCCCTTACCAGCTCCACCCCTGAGCAAAGCTCCCAGGAAGGTGATAAGGAAGGAAGAGATGCTCCCCTCCTCCCCTCATGCTTTTCTTTTGTCATTTATCTGCTTCTCAAAGACACCCCCAGCCGACCCCACTCCTGTCACTCCAAACAGCTCCTCCCAGTTCCTCCCAGTTGTCTCCACAGAAAGCATTCCCCTGGAGCCAGCTCTTACCATCCTGCCTCACCAGGCCTTGCTGGATATAGCGGATGTAGGTGAAGAAGTTGCACACTGCTGTGATCTGAGGGAAAGGGGAAAAAATAAAGGAACAAAGATTTGAAACATTACTTTGGTGCAAGTGATGATAATGAGTCAAACCCATGCACAAAACCCAACTTTTTGTGGGATCAGCTCTTCAAAAATGCAGCTCAGGAAAGAATTAACTTCTAAAATCCTCCACTGAACTAGAGCTCCAACAGCAACATTAACAAATGATCCACCTTCTCCCTCCCCTCCACAGAAAGGACAGTTTGTTCCCACAGCCAGGCACAGATCTGACTGGAACAGCAACAGCTTCCAAAGAGCAGAAAATCATCGTGTTTTACAAGAGGGAATTAAATAACAATAAAGCCAAACAATGAAAGCTCTGTACTGAATGAAATCATGGGAAGTGAACACACTAAAGGTTATCTGAAAGCAGAAGGAAGAGCTGGATCTGCCCCCTAATCACCAACAAAGAGCCACCTCAACCTCAGGAATGACCTCAAATACCACAGTTTTTCCTCAATTCCAGGGCTGACCCTCAAGAACTCGTCCATTGCAGGGCACGGAATAATTTTGGAAGGCCAAGGCACCCTGAGGAGGTGAAGAACTCACCCTGGCCCTGCAGGAAGGGGAAATGTAGTAGTAATTCCCAGAATCCCCCAGCATGATCCGGTGCTTGCAGGTCCTGGGGAGGCCGCTCAGAGCACATTTCCTGCAGGAAAAGGGAAAAGCACTTCAGCAATCCACTGGCACAGCACAGATCCAGCAATTCAGCCACCTGGAGAGATGGAAGTGAGCGATCAGAAGCAAACTCTGCATCAGGCAGTGTGAAGGAAAAAAAAAAACAAACCCTTGGCTGATACTCTTTTATATCAACTCCAGGAAATATTCCATAAATGGCAGGTTTAGGAGACTTTAGGCAAAAGCCTCAGACAGGCCCAAGGGAAACCACAGGAAATATTAAAGAGGTGAGGCTGGAGCAGAGCCTCAATGTCCCCTGGTCTCTGCACATGTCCCCCACATTCCAGGACAGGCTCAGGTGTATCAGCTTTCCTGGTGAGATGTAAACACGCTGGCTGGGCACCAAAGCTGGCCTCAAAACAGGTAAATCCAGCATTTGAGCAAGATTTGCACATACCAAAAACTCAAAACAAACCAACCGCTCCTTGGGCAGACAGGAAAGGAGCTTGGCTCCCCAGTTTTGAGATTTCAGAGGGTGAAAACAGCCTTTTCCATACAATCATCAGCAAGTGGTGCAGTAGTCCTTTAATTTCTTCCCTTTTCTCCTACTATTTGCAAGGCAGATGATTTCCATCACCACTTAAAGCAATAAAGCAGAATTTTCTGGTGCACAGTTATCACCATGCTCCTCAGGGATGCAGTAGGAAGAGGAACATTACTCCCAAACTGCAAAAAACCTTCTCTGGGGAGCCACAGGAGGTGACAGCAGAGGGGAGCAGAGTTTTCAGAGAGCTCCTGAGCTTGTCCCTGGGCTTGTTTTCCACTGTTCTCAAGGCAAACATTAGCCAAGAGTGGAAGCAAGGGTTCCAAGTGTCCAGATGCAAGGAGAAGTAATCATTTACCAAATATTAACACAGCCTAAGGAGACTGAATTCCCAGGAGGTGCAGGATGACCAAAATCTTTGTAAACAAGATACCTGTCAGGACCCACATATTTGAGCATTGCAACATCCTGGAAAAGACTCTTTCTTGATTGGTACCACTTGGTGTAAAGCCACAGCTATCACAATCACAGACAAAAATTGCCATAAAAATCAGTGTTTTGCATCTGAGAAAAAAGGGAACAAATTCTTTTTGGGTCATTTATTGCCCATGGGCTCCTTCCCATCCTGCCTGGGTGGAATTTAGACAGAGTTAAAGAGTTAGGTCAGCTCAGCAAAAGCCTCCAAGCTGCCACATGGCACTGAGTTAGTGACTTGTTAATGCTCCAGAGACCTTTGATCACTGGCTGAACAATAAATACTTCACTTACGTTAGGATTTGTGACCGGAAGCCACTGTGAAGACAAAAAAAAATTTAAAAAATCAAAAGGAAACTGATAAACACAGGATGGGCTGTTTGGGGAACAATTTGCAGGAAAGTGGTAGGAAACCTGTATGTCCCTTCTGTCACAAGGACACCTCAGAAGAAAGGACTTAAATTTAATATCTGAATAAAATCCCTCCTCTTTGTTTGGAATATCACATCACTCCTGCTAGTGGGAGGTGGCTCCAAAGCTGCCTGTCACACCACTCCATGACAGGAGACAAACCAGCAGCAAGGAGGGGGCAAGAGAGGGAGACATGGTCCTTACTTGGGGCCACCACACTCCTCTGCTACCACCTTCCCCACAGGGACAGTGTGGGAAGCCACTGGCTCGATGGTGAGGGTGTTCTGCTCCACAGCCACTCGCACCAGCTCTGACAGCTGCAGCAAAACAAAGGAGAGTAGGAATGAATTCCAGGAAGGTAACACTCCAGAGCTGCCAGCTGCTCCTGCTTCTCCAGCACTGACCTCCTGCTTGGTGAAGTCCAGACAAGGTCCTACATCTTCTCGGTAAATTCTATCCAGGAAGGAGCAGGATTTGTCCAAAGTTGGAGATTCCTTCCAGGCCTGGAACTCGGCAAATAAAATAGAGTCGACCTGCAGCGAATGTCCAAGAGGAGCCGGAAGAAGGAGGAATACTATGTCAGAAAGTACCTGATACTATGCAGGAAACCCATGAAACATCTGTTCTGGCAGCTGGAGAGGCTCAGACATCACAGAAGTATCTGAGGGAAGCTGCCTGGCTCCAAGGATCTCTCGTGTCCCACCCAGCAGCAGTTCTGTGCCAGAGTGACACAGCCACCCTGGGCTGTGTGTGCCAGAAGCCTGCAGGCACCTCTCTATCCCATTTTCCTCCAGGTGGCCTTTCCTCCTTCCTGTGGCATCAGGAAAGCCATCACACAAGCACTGAATAGACACAGTGCATGCTCAACCCATGGCAGGAATGATGTGGAACAAGAGGAGATTCTGTGGGATCTGGCATTTAAATCTCTGATGGAACACTGGGCAAAGCACCAACCTGACTGACAAAACAGCTCCTACAAGCCCAACAAAAGCTTCTGAAAGGAAAAAATAAAACTAAGCTGAGCAACACAAAGAACATGAGTGCACGCAGCTGGAAAAGTCCAGATTCCAGCACATCCCCTCTGTGCCATGGAGTCTGCTCACCTGGGACCAGCAACAGCTTCAGAGCCACAAGATGGAAAAAAAAAATGGAGAAAAGCAAAATTAAAGGAAAAAAAATTGGGTATTAGCATAAAAGGAAGCTGGAACTGAAAGGCTGGAAGTGTGAGAGGCAGGTGGGTCCCACCCATTCCCAAAGGTTGGTTACCTGCCATGAGGAAGAGAAGGAGGAAGCATCTGCTCCCAAGGCCTGCCAGGCTGGCTCATAGGTGATGTGGATAGCCTTCCCAGGCAGGATGCAAAGGAGCAGGGAGAGGAGAGCAGGGAAACCAGACTTGGAGAGCAGAGGGAGAGACAGACAGTGAAGGAAGAGGTTTAGAGAGACAGGCAAAGAGAGAGGTAAAAAATATGAGATACAGAGAAAGGCTCAAGTCCTCTCCTGCAGGAACTGAGCATGGTCCTCAAGGCACCACAGGGCCACAAGCCACATCTTTAGACTTCAGCTTGAGGTGCAAAAATGGAACAGAAATTACAATTTTTAGGCCCTATTTAAGATCTTTCCTATAGAACACCAACTCTCTGAATGCCAGGTTCCTTTTTATCACTTCTCACATAAGGATTCTGAGGGACAAAAAAACATCCTATCCTTGATACATAACATTGGGCACTCTGGAGGCTGAGCCCTGAGATTTGAAACCCCAGGAGATCTGCACCCTGTGGAAGTTGCTTCCAGGAAGAAATAACAGATGCAAATCTTTAACAAGCTTTTGTGTTCCCTCAACTATTCTTCACGACACAGGCCACAGTTCCCAAAAAATCACTAGTGAGATGTATTCCTGCAGCATATTCTTCTTCAGTTTCATTTTTCCTGATCAAGTCCCTCCTATTTGCTTCCCAGGACAGCTGTGTTCACATCTGGCTAGTGGAACTGGCCTCTGCTCAGCAGCTCTTGATATCCACCCATGGCACTGGCACCCCCTGGATCTGCCCCTCAGTGATCCCTCGACTGCTTCCTGTCCCGACAAAGAGGAAACCTCCTCAAAAGGAAGCCGTCCAATGCCTGCCTCAGCACAAATTTAGGGAACAGGGCAAAACCAGCTGCTCAGTGAGACCACAGAGCTCTGTGGGAAGCCTGAGCCTGGAGCGGCGGCTCCGAGGCCAATGCAGCTGATGTCCCCGACGCACCTCTCTGCACTCGCGGCTGACGGGCTCTGGAGCCACGTTCTGGCTGGCAGCTGACACCATGGCACTGCTGGTGCTCTTGTTCCGCCCGTGGCCCTTCCTGAAGCCAGCTTTGGAAGGGCTCTGCAGCTGAGGGTGCAGCTCCCGGTTCGGGGAGGACGGCGTGGATGTGATCACCAGCGTCTTCAGGGCTGTCACCTCTGCCTGCAGCATGTCAATCTGAGGACACAAGCAAGAGTCACCCTCGGCACCTGCTGGACTCCAGTTTGCTGCACCCCATCAGACATTGAAACCACAGCGAAGCAGCTATAAGACAAGTCAAAAAACCTCTCTCCATCCTCTCAGTGCCACTATAATCCAGAATTTTAAACAGCAGTTGTCTGGGAGTCTACCCCTTTTGTCCCAGGCTCTTTTCAGAACTAGTAGCTCCAAAGAAATTTCTCTCCTCAAGATGGAGCCATTTGAGCAGCCCTGTGGTGTAGCCATGTCAGGAAATTCCAACTCCTCAGATTCCTGCTCTATCCTTCCATCCCAGAGCTGTGACAATTAAACTCATTATTTCTCTGTGGATGCATTTCCTCAGTGAGAGCTGGATCAGCAAGAGACAGCAATGCAAGGATGTCTGTGAGGCCTTCTCCCTCTCACTCAAGTGTCAGCTGGAAAGGGACCATAGCATCTCAGAGAGATGAAGATGCACTTCACTCTGATCAGCCAGAAAACAGCCCTGTGGCCAGGCTGGGCAGAGGTACCACCACACCAACCCCAAAAATGAAGTCAGTCACTCACCTTGCCCCGGGCCTCTCTGAGCTGTTTCTCTGCCGCAGCCTGTTTGGTGTTGGCTTCTCTCACCATCTTGTGGGCTTCCTGCACCAGAGAGAGTTTTAATCCACCTGCTGCACCCCAGCTCACACAGCCAACAAGGCAGATCCCAGATCTGCCACATCACATATTCCAGGCAAGGGGACAGATATCCCTGCCACATCCAGGGGCTTTGTTCTGTCAGCAGTGCAGAGCCTTCCCTCAGAATTTTCCATAGAAGGCTCCCAGTGTCAGAGCCTGGAGGCATCCCCTTTCCAGGAGTGTAGCTGGCTAAGTTAAGGAGTTTAGCTGGTCCAGGTCATCTCTCACTGATAGGGGCTGCTGAGAAGAATGCCAGAAGCAAGGACCTGCCTTTCCTTGCCCTTGGGAATTGCTTTAACATTAAAGCAATTGTTTTGCATTAAAGCAAATCTGTTCCACACCACAGTTGTGCCTGCCCCTATTCCAACAGCTGCGACTCCAGCCTCACCTCAGCCTGGTTCCTGCAGTCACTGCAGCCTTGCTGGGTGATCCTGCACTGGTTCCTGACCCTGACTGCTGTCTGTGGCTCTGATCCTGATCCACACTCGCTGCTCCATGTCTTGGTGAAGGCACTGCTCCTGCCTGCCTTGTTATTGCACTTTGCTCCTGCTTCCCTTTCAGAGAGCTGGTCCCCACTGCCCCAGGCATGGCTGTGACACAGCAGGAGCTGGAGCTCAGGTGGGGGCCAAATGGTGGAAACTGGCTTAGAAGCTTCTTCCACAGGAAGAGAGGAGCAGGATATAGCCCAGCTGGGGCCTCCCTGCAGTCTGGAAACAGCATCTGGCCAAGGCCACCAAAGGAAGGGGACAGCCCTTGGCTACATGATCTCCAAGATCACCCTGTGCTCAGGCAGCCAAAATTTTGGGAGGGGGTGCTCCCTTGGCTCTCACAGCCCTGAGTTTCAAAGGTATAGATGGGCTCTGGCTTTCCTCATTATCCAGTCAGATCCAGACATTAGAGCTGCTGGTGAATAGGATTTTGCCAGGACACAGCTTGGCAAGAATCACATTACAACAAAGAACCACCAGAACAAAACCAAACAACAGCCAATAGACTTTCTGGACACTCACTGGAACAGAGTGAATGAGGACATCCAGCATGTTCCCACCCCCAGCAAGGGCTGGGTTGAGCCAGGGAACCATCTCTATTACAGAGCAGCTCCCCAGACTGCAGAGCAGGTTTGGAAAGGGACAGGGAGCTGTGCTTGGCTCTAGCTCCAGGCATTTCCATATTTTGGAACCATAACTACTGTGCTCTTTATGCTACCCCACAGCTCATAGAAGGAGAAAGAAATCCAGGTAAAGGCTCCACCTGCAGCACTGGCCAGCTCTGCTTCTCCAAGTGGGAAAGAACAACAGGGGAGAGGAGGAAATTGTGGGAGGAGATGACTGGAAGTCCAGAGAAAGCCTGTCTTAAAGGAGCTGGATGTAAGCTTAGCTTAAACGATGGGAAAAGGAAGAGGGTGGTACCTCAAACAGGCTGGCTGTTAACTCCTCCAGTTCCTGTTCCAGCTGTTCCCTGACTTTTGACAATCTCTCACATTCTTTGTCCTTGAGCTTCAGCTCCTGTTGAGGAAATGGAGAGGGATAGGAATGCTGATGCCCTGCCCCAGCCTGTTAATCACAGCCCTTCCTCTCCATCCCAGCACCTGATCCCTAACCCAAGATTCCTGTCACCACCTCTAGGAAAGCCCCCTCTGCTCCAGCCTGTGCCACCATCCCAGGAGTTCCCCAAAACCCCGGGGCTCACCTTCTGTGCTTTGTGCAGCTCATCTCTCAGGAACTCCGAGCCCTTTTCCCGGATCTCCACTGAGGAGCTGCGCAGCCGGGACACATTGAGCTGCTCTGTGGACTGGGGTTCATGCACACCTCCAGCATCCTGGCATCCACTCTCTGGCTCTTCTTTTTCACCTTTGGATGGCATCAGTGGCTTCCAGTGTCCCACAGCAGGTGGATTCTGGCTCTCTTCCTCAAAACTGACCTGGCTGGGGGAGTTAACAGCACAGGGAAAATGAGCATGGGGGTGATCCAGAGCCTTCCTCCAACACTCACAACACATCCAGGCACAGGCAGTGGGAATGAGGCAGGCAGGGTGATGGGGAAGAACTTGGGCAGCAACAGCTGCACCACTTCCTTTGCCCTGCATCTATATATCTATATGGAAGTGCTTTACCCTTTTGGCAGGGTGTCCTTATTAACTTAGGATAACCAGGAGAACTAAGGACAGCTCCTCCAGGGATCCCCTTCTCACCTGCTGTCCAAGAGAAACACCCTGCAGATAGATTTTTAGGATTCCAGGATACACTCAGTAGACCTAAGGTCAGACTTCCCTACTGAAGTAGCATTAAAAAAAAAAAAAAAAAAAAAAAGAATATACAGCTTTCTTTTCCTTAATATAAAGACCTCAATCCAAAGGCTGCCAAGCCTTCCTCTACCCCTTGCCCCTGCTTCAGAGAGAAAAGATCTATTTTTAACCAATTTTTAACCTATTTTTCCACCAAAACCCCCACAGAGCTATCTAAACCAGTGTATTCTCCCCAAGCTGAGTTGAAGCCCTATTTCTTAGTTTCAGTGGCCAGCAAGCAGAGATGTCCTAGAAAGATGAAACCAGAAGCGTTACCCAGGACACTGCACCTCAGTGCTCAGTAGGGCTCTGTCAACTCACAAATTAACACAGATGCTGGGGAAGTTTTAGGAATGGAAAACATCATTTGAGTGCCTGCATCCAGGGCACAGCTATCAATGCAGTGTTTGCATTTCTCCTCTTCCTCAATGAACTCTCCCCATGGAATCTCCTCTATATGAAGGCTGGGGCAGTGTCCAAGCCTCCCCCGTGTGGAAGTTTTCTGTCCTGCCCATTCACAGACACTGCCCTGCAAATTAACCTGCTGCTGCTTATCTCTGACTCACAAGCTCTGGCTGAGTTCTGGTGCCCTTCTCTTTGTGCACCTCCTCCCACACTCCTGGACACCGCTCCTCACCCACCACCTCCTCCTGCAGAGCAGCCATCACATCGTTTTGCTCAGGCTCATGTTTTCCTCATCCCTTTGCCCCATCTCTGTGTTTTCCTCTCCTGCATTCCAGCCAGGCTACGCTCTTTCCCCTTGCTCTGACTCCACACAGGCTGGGTTTATCTCCTCAGCCCCAGAGTGTTTTATCACCTTTTCCACTCTAATTTCTCCCTTTCTGTGCCCCCCAAGCTGGCCAAGACCAACAGCTGTCCACAGCCACCTTCCAAAGAGGGAACGAAGCAGCAGCTCCCAGCTAAATCAGCTCAGGTATCATACGAAAGCATGTGGAAAAGCACACATGGAGAACTCTCTGAACACTGGGAAGAATTCACACCAGAAAGAAGCAAGGAAACCAGAGCACCAAGGATAAAAATAATAAATAAAATAAACAGCATGGAAAAGTGACATTTCGCCAGTCTATTGATAGAAATACACTTGATCTAAGCCACAGGAAGGAAAAATAATGTTGTTCCTTTATGACTCTCTAATTCTCAGCTGAAAGTTGCCTCAGGAGACAGATATTTCAGCGTATTTCCACGCGCTACGGAAGAAAACTGGAGGATATAGAGGAATTAAACAGTCCCACCCACACTCTGCAATGCCAAAAACATATCCTGGAAAACCATCTATGATGGAATAGCTCATTCTTTCTCCATACCATGCAAACAGAATCCCTATGGAAGCCTTGGCTATGCTGGATTCTGCTTAGTGTCCAGGTGGGGCTCTGAAATCCAATCCCAGAAACCAAAGGACCACCAGAAACACTTCCTTTCTTGCTGACTGGTATCTGTCTTTCCAGGAAAAATGTATCATATCCTAAGAGTCATGCGCTGACACAAGACATGAAAACCTACACCAAAAAAAAAAAAAAAAAGACATCCCCAACACTCCACAACCTTCTAAAGCTGGTTTCTGTAGAAAAAGCAAAAAAATGTGCAGGATCTGCACTTTTTCCAGCGGGCCCCACATGTTTCCTGCAGCACTGATCTGACGGGGTTGTTTCCTGTGCAAGCAGCCTCCAGCTCTCTCCAGGTTAAACTCTTACCCCCAGGCTTGGGAGCAGGGCCTGACTTTTCCATCCCCACCGGGATGGATGCCTGACCTGCACCACCACGGACCAGCATCATTCCAGAGTGGCTCATCATCCCATGTGTGCTCAGGAGCATCCCTCAAATACCTGGCAAAGCATCTGGCAGTGGTGTATTATATTTTAATGTTATTATATTATAGCAGAACACACATAGGTGTTTCTTGTCTTTGCCTCAGCAATGAAACGTCAAGACCCGCGTCTGGGGGTGCTGCTGCCTCCGTATTCCATCTCCTTACTTGGCTCCCACACAACTTCTTCCCTGTGACGGTGATGGAATGGATTTCCCAGAGAAGCGCGGCTGCCCCATCCCTGGAAGTGTCGACGTCAGGCTGGACAAGGTTTGGAGCAACCCGGTCTATTGGAAGGTGTCCCTGCCCGTGGCAGGAAAAGACGAACCTTAAAACCCCTTCCAACACAAACCATTCCAGGATTCTAGGCAGACACAGAGCCCCGGCACACGGACACCACTCCTTCCCCGTCCAGACCCGCACCTACCCCCGCAACATCGCTGGGTCCCGCTGCTGCCGATGCTGCTCACGGCGGAGGCGCGCCCGCCACAGCCCCCATGGCCGGGGCAGCCGCACCGAGAGCGAGAGCCCGGGGAGAAGCCGGAGCCGTGTCCGGAGGAGAAGCCGGAGCGAGAAGCGGAGACGCGCCCGGAGAAGCCGGAGCGGGAGCTGCGCTCGGAGGAGCTAGAGCAGGAGTCGTGCCCGGAGGGACCCGAACCGGAGCCGCCGCCGGGTCCGTGCCCGGAGGAGCCGCAGGCGAGCCGGGAGGGATCAGGAGCGGAGGCTCCGGCGGATCCGTGCCCGGGAGGGATCAGGAGCGGAGGCTCCGGCGGATCCGTGCCCGGGAGGGATCAGGAGCGGAGGCTCCGCAGCCGATCCCGAGCAGCCGCGGCCCCGCCGCCCACGTGATGCCGGCGCGGCTGCGCCCTGAGCGCCGCCGGGCCCGAGGGGCCGCTGCGGGCACGGGCTGAGCCGGGAGCCGGCGGGCTTTGTCACCCAGCAGCTCACCGCGGGGCACTGAGGCGGTGCAAGGAAATGTCCCGCAGCCGTCCCTCCGCTCCGCTGGTCGTCCCCGGCTCGGAATCCTCCTGGCTCCCTCCGCCCCCTTCCCGACAGCGGGATGGGGAATGGGGGCTGCTGTCTCTGCTGCTCTTTCTTCCCCAAGAGCAGAATGCCTCACACTCCGCCCCTGCTCCAGCCTGGGGTTCCTCCCACGGGAGAAGTGCTCCTTCTTCAAGGAGCTCTTCATGCACGGCCCCAGCGTTGGTCCCTTCCACAGGGTCAGTCCTTCAGGAATAGGCAGCTCCAGCGTGGGCTCCTCTCTCCACATGTCCTGCCAGGACCCTGCTCTAGCACCGGCTCCCTGTGGGGCCACAGCCTCCTTCGGGCATGCCTCTGCTCCAGCGTGGGCTCCTCCGTGGGCTGCAGGTGGATCTCTGCTTCCCTGTAGCCCCCTGCTACGAAAACGGGGCCACACAAGGCCAATACAGAGGGGAAGCCTGGGATGTAAATGCAGGAAGGTGGAAGGATGGGGGAAATCTGGCTGGGGGGAAAATCAGCTGCTGATTGTCTAGGATTTTTATATTTCAAGTGGAGCACTGGGCTCAGAACCTAACAGGCAAACCACTCCTGCTGTCACCCCTGTCCCACAGCAGATCCCATTGCCACCTGTGGATTGACAGAACTGGGATTTTCAACCAAAAGCTGCTCCTGCCCACAGAGGACATGTCCCATCTCATCCTACCTTGCCATTGCCCTGGGCTTCCCTCCAGGCAGCCGTACTCCTTTGGCGCCTTCACACAGAGCGACAGCTCCCTCCCTGCTCTCAGCTTGTCCATCCTCTGCCTCTGGGACAGACCCAACACCAGAGGCAGGAGAGTCAGACATGGTGATCCTGGTGTCCACTGCAGGATTTTGCTCTGGATACCTCACAGGGAGCAATTCTGTCCCAGCATCTCCTGGGTGTCTGTGTCACCTCCAGCCCTGCCCTACCTCATGGCTGGGATCCACAGGGACAGCACAGGCCAAGCCCATGCTCTGAAGTCTGAGAACAGAGTGTCTGGGATGTTTGTGTCTCTGGCTGCAACCTTTGCTATCTTCAGGGAACTTTTGGGAGGAGGGGAAAGATCTTCAGCTTTGCAAAGCAGCACCAGATGTAATTAGTCTTTGTAATTATTAACTCCCCGGGCTTGGCCAGCAGCAGCAGAGGGTCCTTAGATTAGAAAGGCAGAAGTGCTTCCAGGAGCCAACAAAGGCAGGAAGGATGAGAACTGATAGTGCTGACAGGAAGCTTTGAGAGGGATGTGCTGAATCCCAGCCACTTGAGAAAGTAACTTGTCATGAGGGGGAAGAGTGGCATGTGCTCCCCTCTTCTTCCCAGAAGAGAAGCAGGAAAGGCAAAAGGGGACATAAAAGGAAGGGAAATGACAGGGAAGGAAAGAGGGAGAAGAAAAAGAAAGCTAGACAGAGGCTGGGAAGAGAAGGAAGAACAGGCATTATCTTTGTGTTTGGAAAGCAGAATCTGACTTGCTGACACTCCTTACCCAGCAAACTGAAACCAGATGGTATTGCCAAGGAAAGGAGAACAAATGGCTTGAAACTCCAGGCTCCATCCAGCCTCTGCTGGCTGGCTCCTTGGCTGTGCCACATGTTTGCTCAGCTGGCTGTGAGGGCTGCAGCAAGGCTCCTCTGGGAGCCTACAGGACTAGGACCAGCACCAGCACATTTGATCCTCCCTTTGGCACCTAATCCCCACCACAATTCCTGAGGCAAGAGAAGAGGGACCTCACTAAGGACCCTTCCCTCATTTTCATGCTCTATGCACTGAACTGTGCAACATCAGAGGCAAAGCAAGAGATTTGTCACCATCCAAGCCCCTAAAAGCCAAATGCAAAGGGTCAGATGGAGCTTGGCACAAGGACAGGCACCCCCAGCTCCCAGGGCAGCATGAATTAGTGAGGAATTCTGCAGCATAAGGGGAACAGGCTTGGGAGTCCTCATAAAAGCACTGCATCCTCTTCAAACATTTCTGGCCAGCTCAAATCTCTGAGTAAATCCTGTCCATGAAAAACAGCATCTCCACAGACACGTCCAGTTCAATTTTTAAAAAAAATTACATCAGATTTCAAAGAAAAATGTAGTTTGGAGAGACACCTCTGATGCCAGCTGCCTCTGTGTCTATCCCAGCACTGAAAATGGAGAAGGGAAAGGGATTTCACCAAGCTTTGGGACCTACTGTCCCTAAACACACTTACTGTTCTCTGGAAGAGAGCAAGGAGGGCACTGTGCCTTTTCCAAACAGCTGCTGCTAACTCAGCATTGAGAGTAGCCCTTTGGCATTCCCAAAGCAGGGATTCAACTCCCAGCACAGCAATCCAATCTCTACATCTATAGCATGGAGAAAATGAGGATGATTCCAGGGCTCTGAGGCTGAGGATAGATGTCAGCACTTCTTTGCTTCATGCTCTGCTGAGCAAGGCAGGCTTTCAGACCATCCTCCTCCTCCTCAGGGTCTGAGGCCACAGGAGATGTGGAAAGAGATCCAAGCAGCTCTGCCACGCTGGTAGCCCCTCAGTTATTTAATATTAAATTCCACACATATTTCCTGCTGTCCCAAGGGCAGCTGTGGAGCACACGAGCTGCCAGCAGAGCTGTTCTCAGAGGAGGGCAGCAGAGGCCCTCAGATGCCAGCACATCCCTCCACAAACAGCAGGACACTCAGGGGGTTGTTGTTCCATGTCCCCAGGAGCAGCCAAACTGCTCCCAACACGTGTAGCAAATGTCTCACCTAAAGCATTTTGGTTTCCCTGCTGTGTGTGGGGATGAGGGCTCAGGCACTAAGACCCTCAAGATCTATCTCAGCCTGCCTGTTCAGCAATTCCAGCCCTGGAAGTGGACTACATTCCCTTCAGAGAGGGTCCCCCTGCTCTCATGTCCCTTCACAGAGCACCGATCCCACATTTTAAACCATGCTCTCCCTGCCACTGGCAGCAATTCCCAGGACTGCACCAGAAATCCCACATCAGGCAGATGCCAGGCAGCACCTGCTCCAGAGGAGCAGTGAAACAACCCACTCCCCTTATCAAGGATGAGCCACAGGAAAGAGAAAACTACAGCTGGGACAAACTGATCCCAACTACTTATGTTAAGTAAGTGTCAAAGACAAAGCACAGGAGATAGTTATTACAGGAACCTGGGTCTCCAGTTGCTCTTACCTGCAAGGATAAGACTTGTGCTCCCTTTCCACAGTGTCCCACAGCTGCCTAAACAATGGAAGATCAGTTCATTAACAAAAGATTTTGATTCAGAGATTCCCCCTCATGGAAGGGGAATGTCCTTAAGACCTGACCAGAAGCATTGAGGAGGTGGTGGAAGGGAAGGATGGTCACAATTAGGAAGGAGCAGAAATGGGACAAAGAACCCTGGGAAAACAGAGGGAAGGAGTTCGCTGGCTTGGTGGAAGTTGGAGGGCAAGACAAGGACCCCAATGTTTCCCAGGATGTCATGCAAGGAAGCACAGTGACAGCTCTCAAGCACTGCTGGAAAAGCAAGAGCAAAAGGAAGCGAACACATGGAAAGTCTTGGAGAACCAGTGGCAGAGCAGAAATCCTCAGCATCCAAACCCAGCCGGAAGAGGTGGCAAACTCATCCAGGGACAGTGAGGGATGACAGGGAAGCATGGTGTGAGAGCCAGGCAGAGCACGGACCAGGTGTTTCACTGACCTAGGGAAGAGAGGGCAGCCCCCAAGCATGCCGTGTTTTACAGCCTTGGTGGAAAATTCCAGCCCTGCATAATCTCCTGGGGTTCCTGTAAGATTGTGACATGGAGAGAGGGACCAAACAGGAAAGAATTAGAGGAAAAATGCCTCTCTTCTGGCAGTCACCATGGCTGTGCCAGGAGTTAGCAGCAGCAGAGCAGCCAGCCCTGCCTCCCCCTCCTCCGGCCGCCTCTATAAACACGCACGGCTTACTCAGAAGATTAGGAGGGAGCAAGGCAAAAGACAACAGAGTCTCTTTTGTAATGAGGAGGGATTACGGCATCAAGTGACCGGCTGCAGCTCCCAAGTGGGTCTCAGGCTCCTTAGCACACCGTGTGGGGCAGGTCCAATCCCCCTATGAGCCAAGGGGACACGAGGATGCAGGTGGTGGCCCGGGCCACAAAGGACCCAGCAGGGACACGTGCAGGACCAAACCACCTCAGCCTCCAGCACAGCTCAGGAGCCCATGACTGTGAGTATTTGGTCCTCCTAACAGCAGCAGGAGGAGCATCACTCTCTCCTGCAGAGATCCAGCTTCCTGCCTATCCGTGACCTCCTCTGGCTCCATCCCTCTGCTCTGTCTGCTCATTGTCCGTCTTTGAGATATCTGCTAGAGTCTGTTTGTGGTGGGTCATGCACCTGATGTCCCAGAGTCTTACTTGCTGCGGGCTCCCACAACTGAATTCCAGGTCAGTCGACTTCCAGGTGTGCAGGTTAGTCCAGAGGGATGAGCAGGGGATGCAGGCAGTGGCAGGCAGCAGCTCCCTGGGTGGGCTCTTCCTGCCCATCTCGACTCCGGTGTGCCAGTGAGCCACCTCCCACCACGGACCTCAGCCACAAATGGAACGTGCCAGCAGCCCAGTGACATCCCAGGGCAGCCCAGCAGAGGCTGGCAGGTGGGCAGGAAGGTGCCTTAACCATTCAGGGCTGGAGGGAAAAGCACTGGGAAAAGCCCCATATCCCACACAGGAACAGAGGTGGGCGACATCCATTATTTACATGGCCAAGAGCTGGAGTTTTCCTTCTTTGGTAAAAAAGGGACTCTGTATTTGAATTACGCAACAAAGAATCTCCCTGAGCGCTTTCGAGCCCTAAAGCCCAGAGAAAAGATGCAGCTTTTTGTAAGGGGCCCCAAAAATGTATGGGGTTTTGGGCATGCTTTTCTCTTCTGGACTGCCTGTGTGACCTCTGGGGCAGTTAAAACCTACTCTTCCAAGTTCTGTACCCAGAAATCCATATGGAATGGCCACAAGGATTTACTGAAATGGGCATTTGTGCAGCTGGGGACAGGGACAGCTCTGCTCCTCTATATCACCCTTAAGAGGGGACTCAGGGACCTAAGTTGTGACAGGGAAACCCAAAGGAGGAGTGTTGCACCAAAAAGCCAAACCCAGGACAATGATGCTGCTTGGTTGAAATAGCTGAAAATACAGACTTTGCTGGTTTTCTTCACAGCAGCAGCTCACTAGGACCTGAGTTGTCCGCATCTAAGTGTAAATCCTCCACTGGGATGCTTAAATTAGAAACAAATGAGGAATGTGGGCCCAAACTTACCTTGCTTCAGGGTGCGACCTGTCCCTTGAAATGTTTCTTCATCTCCATCATTCAGGGAAGAACCTAAGGCCCCGTAATCATTAATGTTATTACCTCTGTTAAATAGAAATGCCTGGTGACATGTTAGGATTTAGAAATACCAATAGTTTTCACATTGGATAATGATTTCTAACCCAAGAAATCATTCACCAATCTGCCTGGCATGGATAACACTGGTGTCTTGTTGTTTGTTGGGGTGTTTTTAAAATAAATTCAAGTTTATGCAACTATGAGTCTGATTATTAATTGATTATAAAGAATTATTTATGCAAGTTAGACTAGAAGTGAAATGGGGATGCTGCATGTCTGGGGAGCATTTCAGGAGCCTGAATGCCTATTTTTCAACCACTCTGATTTATTGTGCAACATATGGTTGAAGGAGAGGGGAGGTAGAGCTGCTGGAATTTGGGCACTATGAGCCTGGCCAAACTCCATCCCACAGATCTCCAACAGGGAAGGCTGCTCTGCCTACAGGACTAGGACCAGCAGAGTGCAGACAGCTACCCTTGCTGGGACGCCTTTATCTGGATCAGTCCTAAGAAATCTTTCTGGGGTTTTTCCTTTCCTTTGGGTTGGGTTTTTTTTTTCCCCAGCAGTATTTCAGGAAGATGTTTCCCAGCAAGTAGGTTTACAGAAACCTATTTGGAACAAAAACTGTATTAAGGAAATTACTGGGATAAGCATAAACTTTGCAGTTTGTGACCCTGAGATTAATCTTACCACAAGTGTTTTGTGGAAGGGGCTGGCACGTGGGCTTTGTCCTCTTCACCAACCAGCCCCACTTGAATGCTGACAAAAATCAAACACTAAAAACAAAGGGATCCACCACAAAATACATCCTTGGTCACTATAACCAGCTCAAGGACAGCGAAAAGATGGCAAACTCATGAAATAAATCGCCTGCTGTCAATTTCCTTCTGGTTCTCTGTGCTGCTGCCTACATCTTGCCTGGCTTTTGATCTCAGCTCGTTTTGTTTTCTCCTTCCTTTCCATCTTGCTTGGTGGGACACTTGGGATGTCCCCGTGTCTCCTCCTGCTGAAGCTCCAAGCCCTGCTTGTTGTGTGCCTGCACAGGAGCTGTGATGACAGTGACCTACACCAACCGCGTGGCTGATGCCCGCCTGGGCACCTTCTCCCAGCTCCTGCTCCAATGGAAGGGCAGCATCTACAAACTGCTCTACTCTGAGTTCCTGATCTTCATCTCGCTCTACTTCACCATCAGCCTTGTCTACAGGTGAGCAACTGCACACCCACAGCCTGGCCTAGGGCAGGACACAGGAGAAACACAGGACTGGGGCAGGGATCCTGCTGGGCAGGCACTTGCCAGACGCTGTTCACAGAAGGGGAGGGGAGAAAGGAGACAACGGATAGGGAGAACTGCTTCTGTTTGTCCCTTTTAGGCTGATCCTGAGCGAGAGCCAAAGGCTGATGTTTGAGAAGCTGGCGCTGTACTGCAACAGCTACGCCGAGCTAATCCCTGTGTCCTTCGTGCTGGGTAAGGAGCTATCTGGAATCCAGCAGGGAGGGGAATAGGACAGCATTTCTTCTTTGTTCAGCAGAGCTCCCCTGGCAGAGCAGGTCCCTCCCTCTGCCTTTGTAAAACTCTTCAAGTGGGATATATCCTTTATTGTCACAGCTGTGAGTGTCCCCCAGCACAGGAGGACAAGCTCCAAGTGGCACCAGATATGCCCAGGGAATTTGTGGTTGCCTCATCCTTGGAAGTTTTTAAGGTCACACTGGGTGGAGCTCTGAGCAGTCTGGTCGAGTGGAAGATGTCCCTGTCCAGAGCAGGGGGTTGGAATAAGATTATCTTTAAGTTGCTTCATTGAATCGGAACAGTTTAGTGAAGGGAAATATGAAATCCAGCCTCCTTTTAGCATGGAGGACTGAATTCCCCTCCAGACATTCCTGCACCCATCCCTGTGTGAGCAGGAGAAGAGAAGGAGATCAGACAGACTGGGAAGAAGCAGCTCTTTTCAGATGCCTGACTCTCTCAGCTCCTCTCCAGGTTTCTATGTAGCCCTGGTGGTGTCCCGCTGGTGGGCCCAGTACGAGAGCATCCCATGGCCAGACCGGATCATGAACTTGGTGTCCTGCAACGTGGATGGGGAGGATGAGTATGGGAGGCTCCTGCGCCGCACCCTGATGCGCTATAGCAACCTGGTCAGCGTGCTGATCCTGCGCTCCGTCAGCACCGCCGTCTACAAGCGCTTCCCCAGCATGGAGCACGTTGTGAGGGCAGGTCAGCACTGCTCCTTGCTGTTCCTCTAGGGCAAGGGGGCCCTGGGAAAGGTTCTTTGGAAATGGGGTGGTGCTGTTCCCTCAGGGCAGGTGGGAATTTGAGCCCCAAGTCTCCAAGCTTAACTGCTGGGCACACTGCATCTTCCTGGGAGATGCTCCTCAAGGTGCAGCAGAGTTCCCAGTCTGCCCACATTGTCTGGGTTCCCTCAGCAATCCACAGAGATGTGATATTGTTAGTCTCCTGAAAAGGCACTTTAGGGACACAAATTATCCCATTCTCAACAAGTATCTACGGACACCACGCAGGTGCACCCTCAGCAGTGCTTTATCTCCCTGATGACTGTTATCTAATGTACTGCAGACATCCAAAGTGAAATCCCATTATCCCACCTCCATGACTCAATGTTTTAACAAGGAGACTTGTCCTTCTTCATGTCTCCCCAAATTCTGAGTCTTCACTAAGATTTTTAGGGAGAGCCAAGGCATCCACCTGAGATTCAGACGTTTTCATTCCAGAGCAGATCAGTTCCTTCTGTCCTCTATGTCCATCCCCCTCCTAGCTGCTCTTTTCCATCCAGGCCTCATGACACCAGAAGAGCACAAGAAGTTTGAGAGCTTGAATTCCCCCCACAACAAGTTTTGGATCCCATGTGTGTGGTTCTCCAACCTGGCTGTGAAGGCAAGGAATGAGGGCAGGATCAGGGACAGCGTGCTTCTCCAAGGCATCCTGAATGTGAGTGACAGAGGGGACAGGCAGGTCTTTGAGAACCTGGGGAATGGGAGGCACCTGTGAAGCGGGTTCTTGGCACACTCCAGAACAGCCAATGCCTGTGGAGGTTTCCAGGATCCAGATGGAAAGCCACAAGGAAGAATATATTTGGAAGTCTAGGAGAGGTCAAAAACAATCAACAACTGAAGTCCTGTAGAAAACATTGCTATTAAAAACTCTTAGATAGTTTTGGGCAACAGGCCATGCTCCACAGGCGAGACCTGGCAACAATCCCTGCCCAGCTGCACAGAAAAAGGAGCAGCTCATCCTTCTTGGTATTCATGTGCAGAGAAAGTCACATGTTTTCTGTTGCCTGAAGCAAGATTCATCTCCCCAGAGAGAGAAATCTCCCTCTGGGATACTTATCTATAGACAGGAGAGAGAAATGGATGCTCCTGAGGGCATTCTTGGCCTCACCTGTTGGCTGCTCATTTTGTGAGGAGAAACTCTGCTATGAAGTGAGCTAGAAAGGGATCTTGGGCTCAGGGGGAGACACCCAGACAGCAGGGAATTCCTCCAAGGCTGAGACTGAGCCCCCCTTCCAGAGAAGGTATAAGCAGAAAAGACTGGAGCAATGGAGGACAGTGGTGCTGGAGAAGTTCTGCAAGAAGATGGGAAGTCATCCTGACATGCCATTCCCTTTTCCCTGCTGCAGGAGCTCAATACCTTGCGCAGCCAATGTGGGAAACTCTACGGGTATGACTGGATCAGCATCCCCCTGGTCTACACCCAGGTGAGAAGGGAACCCCTGCACCCATTGCTTCACCCCATGCACATCCCCACTTACACCCACACCTGGAATGTTTTGGGTTGAAAGGGACCATAAAGCTCATCCAGGGACATCTTCCATTATCCCAGGTTGCTCCAAGCCCTGTCCAATCTGGCCTTGGGCGCTTCCAGGGATGTGGCAGCCACAGCTTCTCTGGAAAACCTATGCCAGGAACTCACATCTTCTTAGTGTGAACGAGAATTCCTTCCTCATATCTAATCTAAACCTGCCCTCTATCAGTTTAAAATCACTGTTATGTGTGCTGTCACTATCTGCCTGTGTAATAAGTCCCTCTCCTTCCTTTCCATAAGCTCCTTTAAAGTCCTGGAAGGCCACAGCCTCCCCAAAACCTCATCTCCAGGCTGAACAACCCCAGCTCTCTCAGCCTTTGTAGAAGTGCTTCATACCTGACCCACCAATGAAAAATGTAGGATACTCTTGAATCCCTCACCCCCACCTGCACATGATCTCTTCCATTGGTACCTCACCACACATCCAGCCCAGCCTCCTTTCCCTAACTCAGACACATCCTTCTCTCCAGAAAGAACCTCTATCCAGGGGTAACAAATCCCCACATATCCATGGAAAACACAGGAACACACAGACACACTCCCTGCACCACCTTGCAGGGATCACATCCCAGGAAGGTTGTGCCAGGCATGTACTCAGCTGTTTATCAGCCCAGGCAGACACTTTGGCACCACCTTGCTCCTTTGTCTCCTACAATCCAGCTGCTCAGATAACAGGGATGCCCTTCACCATGAAACAGGAGCTGTTGCTGCTGCTCTGGCAGTGCCAGAGGTTAATGGGGAACATGTTGTAAAGTGTATTCCTGTTTTGAACCCCCTTGTTTATATCAAGGGACCATGTGAGAGTCTTGGTTATTTTTAACTTGAAAAGGGGAAGTTTCCAGTCCTGTGGCAACAGGCAAAAGCACAAAGCTCAGCATAGCCTGAAATCCAGGCAGGCAAATATTAACAAAAGCTCAGCATGAGGAGAAAGAAGGAAGGAGCAAATAGCAATGCTAGGGTTCCCTTTCCGGACTTGGAAGCAGCCTGCCAGCATGGACTGAGCCATGAGACAGCTGTAGTGCATCCAGGATGTCATGGGATTGCTGCTGCCACTGGCCTGTGACACCTGCACAGGTATCATTCCAGGGACAGCACTCAAATGTAGGTAAAAGCTCAGGGAAAATGGAACGTCTATAGCTTTCCACAGGGAAATGCATCCTCCTGCAAAAAGCCTGTCAGAACTGAATCCAAGGCTACCCAGAGGCTAAAGACCTTGGCTTTGGAGCTGTGTGGGGGGAAACTGAAGGGAGATGCTGGGAACTCATGCTGCCCTGGTGTGTCACTTGGCATCCTTCCCAGGTGGTGACCGTGGCTGTTTACAGCTTCTTCCTGGCCTGTCTGATTGGGAGGCAATTCCTGGATCCAGAGAAAGCATATCCTGGCCACGAGCTGGATCTCTTCGTTCCTGTCTTTACGTTTTTGCAATTCTTCTTCTATGCTGGCTGGTTAAAGGTAAGTCCAAGAAAACATGGCTGGAGCCAGAATCTGACCCAGCCAAGGGTTTTTCCCAGTGTGAGCTCACCAGGAACCCTGCTGTGTTTTTTGATCTATAGGCAATAACAGGAAGCCAAGAGGGACTGAGGAAGTGCCAGGACTTTCTAATTTTCCAACTGTCTCATTCTGGACACCAGCTGCACTTTTCCTAGGCTTTGGTCCTTACTAGAGGGAAAAAAAGAACTCCTTGCAGGAGGGTTGTGTGAGCAGGAGCAAGTTATTACAAATTCCAGTATCTCCCAGCCCCTGGGATGCTTCCACTTTTGACCTACCCCCTTTTTGGGAAGAAAAACATGGTTTGGAATCCAAGGGCCATCACACCTGACTTCTCCCTGCAGGGAAAAGGGCAGGGATGGCAATGGTGACCTTTGCTGTGTGCTCTCCACATGCAGGTGGCTGAGCAGCTCATCAACCCTTTTGGGGAGGACGACGATGACTTTGAAGCCAACTGGCTCATTGACAGGAACCTGCAGGTAAAGGGAAGGAAGATTCGCCAGGTGAGCCTCACCTGAAGAGGAACACCAAGGCAGAACAGTGACCAAGTTCTCCTGCAACACTTCTGCCTCCAATGGGAGAGATCCTCCCAATCCACAGCAGGGAATATGGGACTTCTGGCACATCTTTGTACACAAGGGCTGTCTGCAGCTTCATCCACGCTATGGCACATGGATGGATCAAGGCTGCTTGTTACAGGCCTCAGCTGCCTTTGAATGACACATCATTCCTGCTCCTCCTTGCTTTCTTACCCTCTGTCCATCTAAAACTGCCTCCTCTGCTTTCTGCTATGCAGTAACTCCCACCCTTCAGTCCTAGTGAGTCTGTTGCTTTCCTATCTCCTTCGGTACCATTTTCCTTCCAATTAATCAAATCTCTGTGAGAGAAACAACCCAAATGACAGGAAACCACAGCAACCCCAGCCACTTGCCTGGCTTCCAATGGTGCACCACTTCCTCCAGCTGTGTTCCTTTGTCCCTCGATAACAGGCACACAAAATGCTCCTCACCCTGTGTGTGACATTCCTCTTGACCCCCACAGGTCTCCCTCATGGCAGTGGATGAGATGCACCAGGATTTACCCATTCTGGAGAAGGACCTGTACTGGAACGAGCCTGATCCCCAGCCACCCTACACCGCGGCCACTGCTGAGTACAAGCGCCCATCCTTCCTGGGCTCCACTTTTGACATCAGGTGAGTGCAGGCACAAAGGGTCACAACACCTGGATCAGGTCTTATGTAGGACATTACACTTGAGGAGCTTTTAGGCTCATCCACAACAATCAACATTCTGCATGGAAAAGGATAAATCTAACCTCTTTTCCTCACTCACCTGTATGATGAGCATCCCTGCTTTGGGGGGCTAATAGCAATACAGGGAGAGCCTTGCCACTGGCAAGCAGCATTCCCAGTGCTGCCAGACTCTCCAGGAGATCCCTCCCCTCCCTCTATGGCTGTGTAACAGTCCACTTTGGCTTTCCCAGCATGCAGAAGGAAGAGATGGAGTTCCAGCCCCTGGAGCAGATTAAAGAGAACGAGGAGGCCAACCACTCCACTCCCTTGCTGGGACACCTGAGCCGCCTCCTGGGTGTCCAGTCCCCGAACTTCTCCAGGTCCTCTTCCCGGATGAACCTGCTGCGCCGGCGAGGAGATCCCACGTCGCCCTTCTCCCATTATACCTACCAGGATATGGGGAAGGCCGGAAGCCCTTGTGGCATCAATCAGCCAAGGGGAGACTCCCAGGAGCAGTGGGACAGTGAAGAGGGAAAACTAAGGGAGTTTGATGCTTTCATGTCCACCCCCTTTTACGAGAGGCCTGGGTTCTACAGCGCTCCACAGACACCCATCAGCTCCATCCCCATGATTTTCCCTTCCCGACGCCAAGGGCGCAAGAAGCCACCGGCGCTCTCCAGCATTGCTGCGTGCTCCACTTCCCTTCGGGATGTCATTGCCAGTGCCTCCCCTTCCAGGGCCAGCGACACGGACAAGAGCCAGAGCTCCCTGGGCTCTGCTGCAAAGGAAACCTTTGTTTGGCCAACAGAGCAGAGCAAAGGTCTCGACTCCGTAGCTGTGACAGTAGAAGAAGGAAAGAGCAGCTCCAGGGAAGCTGCCACCACAGGAAGCCCTGGAGCGCAGTCCACAGCATCCAACAGCCCCAAATTCCCCCTCCTGCCAGAGCCCACTGAGCATGAGAAGCACAGCAGTTTCAAAAGCCTGAAAAGCTCCAAAGCCTCACACCCACCCTGGCTAAACCTGGAGAGCACAGCCTTGGCCACTCCCAACTCGGAGCATTCCAGTGCCTTTCACACCCCCAGTAACAAAACCCCTGGAGGCAGCGCTGCCCTCTGCTTCTCCTTCACTCCTGTCACCTCTCCAGCACTGAAAAGGTCCCACAAGGGCAACCTGGGCCCTGAGGCTCTCAGCCTGAGTTTGGAAGATGCAGCCAGCGCTCCAGACCAGCACCCAGAGGTTTCCAGGAACATGAGAGATGCTGGGAATGGAAACACCAATCCCCCAGCTCCCAAAGAGCCCAGGAGAGCAGAGAGTCCATCCCCCAACGACTCTGGAATCTCCCTAGCTGAGGGTGACTATGTGGGGCTGATGGAGGTGATCCTGGAGGCCAGTGAAAGCCCAGGGGAGGAGCAGATGGACCAGTACAGCTAAAGGGGAATCCATGGATCCATGGGATACCTGCCTTATCCTGGCACTCATCCAAACAGAGGTGCTGGACACGCAGCTGGAGCTCAGTCTGGGCTGAAGGCAGCACTAAGAACACACTGCTCCTGGCCTCAGCTACAGCAGCAGGCACAACTCATGTTGCAGTAAAGCATCAAAAAACCCAACCTGTAGCAAAAGAACAAGACTTTGAGTGTTAAATATTGCAGGTACCAGCCTGACCAGCCAGGTGTGCCCCAGAAGAGGAGCACAGTTTATGTGGATACTTCCTTCCTCCTCAAAGCAAGAATGAGAACTTGAGTCCTTTCTCAGGCAGAACTTGCACTCCTAACAAGATAGTCCAGGGAAAAGTAAGGGACTGAAGAAAGCCCCATCACTTGTGATACAGACCCACAGTGCCTCTTCCAGTCCTGCCTGGCTGGTGTTTTCCAGTACTGGGATAAGGCAAGGTAAGGGCTTGCCAGCACAGGCAGCTGCAGCATCTGCCCGGCACATTGCTTCCTTCTGAAGTTCTACATCTCCCACCAGGAATTTGACAGTGCTCAAGAGAAAGCTGGGTGGCAGCAGATACCACTCAGCTAATTTTTACTGCCCACCCTCAGAAAATAAAAAGCAAGGGTCAAGCCCAGGAGCTTGGTTTTGTTTCCTTATTTTAGTTCCCTGCAAGAAATTTAAAGAAACCACAGAGATTTTCCTACTTCTGTCTTCAGCAGCAAATCCCCCATGTCAAACAACAAATTTACCTCCCACTGCCTTCACTACAGCTGCCTATTCTTCCTCCAAACTAAACAGGAAAAGCCAGCTGGAACCAAGTCACTTTATTGGCCGGAGGGTAGTACATAAAACACAAACAGAACAGGGGATATTTGGTACAGAGTATGGAACTGTTTATCTAGGGAGCTGAAGCTGCATGCACGGCTGAACAGTAAGTAGAAGTCCCACTGAAACCCACAGCATGGCTCTTGGCAAGGCTTCAGCTGTGACAGTCCCCGAGGGTGTGCTTGTCGAAGAGATACTCTGCCATGCCGTACTTGGGGGCCCCCATCTTCCGCAGGTTGGTCACGTGGTCACCCAGCTCCTTGATGGCTTTCACCTGCTCATCCAGGTAATGGGTCTCAATGAAGTCACACAACTGAAAGGGAGACCAGAGGTTCAAATTCAGGCCTGAAACCCTACTGAGGCTCTCTAAGCAAAGGAGCGGATGCAGAATTTTCAAGCTGAGAGGAAGCAGCTTCTAGTTTTGTTGCAGAACAAGATCAAAGTTAGCCAGGCTAGGTAGGCTCACATGCTCCAGAACCCTGCAGAGCCAGGCAGCTCAGGAAGCCTCTCCTCTTCCTCACGGCAGGAAGCATTAGCCAAGCTTCTGAACACATCTGAGACACCCCCACTGCACAGCAAACTCACAGCAGTGGGGATTTACACAACTGGTTTTGTTTCAAAAAGTCCCTCTGACTTAGGCAAGACATTCCCAAGAGTGCTTGGACTCTCACACATACTAATCTCTTCCTGATATTAAGCAACCTCAATCCAGCCTTGCCAAAAACTTCCATCGGCAAAGAATTCCATGTTTTCAGACACTGTCCTGAAACACCAGGGCTTTTAATATTCCAAACCAACTCTGGAATTTTGTGGCAAAAAAAACCTAGTGACAAAAAGCCCTAAAAAGATGGAACTCAGCCCCCTCAGAAATGGTCTCCATAGAGACTGTTCACAGACATCGCAGAGGGAATAAAGCAGGTCCCTGTCACTTTAAAAATGCTCCTGGAAGGACAGCAGTAACCCCACCAAAGGACTCTGGAAGGGCTGCACCCCTGGTTCACACCTTTTTTCACCTTTAGCAACAACAGGGACACACAGCTCAGCCCCAAAGCCGCATCCTTGGCCAGCCATGCTGACCCCCAGCATGCACTTACATGTGGGTCATTCTTCTCGGTTGCCAATTTGTGCAGCTCTAGCAGTGATTGGTTCACATTTTTCTCCAGGTGCAGGGCACACTCCATGGCAGTCAGGCCATTCTCCCAGTCATCACGGTCTGGCTTCTGCAAGGGGAAAGCACAGGACATTCTTTCTGTAAGAACCCACAGACCAGCAGGGTGCACAGCCTTTAGGTCACTCTCAAAGCCTGTTTAGACCAAGTTCAGGCATTTATGCAAAGTCAAAACTTTGAAGAGCACCCTCAGAACAGAACTGAGCAAACCCATGAAGTCCCACTTCTCAAAATAGTGCATAGAACACATCTGCTCTGTGTTAAATTTAACGATGGTGATGAACCAGTTGCCTTCTGGCTCTGCCCTCATCCCACACCAAACAACCAGGGGCTCAGCACCGTCTCCTTACACTCTTTGATTAGTCAATCAGCACAAATAATCAAATTGCTCCACATCTCAAATTGCTGTGCCTCTCCAGTGTCAGCTGCTGCTCCTTCTGGGGAGGACCCAGAGGAAAATTCATCCCCTTCCAGCTGGGGCCAGCCCTGAGCTCACCTTGACGTCCTGCAGGAAGATGCGCCCGCCCCTCTGGTTCTGCAGCTTCATCAGCTTCTCAGCGTGCTCCCGCTCCTCGTGGGACTGGTGCAGGAAGTACTTGGCAAAGTTTTTCAGGGCCACATCATCCCGGTCAAAATAGTAGGACTGAAAAATAAAAACGAGTTCACAGACTCTAAACCTCTGCTTCAGGATGGCTGCAGTCCAAGGCCAGGCCAGAAAGGCAGTGTGGAACAACTCTCCCCTAAGTATCATTCGATTTTTCCAGCTAGGATTAAATTTTAACCTGTACCCCTACCAAGGGCACAAATAAATGGTGTTTGTGTCCTTGGCTCAGTTCTAAAAACACAAAAAAACCCTGAAACTCCACAGATACCCATTCTGAGCACCATTAAACTGCAGCCTTGAAAGGCCTTTTTCAAGGAGAAATCTTCCCTTTGTTTGCCTAAGCTTGTTTACAATGATCACATTGCAAGTCAGGGTCATGACTTGCAACATCAGGTAAGGGTGAGCCAAGAACTTTAGGTACTCCTGCAATAAAACTCTCTTGCTTCACTAGGCTTTCCAGGGATTAGAATAAAGAATACACTTTCTACTTTTTTTTGCGGGGGGGGGGCAGTCACATTTAAAATACAAGAGATAAATAGAGCTACAATATGAACTCAACTGCAACTAAAATATTAATTAAATTATTTTTCTGAAAACAAAGAAAACCGCCCTGTAACAGCAGTCAAAAGCGGTGACACAGCTTGTTTATTCTTTGGTTAGAGCCATTACCAGGATTCAATGCAAAGTTCTGTGTGAACTGCCAATTATTTACCGACCTACTCCAGAACTCTGCTCTTAGACCAGCGGCCTGGAGGTTCAAGGCAAAGCACCGGTGCTTATGTACCACTGTCACCCACCAACAGAAGCTCAAAACAGGGCTCAGAACTAAATCAACACAGAAGAGAACCTATAAAATACGTGCCACAACTCAGCACAGCGCCACTGGGAAGTCTCAATGTCCCAGCACGCCCAAAGCACCAGGATTGCTGCACAGAGGTCAGGGAACAGCTATAACAGGCGCCTCGGGCCATAGGAGACGTGTAAACACAGGGCCCGAGAAAACCACAGATTCCTACCGATTCCTGGAGGAAAACCCGAGCCTGGGAGGCGAGCACGCCCGCGGGAAAGGTGCCAGGAGCCTCGTTAGGCACCTCCCGCTACCCAGCCCGGCCCCAAGGGCAGAGGTGCTGAGCGCGGCTGATAACAGAGCCGCCAAGGGCAACGGCCCCGCGGAGCAGGCGAGATAAAAGGGCCTCACCTACACCCAGGGGACGGCCCAGACGGGCCTGAAGGCAGCGGGGGGAGGAGGAGGAGGTGGAGAAAAAGGAGGAGGAGGAGCTGGGCCCGCAGGCACCGCCCGGCGCCCAGGAACCCCCCGCCGAGCAAGGCCCTCATGCAGCCCCTTTATCTCTCGTAGGATCCTTCCCTCACGCCGCCGCGCCCGCAGCCCTCACCATGCTGAGGTACACGTAGGACGCGTAGAGCTCCAGGTTGATCTGGCGGTTGACGGCGGCTTCGCAGTCCTGGTGGTAGTTCTGGCGCACCTGAGACGGGGGCGCTGCCATGGCTGGGATGCTCCGATGACTGTGTAGACGGTGGTGTGAGGGAGGGGTGGCGGCGGGCCCGAGCGCGGCCGGTTCCGTCCAAGCACTGTTGACGCAGGAACCCGCTTCGCTCCGCCGCCGACGCGCTGTGAGGGCAGCCCGCCCGCCGACGCGCCTTTTATAGCGCCGCGAGCCAGGCCACGCCCCCGCGGCGGCGCGGGGCGTCCCGGCGCGCTTCTGCTGGCCCGGCGTGACTCAGCACCCGCCCAGGCCACGCCCACCGCGGGGCGGGGCCCCCGCGCGCCGCCGCTTCCCGCCGCGCGCGCGCCGTCCGGCCCGGAATGGTCGGCGTTGGGAAAACCCCGAAAAATCCCCAAATCCGGCCATTCCCCCTCCGGCACGCTGCCCATCATGCCCGTGCCCCACATCTCCATCCCTCCGCGCACGGGGGCTCCGCCGCTGCCTCATGCGGCTGGTGCCAATGCCTGAGCGCCCTCTCCGTGAGAGGAAAAAGTTCCCAAAGTCCCAAGTTAAACCCAGAAATGAAGGCCAAATGTCACAAACTGACCCTTGTGGTAATGAGATGACTATTTCAGCTGCTTTTAGTGCTATTCCAGTCACTCGGTGTGTGCCATCATTTATTCTCAGGTTCTTCAGTCATGCAGTTCAGTCATTAATTTTCAATAAGAACTGGAGTCTCTTAGTATCTGATTTCTTAAATTTTAACCAGATTACAAGGGATTAGAAAATGCTTAAACTGAGATCATCCCATAGCACTGAATCCCCAGTCTTGGCTTTTCCCAAGCCCACGTTTAACCCTGTTTTTTCCCAAGCCAATTTCCTGCTGAAATCCACCAGAAATAGAATTTACTCAACCTGTAAACTCAGAATAAATAATTTTTCCTCTACATACTGCGCCTACAAACTCAGATTAAATGTTTTTTCCTGTATGTACTCAGACCATAAACTCAGATTAAATAGTTGTTTTCCTCTCACCTGTTCTTTTTACACATTTTTATCCTGTCTTGACCCTTCCCGGCACTGTGGGATGTCCTACGCGTGACTGCACCAGTGCCTGTGTGTGGGTAAAGGGTACCAGAGCATTTTTCCAGACACTCCAAATGCCCTGAAGGGAACAGGGAGCCTCGGCCTCCCTTGGTTTCAGGGTTTTCTGCTGCTCCTGTCGGTTAACCATCACAAGTAATTAAGATCTATAAGATAACATGGGTCATACCTATGCTTCACCAGGCTGCCAGGTACATTTCAAATCTCCTGTTCTCCTCCCACATAATTGCTTATGTAAAAAAAAAAAAAAAAGAAAAAAAAAAGAGTAGCTGCTGGGCTAAATTTTTTTTCTTTATTTCTGCATTCACAGTGGAGTGTCTTCACAACAGGAACATCAAACAAGATCCATATTTGCAAAGTTTATAACGGGAATATTTCCTCTGCAGCTCGGACAGTCTGTGCCACTCGTGATAGCACGTCAGTAGGATTGGGGAAGTCCCAAATTCTGCTTTCTGGAGTTGCACAATGCACATTGTTTTGATGACAGCAGATTTACATGGTCAGGAGAGGAAACACGGGGTTGCACAGCCATGGTGGTCATGTCTTGGTAACCAAGGTGAAGAATTCACCACTAATTCAGTTCAGCCATTCCCAGATCTTTCCTGTCCCAAATTACTGCTTTAATTTTGACTCTACTTCATATTGTTTCCTCATGGCTCCGTTCAGGCCTCCTTTTATCTTGTGCTGCTCTTGGTGAAAATGCATTTGTAATGAAATCCTGGAATGATTTGGGCTGGAAGGGACCTTAAACATCATCCTGTTCCACCCTTGCCAAGGCCACATGACCTTCCACTATCCCAGATTGCTCCAAGCCCCGTCCAGCCTGGCCTTGAACACTTCCAGGGACCATGGAGCAGTCAGACTCCCTGGGAAAGCTGTGCCAGAGCCTCCCCACCCTCTCAGGGAAAAATTCCCTCCTAAATATGAAATTCACTTGATGGAAAGCCCAGCCTGAGTAAGGTGATGCTTTTAGGAGACTTCTTCCCAAGAATGCCTGTAAAGTTCTCTAGAAAAAATTCTTTACTGCTTAGGGAGAAATTCTTTCCTTATTTTAGTATTTTTTACCCCTCAACATTCCCAGCTGCCCAGGGCCTGCCCCATCCTCTCGGCAGCAGCGGTGGGTGTGGATTTTGAATTAAAGTCCCTCTCAGCTGCTTTCTTGGGCTGAAGTAGAAGCATGTTCATGCTGCCCACATGCAAAAACAATGTATTGTCTGCCTACACAAGCTTCAAATTGTTGAAGACAATCCTTGTTTTCCCTTGGATGATATCCCACCAGGAACAATGGAGCAAGCTCTCTTGTTTACAGCTTCGCTACTTTACACAGGGCACAGACCAAAAATCCACCCATTTAGGGATATTGAAGCTGAGTCTTAAGCATGCAAAAATAATCAGAGCTTCTTTGGTGAGTGTCTGCACATGATACAGAAAGTTACTAGGTCAGAGATCAAGATATACCGAAAGGAGAAGTTTCCGTGCCTCCTACCCCCACTTTAATATCATTTAACCTGACTCTACCTGTGCCCTTCTCGTGCATGACCTTTCCAAAGGGGCAGAAAACAGGACTCCTAAACAAATACTGGGCAGTATTTGCCCAAAGTAAATTCTGAGACAGATTTTTGCTGATACAGTCCCTGAGCAAAAGCCTTGGTATGTGGCTTAGGCATCCAGTTAGACTTCAGGGAGAGGGCTGCCTTGGTGTGAGCAAACAGCCAGAATGGCAAGGAATGCATAATTTCATTTCTCACTTGTAGAAATGGTTTACCTCTAGCTTTAGAACACTTGATTTTGCCGTGCTGGTTTAATGGCCATATTAATAACAAATCCCAGTTAAAAATCAACAACTGTTCCAATTCCAGTGAGCAAGAAAGTGCTGAATGTGCCTCAAATGTTAAATCCACAAAAATACAGTAACCCTTTTTTTTTTTTTTTTTTTTTCCCCGAAGCTCAAAGTCCTGTAAATAAGAGAAATTACATCCAGTCAAATATTTGTTATGGAGAACCTCCACTCCATCCACAAACTTCAGTGTCATTCAGCTTCCAGGCTTTATGCAAACACAAAAGCAACTCTAAACTTGGCTCCGAGGTTGATCATGCGTCTGGAAATTTGACACTGGTCTCAACTGTGCGTTTTGAAAGCTGTTTACTAAAAACATCTGGGCTCCACTTGCTCTGGGAGTTTAACTGGAAACTCCTTCTTGTCGCTCCCTGGGTAAGACACTCGGTGAAAACTTTTCAGTTTGTTTCTTTTAGGTGCCTGAATTTTTCCAAGTGAGAAACCAGGGATTTAGGCAACAAGTTTTCACTGGGTACTTACAGCACAGAATGCAAATGCCTGGGGTACACAGAGCTGCTGGCTCCTGGAAACACTCTCCAAAGGGAGACAGACAAAGGATGTTGGAAGTTCTGCTGGGAAATTTGCTTTGGAAACAGAAAATGAAGCTGTTTTTTATGCAGGAAAAAAGTCCAAACACAGAATAATCTGTAGCTTTGTACTACACAATTTAATAGACAAGGAGAATAAAACCTTCTTTAGACGGACAAACTTCTAAATTGTGACATAGGATTTTTTTCTCTCTGGAGTATTTTTACATGCAGTCTAAACAAAATGCTGTAGGAGATTGCAATTCTCTAATTTGCCCAGAACACCCTTTAATTTATTTTTATTTCTTTTACAATCCTTGTAAAAATACACTTAGAGCCAAGAGAGTGAGGAAGAACAATGTTAATAATATAGTAATTCTGTCAGCACAGCCAGAAGCAGGATCTGGTGAATTTACTTGGATGATTCATCCCTTTTTAAACTAATTTACAGACTGACTCCTCTATCTGTGAGGGAAAAGCTCCATCCCCGATTCCAAGGGCAGCCTGTGCCCCAGGTGCATGTACAGGAGCTTTCACAACATGGATTTGCCAAGCTGCAAAAGCCACAATAAGTTTGATGTTGACATTCCACCATAGGCCACAATCCACAACATTTGCTCTACTGTAATGATTCTCCCATGGTACCATCCACCTTTATTTTCTCCTCTCTCAGATTCACAGTGTTAAAAACAAGGGGGTGGGGGTCATTCCCATGCCCTGTTTCCGTTGTATTGAACTTTTTCTTCAAATACTGTACAGAAATTGCAAATAGACCACCCATCTAAAGTCAACAAATATGGGGAAATTTCTCAACACACCACAAAAATCACCTCCTTCTGAGCATGAATTCCCCTGGAAAGCACTGGTGAGTGTTGATGCCCTCATGGATGACCAGGCAGCTTTAATTCTAGACACAAGGATGAAATGTTCTTTTTTTTTAAAAGAAGTTTTACTTGGGAATCAAAGAGACAAACAGGTTTGTCCCCCCTGAGGCCATCAGGTAATTTTGTGAGGATGCACAAAGTTGTTCCTTGGATTTAGTGCAGCACTGAGTTTGAGCAGACACTAAATCTCTCAGAGGAGGCTGCTTTTATACTCAGCCACCCAAAAAGGGATGAGCAGCAAATGCTTTCAAGCATGAGGAGAAGAAACAAGCTTTTACAAGGAGCTGGCAGTTAAAGGACATGCAGCAGCCTGATAAAACACCACAAAAACAAGCAGTGGCCCACGGCTGATCTCTGTTGGGCAGGATGGGTGGGGGGCACCCCCAAACTGCTGAGCAGGTCTCTCCAGGAACTCATTCCCTGGCTCATTCAGAAGTGAAGGGATTCAGTCAATGGAGAGGGATGTTCTCAGCAGAAGGGAGGCACACGAAGAGTTTTGTCTGGGAAAAGCTGATTCCTGCTGTGCTGTGCTGGGAGGGGACACTGAATACACTATTGTGGTCCATGCAGAGGTGCAGCCACAACTCCACAGGATCCACACCCACATCCGTCTTTCCTGCTGGGTACAACTTCCTCCTAAGCCACATTCAGGCCCTTGGCATCGAAGTAAAAAGACTGAAAAGCAGCTCAAGGGGCTCAAGTTGGGCCGAAAAAAGTTGTGCTGCTTATGGAGCAGCGAGGCAGTGCTGAAGTGTGGAGTGTTCTCCTGGACACAGCCCCTTCCTCAAGGTGGGGAAGCGATCCAGCTGTGCTGTCCCTGCACACTGAACAAACTGGGGGGAAAAAAAGCAAGGAAATTGCACAGAGAGAGAGAAATAAACCAGGGAAAAATATCTCTGTTGGGCTGAGAAATGGCTGTAACACTTTCAATCGGGTTGGCCTTCAGGAGCGTGTTGAAGTCGGCATGTGCAGCCCCGCAGATGTTGGGCTGTGCCCACAGCTATCAGCGTTCCAGCAGGCATAAAGCAGGGACACAGAGGCCACCCACTCGGTGGGACAGGGAGATAAGGGGGAAGGACAGCCCCAGGAGCCCCTCAGCAATCCCACAGGGCTGTTCCAGACATTCTTCTGGGCTGGGCACAGCCCTGAACCCCAGGCAGAGCACCTTGGCCGTGGTGGTCAGTGTCTGGGAAGATGCTGCCGCTAAAAGCTGCGGAGGCAAAGCCCTCAGACTCCCCTCAGCCAGCAGCCAGAGGAATGCTCTGCTGGCCTGAGGAATCTTCCACCCAGTTGCTTGCTCAGTCATGCATGGCCACAAACCTGTCTAAATAGGCAGTGATGACCAAGACTGAAACTCAAATCAGGAACTTTCCAGTCTGACAAGTAAAAAAAAACCAACCAAACAAACAAAAAAATATTTCTGCTCCACACGTACTTAGCACAGGCCAGGCCCTTCCTTGCCTGCTGTTTGGTGCTCTCAGTTCCTTCTAAAAGCCTCTGAGAAGGGACACAACCCACAGCAGGCTCAGAGAAAAGAAGATGAAGCACTCCCACAGTCAAAAAGGCTGCATTCCTCACACAACACACTTGTCTGTTTTCCCCATCTCCAGCCACCCTGCTGACCCCTTAGACGGTCTCTGCAGGCCGTGAACTTAGCAGAAAACAGCATTTTTGACCCGTTTCTTTTGGCCACTGGATTCACTGCAGGGTGATGGGTCGGTGTGGATGGGTGTGAAAGCTCCAGAGTTAGAGACACACAGAGGAGCTCAGTAACTCGAGGGCAAAGGGTTACCACAGAGAATTTCCCAAGATGCCAAGACCCCGAGGGGCAGAGAGGATGTTCACTCAGGGTCAGAAGGAAGAGTTCTCTGACAAAGCATTTCTCCAGTCAGGAGGTGCAGGTTGAGCAATGGGCTGCTACCAGCTGAAACAGCAGCCTGGGAGGGAGCAGAAGGATACAAAACCACGAGGATATCTCTGAGGTCACCACAGAAAACAGTCTCTGACTAAGAAGAAAAAATAAGCCAGAATTGCAGCATTGTTACTTCATCCAGGGAACTTTGTATAATCAAGACCAGCAGGCTCAGCATGACCACACAAAAAAAGCTACGAGGCTTTTCTTGGAATTCCTGCCTGTATCCTGCCTCAGGCAGGTTTAACTAGCAGTGGACTCTGCCTGGAAAAGGCAATTCCCACTTTATTCCCTGCCTGTGTTTACTCTGATCCGCTCTGGAGTCACCAGGCCCTACTTCCCTCCACATAAATAGAAGCATTTCAAGAGGAACAGGGAGGTTGTCAGTCTTGGACAGGAGAAAACATCCATTTCCAGAGTTTTCTGCTGGAAACCCTTTCCTTCGAATCACCAGCCTTGCTGTCATGAAAAATGTTGTCACCACAAAATTCCTCAGGTGGGAAGGGTTCAATCCCTTCTTGCTGGATTCCAGAGGCCAGGAAAGCAGCTCAATCCTGAGAAAGGAGCATTTCCTGAACTTATTCCAGGAAATATTTATTAATAATTATAATAAATATGACATAACATAATATAAATTCATAATTACTAATTCATAATAATTATTCCATTATTTCAACCTAAACTGTCACACAGCCCCTTCACAGGCCTACAGTGACAAAGATGGGAACACAACTGGGAATTGCAGAGATTGGAAAAGAAGGAGGAAGGGGACTGAGAATCTGTGTTTTTACAAGAATCTGTATTTTCACAGCCACATCCAGCGTGAGAAGCACCAGTGCAGAGAGGCTGAGGAACAAGAAGAGAAAGTGACACCACCATTACTTTACATCAGCTGGAAACTTTCTCTTCTTCTTCCAGGTCCTTCAGAAGTGGCTTTTTCCAGGAGTAATTGGAGAAGACAGTTCTACCCCTTTCCCCACATCACCCTCCACCAAAACCAGACAGATCTCTCTGTTTCAAGCAGCTCCTGCTTTCCTGTCAGGTGGGAGGATGAGGATTAAGCAACAGCACCTCCAAAAGCAATGAAACCTCAAGGATGAGGAATTGGGAAATGAGTGGGATCTCTTCCCAACCATCACATGACTTTTATTCATCCTCCTCCTTGGGAATGAGGTAAATTTCCATTTTCAGACAACGTGCTTTGCCTGGTATCTATAAGAAAGAAATTCAGAATGTCATGATTCATTTAAAAAGCATCTTTATTTCACCTGCAAAAACCCGTGTTATATCATAAATCAGGGAATAATTGAAAGGTTGATCAGCTGTAATTTTAGTTCAGTTGCTCTGTGAGGGATTCTGTCCTTTACAGCTTTCTCCATGGAGATTCCAGGAACTTTGTTAACATTCCCATCATGTTCCAGCACTAAGATTACAGTCAACAAGCAGGGCATTGTTTGAAGTTGGTCACTGAAGAAGCTCCCAGCACCCTTCCAAATGACACTTCCACCTCACCTGCCTGCTAGAGGCTGCCTGGAAAGTGAGGAATCTCCCTGCTAAATCCCAGAGCTCCTCCTGCTCACTGTGATCTGGGAGGGGAAGGGAAAGGAAAGGGAGAGGGGAGGGAGGAATAGGGAGACGAGGGAAAATGCTGGCCTCAGAGTATCAGGAGACAGGTAGAGAGCTGTAGAGGAAGAGGGGCAGAGGGAGAGAGCAAAGGCATCTGGAGCTATCTGCTGGGAAGGGAAGGGAAGGGAAGGGAAGGGAAGGGAAGGGAAGGGAAGGGAAGGGAAGGGAAGGGAAGGGAAGGGAAGGGAAGGGAAGGGAAGGGAAGGGAAGGGAAGGGAAGGGAAGGGAAGGGAAGGGAAGGGAAGGGAAGGGAAGGGAAGGGAAGGGAAGGGAAGGGAAGGGAAGGGAAGGGAAGGGAAGGGAAGGGAAGGGAAGGGAAGGGAAGGGAAGGGAAGGGAAGGGAAGGGAAGGGAAGGGAAGGATCGCAGCACCTGGCCCCCTTCCCAGCCACCAGACTCAGCGCGGGGTCCCTCAGCGTAGCGCGGGCGAGGCCCGTGGCACAGGAGCGGGGGGCAGCCGAGCTGTTTCGGGTTGTCCCGGTTTGTCCCGGTTTGTCCCGGTTTATCCCGGGTTATCCCGGGGGTCGCGGCCACGCCGAGCCGCCACGTGGGGGCGCCCGCTCTGCGCTGCCCCCGCGGACGGCGCGCTCCGTGCGCCGCTGCCCCGGGGCACGCCGGGAGTTGTAGTCCCAGCGGCACGACGGCGGAGCGGTGCCTGCCAGCGGCTTCTCCGCGGTTCGGCGGGGCGGCTCCACCACCGTTGTCTCCTCACGGACACTCGGGGACCTGCAGGCTGGTTTCCGCCATCCCGCAGCGCTGCCGGGGTGAAGTGCCACGGGGGGATCTGGCATCGGTGTCGCGTGGGGATGACGTCAGCGGGAGGCGCGGGCGGTGTCATGGCCGTGGGGGCGCTGTTCCTTTATGAACCCCTCAGGCGGGGGAGTGAGGCAGGGCAGTGCCCGGGGCTCTGTACCGGGGTCACACATTGAGATAACCCCACTGGAACTGTGCCAGACATAAAATGTTGCAACAGAAGAGTCAAATTGCATAGGGAACAGGCCTACCCCCGACATTTGGTTCCTCTGAGAAATCAGCATTTCCAGTGTTTATAAAAGCCCTGATTATATGCCACAGGCTGCTTTGGGTTGGGAGGGACCTTAAAAACCATCACTTTCCATGGACAGAGACACTTTCCACAATCCCAGGTTGCTCCAAGCCCCATCCAGCCTGGCCTTGGACACTTCCAGGGATGGGGCAGCCACAGCTTCCCAAGGAAATCCATTCCAGTGCCTCAGCACCCGCACAGGGAAGAGGTTTTTGCCCCAAATGCCATCTAAACCCACCTTCTGCCAGTTTGAAGCCATTCCCACTTGTCCTGTCACTTCTTGTTCAAAGTCCCTGTCCAGCTCTCCCTGAGCTCTTTTCATCACTGGAAGGCTCCAAGGAGACCTTGGAGCCTTTTCTTCAGGCTGGACATTCCCATGAGCACCAACAAGCATTTTGTAACACAATGAAGCCGAAATAAAACCTAATTACGTTTTGGGAGGCGAAACAAGGGCTTGTGGTCTAAAGGCAAAAAGAGAAAATTGAAAAAATATATGAAAGTGGTGAAATCATCAAGAAAGCAGGGTGAGAACAGGCCTGAAAGATGTTTGATGACAGCAGAACAGGCCATAAAAATATGATAAAATATATAGAAATTATATTCCTTTCTCTATAGAGGGTATCGCAGAGCTGACAAAAAAATGAAGTATTTTCCTGTACAAATGTTTTTTCATTTTTCAAGTTTAAAATTAAATGTTGCATCTGATTCTTGGATTTCTCATAAATATTTTGTGCATTTACTTTCCACAGGCTGATTAATTCTTAAATAATTGATGTTAAGCAAGCCATGAGCATTGTATTTAAATATTCAACCCCGAATATATTTAAATTTTCCAAGCAATTCCCCTCACACTTCTTTTTTACCTGAAACTTGAATTTGAATTGGACTCAGTCTGCTAAGAAAGGAATTCTGGGTATTATTTTAACCTTACAAGAAAAAGCACAAAATTTAACCCTAACTTTGCAGAAGTTAATGCACATTTCTGCTGATGCCAGGATAAATTCTAGGCAGGGCAGAGAAAGGAAGCCTGGGTGAGCAGTATAAATTCTGAAATTCTGCAGGTGTTTACCTTTGAGTGAGATAACACAAAGTTGTCTAAAATGGGATTAATAAACAACCAGATTTTTACCACCCCCAAAGGGATAAATTTCTCCCCAGTATCCAGTCTGATCCTTCCCTCCTTCATCTGGAAGCCATTTAAAGTCAAGTGTTTAAAGGGTGGCCACAGAGAGTACAAAGTCTCTTCACAAGGAGCCTTGATTCTATGAATCCATTTTTTGTATAAGAATTAAAAAATAGGGAGGAAATGGAGGAGAAAATAGCACTGGCATGACAAATGGAACTTTTTTTAATTCACAAAGTCCTGGGAATTTTAAAGCCAGAACTGCAGTCCAACCTGAATTTCACAAGTGGATGCTATTTTTAGAGGAGAAAAATAAATCATTCACATCCTCTTTTATGTCACATATTTGCATACCTAACAGCACCATACCAAAAAAAAAAAATAGAGGGGAAAATCTGCTCTGTTTCATTGTAAGTAATAAAATCCACACATAAATAATATGGTTAGACTTTGCTTAAGGAAAAAGAAGGGTTGGTTGGCTTTTTGGTTTTGTTTTTTGTTTTGTTTTGTTTTGTTTTGTTTTGTTTTGTTTTTAAGGCACATCAAGAATTTCAGGAATCCTTTATGTTTAGGACTAGATAAATGAAAATGGTCTCTCACTAGTTACATGAGATTAGCCAATTAATAGGTGAAATCTGATTTTCAGTGGCAAAAGCAAAGTGTAAATGCAGAGAGGATCACTCATATGGGAATTTCATCGACAGAGTATTTTTCCTCGATTTACTTGGTGCTTCCATGCCCGTTCCCAGGGCAGCTCAACTTCTAGGAATGTGAGAGGATGTCTGTGCTGATGAGTCAGTCCGGGGGTATTGATTTCTGAGCGCAGCCAAAAATAGACACTCAGGGAAAAGAGGAGCAGAAACTGGGTGAGTGTATTTTGATCCTTTCCTGCAAAATTTTTCCACTGGTGCCAAAGAAAATCACAGCTGTGTCCTTCCAGTGTCAGAGGTTACTGTGCATGAGGAAAATGAAAGAGGATGTCTTGGTTTTGAGGAATATTTAGGGATTAGCACTTTGATTAGTGAAGGGGTGATACAGCTGATGATAAAGAGTGAACCTCTAATGGACACTTCCCACCTGACCAGGTTGCTCCAAGGCCCATCCACCCTGGCCTGGAACACTTCCAGGGATGAGGCAGCCACAGCTTCTCTGGGGAAGAAGGAGAAAAGAAGGAACATATTCCTTGCCAAGTTACCCAAAGACCCGATCCCAGATTTTGCTGTGAGCCTTGTTTGGTCCACTGGCAGCAAGCAGCTCCTTACAGCGGATCTTTTTGGGAACACATGGCTGGGGTGGGTGGAGAGGGAGGGAACTGCAGCAGAATTAGACCTGATAATCCAACCTTTCCACCTTAACAAGCCAGGAGAGGCATCTAAATCTCTCATCTGGACACACATTGGAAACCAGGCTCTAGTTTGGTACCTTGGAATTCAGATGTCTCTTTTAAAAGGCATCCAGGGTTTGGAATTGCACACAGGCTGATGTCCATCCTTAGGCATGTCTCCACACAGCTACATTTAGATTCCATCACCTCAGGAAAGAGGTGATTCTCCAGTCCTGCAGGGAGCAGCCACCCAATGCCCTTCATCTTAACAAGCCCTTCTGAGCATCCTGAAGATGCCTCTAATGATCTTAGAACCTTCTTAGGAAGCTCCTGGTGGACCTCCCTCATCCTTCTAACAAGTCCCCAGGGACAATTTCACAGGCACTGTGTCACCCTGTTTTTTTTGAAAGTTTTAAAGTTTTTATAAAAGTTTTTTATGCTTTCTGATGTTTACATATTTTTACTGAAGTTCTTGTGCACTGTCATATAAATAATGATTTTTTGCATTCTTCTTTGTAAGAAGAGAGAATTAATAAACTGTTAGTTTGACCAGCGTGGTTGGAAAAGTAGCAATTTAATCCTCCAATCCACTGTCACTTTTAGAATTCTATATATTGCATAGCCAGAAATAAACTTTCTCTTTTTTCCCTCTTTTGTATCTAATGTGCATGTGTAAATTATTTCATGTCGTAATGCAACAGCACTTGGGGGAAGGAAACTTTCCTCCTTTTTAAAGAAAATGAAAACTTCCAGAGCAGTTCAGTTTGTCCCAACTTCTCCACAGCTTGGTTGGAGAATTCATGGCTTGGCCAACACCTCTGCAGTCCTCCACTTGGTTGGTGCAGAAGTTATGGCAGGAATTTGAGGGATAATTGATCCTACATCATTATCCTTCACCAGCTCCACCAGCAGCTGCCCCTGGGCAACAACTTGTGGTTGGCAGAAGTCCCTCAGAACCTTGTGGACATCCCAAGGGAGCCATTAATAGCCTGAAACAGATTCCAGGTTCCAGGGATTCTAGTCAGGAGTAAAGTCGTGCATAAAGACAAATCCTGCTCCTGTGCCCTGGTTGTGCTGCCATTCAGAGCCCTTGAAGAGCTGGAACAAGGAAGTTTTTTCTCTTCATAAATATCCTGCTCACAGTTGTAATCTCGTTCACACTGACAAATTTTCTTGCATTTCAGACACCTTAAGGCTACAATTAATACAAAGTCTCATTACAGAATGGAAGTATTGTAGCTAAATAAAAGAGATTTTATAAAGCCTATTTCATCATAAACTTTGGGGGTCAATCAAGTGAGAATAATCTCAGCATTTTTTACAGATTATTTATTATTTCTCTACAAAGAAGAAAGGTGGTGAAGAGAGGGATGAGCTGCAGGAAGCAGCATTACCATTAGGATTTGATGCAGCAAGGAGAAAAAAATGGGAAAAAGGAAAAATGTAGTGGCAAACATTGCTCCCGAGATTGAACTCTGGTGATTCCAGCAAACAACAGATACCCAGCAAGGAGAGAGAGAGAGAGAGAGAGAGAGAGAGAGAGAGAGAGGAGAGCGATTTCAGAGCTGATCCATAAAACATAACTTAACATATTTGGAGTTTAATTTTGAAAGGGATATAAACCGCTTTCATACGGTGTATGTAAGTGTGCCTGAGTACCAATTCCCAGAACTCCTGCCCTAAAATATGCATCCAGCACCTGCCTGCTCTCACCTCAGCTTCCTCAGTGCTCAGTGGAGAACAGCATTCCCAGCTGGACTCTTCTTCTCGTGTGAAAATGACCTAAAGCTGTGCCATGCAATTCTGAAAGTGAACAGCTCTCCCTTCTAACTGCAGAGGGAGCCAAAAGAAGGAGTTTTCAGCCCAGAGGAGCAGTTTGGAGGCCAGAAAATGAATTTGGATTCCAGCATCTACTTTTTAGATGTCAAAAAGTTAGAGAGGAACAGTCACAAACTGTAGTTTCTACCCAGCTGATGGTGGAGACTGAGCGAGGTTTTCTTGTCTTGTTAAAGCCCTTCTCACCTGGCTGATCACTCTTTTTAGGGCACATTTTACCTCTTTGTTCCTGAGGCTGTAGATGATGGGATTTAGGAGCGGGGTGATCATTCCATAGAGCATGGACACGACCCTATCCCAGTGTGGGGAATAGGTGAAGGAAGGGCGGACGTAGGTGCAGATGGTGGTCCCGTAAAAAAGGCAAACTACGGCCAGGTGAGAACCACAGGTGGAGAAAGCCTTGTGCCAGATCCCAGGGGACTTCCTGGCCAGGATCTCCAGGAGGATATAGAGGTAAGAGACCACAGTGACCACGCAGGCGCTGCTCCCCAGCACCCCGGCCACCACCAGGATCACCAGCTCCCTGCTGTGGGTGGACGAGCAGGAGAGGGCCAGCACGGGAGGAATGTCACAGTAATACTGCTGGATTTTGTTAGGGCTGCAGAAAGAGAGCGTGAAAACCAGAGAGGTGTGCAGCAGGGAGTTCAGAAGCCCTGTTGCCCAGGTGCCCAGGGCCAGCTGAGCACACAGCTTGGTGCTCATGATGCTCGGGTACCTCAGGGGGTGGCACACAGCCATGTAGCGGTCGTAGGCCATCACAGCCAGGAGGAAAATCTCCGTGCCCACCACAGCAATGAGGGAAAAGTGCTGGAACAGGCAGCCAGAGAAAGAAATCTCTTTGTGCTCCAGCAGCAAGGCCCCCAGCATCTTGGGCACGGTGATGGTGGGACATAAGAGATCCAGCAGGGATAAATTGCTGAGGAAAAAGTACATGGGGCTGTGCAGGTGGGAGTCGGTGCAGATGGCAATGAGGAGAGTGGTGTTGCTTGCCATGGTGGCCAAATAAATGAGTAGAAACAGCACAAAGAGAAGCAAACGGATTTCTGGAGCATCAGAGAGGCCCACGAAAACAAATTCTGATACTGCTGAGATGTTGACCCTCTGCATCTTATCTCTCATTGCAGGAACGTGGCAGAGGTTCCCCTGGAATAAAGAAGGTGTAACTTAATCACAATTTCATCCCCGTTTTGAAGATTGTCAGAGGGTTTTGAGGTCCATTTTGAAGTTCAAAACCATTTCCAAGCATTGGCAAACTCAAAATCTAAATTTTACCCACATATTCCTAATGCAAAAGGCAAAATGTAGGTATTAAACTTCACAGTGATGAATGCAAAATGTTAGTTTTTGCAAGTTGCCACCTCAGACTGAAGAGCTGGAAGCTGAAGTTGCCTTCCCTGTAGTGTCCAGTTTGGACACAGCCCCAGGCAACACAACAGTGCTTTTGAGGTTCTCTGTTCAAGGGGAGTGTGGTATAGATCCCTAAAATTCCTTTCAAACTAAATTACTCAGTATTAATAATACCACTAAAAAGGGTCTAGATTAGTAACAGAAGCTAAAACTTACTTTTTAAGGGAGTAATGCGGTCAGAAAATAATTAAGTCTCTCAGAATCAGCAGATAGATGCATGTTGTTTTTTTTTTTTTCAGATTTTGAATGGGGTTTGGAGCAACCTGGTCTAGTGGAAGGTGTTCCCTGGCCTGTGGCAGGGGGTTGGAATCAGCTTTAAGGAGCTTTCCAACCCAAACCATTCTATGATTCTATCATAAAAATGAGTTACAATTTGGCACCCCATTAAAGACCCCACACACTTCTATAAATTTTACCCTACAGACTTCCATAATACCATTAGTACTTCTAGCATCTATCTGGACTTTCCCCCCATCCCATTTCCCCAGTTCAAAGAAGTCTAAATATGGCATTAAAGGATCTTCCCATTTACCCCACATTGCTCCATGGAATGTAGCTCAGTATTTACAGTAAGGATTGACATGCCAGCCCTATAGCAAGGGAAAGAAAAGTTCAGTCCAAATGCCTCCTTTTTGGGAGACTTTGGGATTGATTTTGAGATGGTGGGAATATTGTACCACATTCTCATTTGTAAGAGATGCAGAGATAAATAGATTGATGAAATATTCCATCTGGCCAGTCTCCTCTGTGGTCTCATGTTCTCCCAGAAGCTTGAGATGGAGCAAAGTCAGGGCTCAAACTACATAAGAAATAGTAAACTCAGCAGAAATAAAATGGACATCAGTTGTTCATAAAATGGGGAGCTCATTCAGGTAAAATAGCACAGAAACAACACAGAAATACTCACTGCTGCACATAATTAATTACAGGTGATTTATAGTTGTCTGTGTCTCCAGCAAAAAAAACCAATCCTTTTTCTTCTTTCTACATGTGACATAAAAATTATTTCACTCATAAGGAAAAGATGAATCCCGACAGAGCAGCATTGGAATATTCACACAGACACCTGCCAGCACTGGCACAAGGGCTGGCTTGGCTGCAGGAGTAGGCACCTCTCTTCTTTAATGAGGTTTTATAAATATGAGGGAGTGTCTGGGGACAAGTGTATCTGACAGGTTTTTTTGATGTTCCCTTAATTGCATTTATGAGGGGTTTGTCAGAACATTGCCAAAAGAGGATGGAAATCGAAGGAACCAAAATTACCAGCACTACTTGGAAGAGCTAACAAAAATTCCCCTCTGGTCCTATTAAGCATCCATCTGTGATTTATGGACGTGCCACTTCCCATGTGATGCCCAGAACTGGGAACAGGCCTGTTCCTCTTCCAGCAATACCTGGCCATAAATTCTGCACTGTTCACATGAAGGACTCTGCCTGTCCATCATTCTTCCAGCCTGTTTGCTGTGTTTGCAAACTCCTGGAAAATGAAAGATTCTGCATCTTACATGGGCAAACGGTGATATTACAAGAGGGAATGGTTTTAAACTAAAAGATGAGGGATTTAGGTTGGATATTAGGAAGAAATTCTTCCCTGTGAGGGTGAGGCCCTGGCACAGGGTGCCCAGGGAAGCTGTGGCTGCCCCTGGATCCCTGGAAGTGTCCAAAGCCAGGTTGGATGGGGCTTGGAGCAACCTGGGCTTGTGGAAGGTGTCCCTGCCCTTGGCAGGAGGTGGAACAACATGAACTTTAAGGTCCATTTCAACCCAAACGATTCTAGGACTCTATAAACTGGAATTCCCCAAGGGTCACACAGCACAGGCCTGTCCTGCCATGGGAGTGCAGAGCTGTGGCTGGAAAAAATCCCTACGACCCAGACCTTTCCCTGTGTACTGCAGTTGGGCCAAAGACCATCAGGCATCACATTTAACGTGGAGTTTTGCAATAAAATATTTTGTAACAAACCCAGATGCCAGAAAGAGATACAGCAAAGAGATCCATCTCTCACCTCTCCCCTCCAAGCCAAACCATTCTGTAATTCTGTTCCCCTCATAAATCTTAAATGTTTATTTTGGGGTGGGATGTATTGGCTTCATCAAGGAGCCAGTCACCCAGGCTCTCAATTCTACATCTAAGTTGCTTATTTGCAGGGATAGTCTTCGCTGGGTTATTTTAGAAGTGGAAACACAGGATAGTTTTTGAGATAAGTGCTCTGCCTCGGGGTAAATAAATAAAAATTATATTGCTTTACATTTTATGATAAAAATTCATTTAAAAAACACCCTAAAAAACCCAGCAGGAGAAATATCTCTATTTGCAGAATCCAGATGTGCACTAATTGATGATAGGCTGGATTAGACCCCTCTTGCCCACCCCTCCCTGCCATCCCCACTGTAATACAACCAAAGTGATTTGATTTTGCCCACTTCTGGGACTACCAGCTTTGTCATTGTTTGAGATTTCCACCAAGGAATGCTTATGATGAACTCAGGGTGACTAGAGTCTGCTGAAATGCTCCCTTTTCTCTGATGTCCATTTGTGTTTCAGTCCTACAGTCTTTAAATAAAATTGATTAGCCTGGGATCTCTTCAGGCTTCTTGGGATTTAACAAAAGCATTGCAGAGATCCTGCCAGTTCTCAAAGGATTTTTTTTCCCCTTTGAGGCCATTTTTCATTGTCCTCTAGGTGAAGGTAATAAATCTGAGGATGAGCTCATGGAGCTGATAATTTCTGTCTGGATTTTAATGGTGCGCAGTGAAGCCAATTTACACATGGAAAAACTCAGCTGCTAAAACTGCACTTTTGCAATTTGTCAGGCACCAACTTTTTAACAGCATCTTCTGAGACCTTGTTAAAGTCATCCCAAGATGCTTCCAGGGGAGAAAAATCAATTATATTCCATTGTTTGTCTTCATAAAATGGTTTGGGTTGGAAGGGGCTTTGAAGCTCATCCCATTCCAGTGCCCTGCAATGGGCAGGGACATATTCCACTGGATCAAGTTGCTCCAAGCCCCACATATTGAAATCCCAGCTCCCAAAAATATGTAATTTTTATTTATTTTATCAAAATTGGAGCAATTGCTTCAAATCAGTTCACTGTTGATGTCCCCATTTTATACCTAGTGAACAAATAAACACCAGCAAAATAACTGGACCAGAGCTCCAATTTGCCTTCCATTGATTTAAAAATATTTATAAAATCTTTATTGGAATGTTGAAAAAATTATCACAGTGATACATTTTTTTCTCTATTGAAATTTACCCTAATTGACTTAAAGACCATTTTAATTTTTCAACATTTTCCTCTAATGCTAAAAAAAAAGCTCTCTTCCAGCTCAAGTCATTCTGTGATGATCCTGAGTAGAAATTCACAATTAAAAAGGAATCTTATTTGCAAGGATAGGAGATGTTTGGAAATCTCTCTTAACCCGGAGGATCAATGACTCACTGGTGCTTCTGATCCTTCTCTTCCTACAGGTGTGGGAGTGAGGGCTAATTTAAGACAGTGCGGAGAGACAGGAAAAGTGGAAATTCTTTCATTTCCTGTGCAGCAATTTAGATTGGATATTAGGAAAAATTCCTTCATGGGAAGGGTTTTCCAGCCCTGGAACAGACTGCCCAGGGCAGTGGTAGAGTTGCTAATCCTGAAGGGATTTAAAAGCTGTGTGGATGTGGCACTTGGGGACATGGGTTAGTGGTGGCCTTAGCAGCCCTGTGAAATGGTTGGACTTGATGACCTTAGAAGTCTTTTCCCACCTCAGTGATTCCATTCTTTTATTTAGGTGGGATGAATCTAATCCTAAATCATTCAAACACGAAGAAATTTATGGTGTTCTGCTCATGACAGTCACTGAATTTCTATCCCTGCTGGGTTTGGTGATGTAACTGCTGCCCTCACAGAGGCAGTTTGGGTTGGAAGAGACCTTACAGACAATCCTGACAATCCCATTTCACCTCCCTGCCATGGGCAGGGACACCTTTCACTATCCCTGATACCCCACATTTCTCCAAACCCCATCCAAGCTGGCCTGGAACACTTCTAGGGACAGGCAGCCATGGGAAACCCATGCCAGACCACCACAGGGAAGAATTTCTTCCCAATATCCCATCTAAACCCACCCTATGTCAGTGTGAAGCCATTCCCTCTTGTCCTGCCTTCATGCCCTTGTCCGGAGTCCATCTCTACTCCTTCTCCTTCCTCTATATATTGTGCCTTGCATGATTTTAATAATTTACTTATGTGAGAGAATTATGACTAAAAATATTCTTACATGTCTAAAGGTAACCCTACAAGCAGAATCTGCACCATCTCTGTCTTCCAGTGTTGGTGGGTGAATTTGGGGACACTTAGTGCATGTGCCTCTGCCATCTGCTGTCACAGCACAGGAAGAGCATGTCAGAGACGGAGACAAGCCTCACCCTGGATTAATTTCTTTATTTGAAAATTAGGTTCTCACATGAGTGAAAGTGTTTAGGAAGTTTGGGGTTTTCAGCATGGATTTTTAATATTAACAGTTCTATGTGTATAGAAATGTATTTGTACATAATTTGAAGTCTGTGGGCTTTAGCCATTAAGACATTATTTTGTAGAAGTAGAGTAGGAACGTGACTCCAGGTGTAACTCTGGGTTTAACTCCAGGGTTCTGCCAACCCAGCTTGTCTCAGGAGGTTCTGCAGTGCTTCCAGAGTCTCCAAATGGATTCCTTCACCTCGCTGCTCCTCAGGGTGTAGATGAGCGGGTTCATCATGGGTGAGAAGATCGTGTAGATGACACAGACGTACTTGCTGGTGGGCAAGGTCCCAGCGGGCCGCAGGTAGGTGAAGATGCAGGGTATGAAGAGCAGGGTGACGGCCATCATGTGTGAGGCACACGTGGACAGTGCCTTCCAGTTCCCCTGGGAGACACGAGCCCGGACCTTGGCCAGGATGAGCGTGTAGGAGGCCACCAGCACCAGGAAGCAGCCCAGGGATATGAGGCCGCTGTTGGAGGCCATGAGCCACTCGGTGAGGGCGGTGTTAGCGCAGGCCAGGCGGATGACAGGCGGCACGTCACAGAAGTAGCTGTGGATGGTGTTGGGGCCGCAGAAGGGCAGCTGGAGCACCAGCAGAGTCTGGACAGTGGAGTGGATAAAGCCTCCAGCCCAGCAGGCAGCGACCAGGGTCCAGCAGACCCCGCGGGCCATGATGGCCGTGTAGTGCAGGGGCCTGCAGATGGCCGTGTAGCGGTCGAACGCCATCACCGTCAGGAGGAACATCTCCGAGGAACCCACAAAGTGCAGGAAAAACAGCTGGGCCATGCAGCCCTCAAAGGCAATGGCCTTGATCCCTGAGAGCTGGGCCACAAGCACCCTGGGGGTGGTGACAGAGGTGTAGCAGATATCGATGAAGGACAGATTGCAGAGGAGGAAGTACATGGGCGAGGAGAGCTTGGGGTCAGTCCAGACTGCCACGATGATGAGGAAGTTGCCCAGCAGGACCATGGCATAAGCCAGGAAGAAGAGGGTGAAGAAGAGGAGTGCCAGCTCTCGGGTGTCGGAGAACCCCAGGAGGATGAATTCAGGCACCCGGGAGGAGTTTTCCTGTGCCATTGCTGCAGCTCAGGCTCCCATGGCACAGGTTGGGGGGGTGGCCAGGAAGGGAATGGAATGTGCTACAGCTTCAAGGCTCATGGATGGCGTGAGCAGGATGCATTTGCTGCTGCAAAAAAGCACAGTGTCTTGTCACAAATGACAGAAAGCAGTTTGCACTCACCCCCTCATCTGTCCCTATTCAGGTCTCTAGCCTGCTCCTCCACACTGACCTTCTTCCCTGAACTCACTCTGACTACTATTTTCCTGCATTGTGGTTGGTCTGCTCCCATTCTGTCAGGGAGAAATCACAGTATTATGGAATTATTAAAGTTGGAAAAGCCCCCATTGAGTCCAGTTCTCTCCCCAGCACTGCCAAGCCCTCCACTAAACCATATCCCCAAGTGCAACATCCATACTGCTTTTAAATCCCTTCAGGAATGGTGATCCAGCACATCCAGCTCTCAGATAACAAGAGCTATGAATGCTGGAAAAATGCTGTGCTGTCATTTTACCTGCTGGAAATTTGAAGTGACTACAAGCAAATGCTGCCATTCTCAAGCATGAGCTGTTCCATGTTCTGACACTCCTCTAAACTGAGGAAAGGGCTCTCCAGTTAGCTTATCCACTCTGAAGCTGGGAATACATGCACAGAAATCAGGTTTGGGAAGTTCCTTACTGGAGAAATAACACAGCAGAAACTGCAAAACCCTGCATGGTTTCTCTACCTTTATATTTTTTAAAGTTATTTTTAAAGTTTTTCGGTAGATAAATACACTCACTCTCCTGTGGAGGTTAAAGTGGGACAGCAGAGGAATGCATCTGTCCATTTAAAATCCCTCCAGGAAATTCCTTCTCTGCTCATTTCTGCCAAGGAGTTTATAACTCAGCAAGCAGGAGGTTACAAGAAACCAGATGTCTGTGATGCTAACAGCATTGAATAAAGCTGCCTTAAAAGATCTAAAAGGCCAAATCATTAGACAAAGGACATCAACAGGACACACACATTGTCCTCTGGTATGTTAAATATCCACTGTATTTCTTCTGCTGTCTTTTTTGGACAATTTCAGTTTAAAGCCAGTGCTTCCCTGAAGGAATAACAGAGAAATCCAAGCCAGAACATGTCACTGACATGTGTAATAACAAACCCTGATAATTTAGCTGAGGAGGATGGTAGAAATAATACCCAGATCCTGGCTGTGGTGTGAAACACTCCATAAATACACCTGTAATGACACTGGGGTAGTGAATGAGATGTTGCTGCTTTACTGAAAAACACCCACAAATCCACCCTCACAGCATTCCCATGCAGAACACCAAGATCACTAGTGTGTGATATTCCTGAAAGTGCTCAAAACCAAGCTGGACAGGGCTTGAAGTAACCTGGTCAATGGACCTGGCCATGGCAGGGTTTTCAGATCAAGATGAGCTTTAAGGTGCCTTCCAACCCAAACCATTCTGGGATTCTAAATCTGTAACTGATTATTTAATGTTTTCTTTTTTTTTTTTTTTTTTCCTAAATCATAAAATAGACCTCCCAAAAGTCACTCACCAGCAATGCTGCTTTGCAAATGCAGGATTTCAGTGGGGCCTGAGCAAAACAAAAGAACAATCCCATAACACTTCCACAGAGGTCACTTGCTGTCGCTCCTCTGATGACCTCCCCAGACCACTTCAGGGGGATCCATCATAACTCTCAGTTCCATCAGAACTCATACATTCCTCTCAGTTCCATCAGAAACTCCCTGCAAGGTGCTGCTCAGAACTTAGGAAAGCAGCTCGGTATCTCTGCCAACTCTAAGCCCTGAAAAGAACAGCCCAACCTTCTGTATTTCCCATTCTGAAAAAAAAAAACCCAACAAAATAAACAACCTCCAGGAGCATCTTCAAGTACAATTATTTCTGTAGCAGAAATAGTTCAAGTAAATCACACAACAGAAGCATGAGACTATCAGAAGTAATGAGATCCCAGAGGCAAAGGGAGTTTTGTCAGAAATCATCAGTGGGCAAGGACCTAAAATTGTTCCTTGGGTAGTTATTAGTGTAATCCCTGAAGAGAGACATCAGAGTAAAGATGTCTCTTGCATAGGACATTTATGTAAATTTGCGTAAATGGATACAAATTTTGCTTTTTTTCTTAAGCCAGTATTTTTCATCTACAGTCTTACTTCTTACTAACTTACATGTTGACAGCACAGAACAAAAATATCACTGATGTTATCTCTTAGACACCTGACTTACAACTTTAAAACAAGAAGTAACTCAGGAAATCGTTTCAAAAAATGCACAAAGGTTTGTGGTGAGCCTTCCTCACTCACCAGGTATTTTTACTGACACAGTAATGCAAGAAGCAACTTTTGAGCTCAAGTATGAAATTATTTTAAGAATTCTTTGCAAAGTGTAGAGGAGCCCGACACTGTTTCCAGTGACACCTTCCATAAACTATAGGTGAATGTTTGCTCAGCTGCACCCAGAAGTGAGACCTTTAAAAAAACCCCACTGTTACTCCAAAGCATTTAAAAATACATTTATTTAATTTAGTGCTGTCTTGGGCAGAGATAGGTGAAGCAGATAGAATTACAGGATAATTATGGAATTGCAGAATAGCTGTTTGGGTTAGGAGGTACCTTAAAGACCATCTCGTTCCAACCCCCTGCTATGGGCAGGGACACCTTTCACCTGACCAGGTTGCTCCAGGTCCCATCCAGCCTGACCTGGAAAAGGGCAGAAAGGATTTGTTGAAGTAGGATAAGAAGGGGAGAAGTTTCCCATCCTGTTCCTTCATCAGCAAACCACCCAACAGCTCTTAATATCAGAGTTTTTTTGTTTGTTTGTTTGTTTTGTTGTTGTTGTTGTTTGCTTTTTGTTTCTTATGGGGGACTCTACCTGGACAACATTTTCAATATTTTTAACCATATTTAAGCACTGGTGTTGCAGTTGCTCAGGAGGCTGTGGTCTGCGCCTGTCCTCATTGACAAGGAATAGGAAGGGAATGCCAGACTTCCCAATGTCTTTCCCGTAATAAAAAGAACTTTTAGTGCCTTCCTAATTACAGCAGGAGCCAACAGCCAGCTGTTCTTTGAAAGGCACATTTTGGGGCATTGTCACAGAAGAAATTTCAGCAAAACATGTTTGATTTTCTCCGGTCCTTTGGGAGCATGATCACAGCCCTACCCCTTCCCATTTCTGCTTCCCACTTTCCTCCTGCACAGTTTCCTCATGGCTCCCTTCACCTCCCCATCCTGAAGGGTGTAGATGAGGGGGTTGAGCATGGGTGTGATGTGTGTGTAGAACATGGCCACTACAGGCCACCGGATGGTGGGTGCGAAGGCGTGCAGAGTCTGTCCCTGGAGTCACGGTGGCACACTGGTAGCTGGAGGTGAGGAGGTGTGCAGTCTGTTGCTGAAGTTCCAGCAGACCATCCTCTGCACACTGGTAGCCTCAGGGTGAGGGGATGTGCAGAGCCTGCTGCTGAACTCCAGCAGCAGCTGTCCCCTCTCCTTCCCTCCTGGTAACACCAGGAAGTGTGTGTTCCTTTGCTCCTGCTTCCCACAGCCCAGTCCAGTCTGGTCCTCTGCAGGTTATGGTGACAGGTCAGACACAGACCAGGGATGTGGTTCCCTTTTCCCCAACCAGCGCACCCATCCAGCCCCCTCCACTGTGCCCAGCCTTCCATTTTAGGGGTGTTTTCATGCCCAAAACCCCCTCCCATGATTCCACTGGATTCTTTTGCATCCTGGTCCTAGTGTGGGTAGGGTTGTAGGTGATTCCCAGGAGCAATTAGCTAATTAACATTTCAATGTCAGTACTGAGTTCGAGCCAAGTGTCCCAGCCAGGCTGTTTTGTTCATAACAGTGACCAGGAGGAGGAAGCAGCTCAGGGATCTGACCCCACTGTTGGCCACCACGGATGCAGCACAGGCCAGGGGGAGCAGGGGGTGAACATAACAGAAGTAGTGGGTGACTTTGTTGGGAGAAAGGGAGCAGGGTGGTGGAAGGGTCTGGAGGGTGGAATACAGGAAGCCCCCAGCCCAGGAGACCCCAACCATGCGGCTGCAGAGGCGGCGGGATGCAAGTGCAGGATAGCGCAAGGGCCGGCAGATGGCCATGCAGCCATCGTAGGCCATGGCTGTCAGGATGAAAACCTCTGTGCAGCCAAAAAAATGAAGCCCAAAGAGCTGCCCTATGCAACCTGCAAAGGAGATGGTTTTATTTTCCACCAGGAAGCCAGAAATTTGGGGAGCTGTGACAGAGTAACAAGCATCTACAAAAGAGAGGCGGCAGAGGAAGAAGTACATGGGGGAGTTCAGGTGCTGGCTGCTCGTCACAATGAGAACTATGAGATTTCCTGCCACTGTGAGTGTACAGAAAAGCAGGAAGACCACAAAATATATTGTCTGGACCCCTCGGTTCTCTGAGAGGCCCAGGAGGATGAATTCCTTCATGCTGATGGAGTTTTCCTTGACAATCTACTAGGCAATGGGCAATGCAGAGCCTGGAAATGTGGAAAGTTTTTTAATTCTTAAAAATTAAATCTTTATCAGAATTGCATCCTCTGTAAGAAATACTTAGGATTAGAATTAAGTTTATCAAGTGCTTTTTAAATTTCTTTTGGTTTTTGTTTGTTTTTTTGTTGTTCTTCCCCCTCTACATATTTAATTTGCCTTGTATGAGACACAGCCATAGAATCATAGATTCCTGGAATCATTTGGGTTGGAAGGGACCTTAGAGACCATCTGAGTTCCAACCCCACTTCCATGGGAAGGGATACCACCCACTAGATCCCTTTGGGATTGGATCCATCTGATCCAGGCTCCTAGTTTATGATTTTAAAATAGAGCAAAATCAGAAATTCCTGTAGAGGCAAAAAGCTGATCAAGCACCCACAGGAAATGCTGAAATGTAGAAAAACCAAAGTTGCTCTCAAACTTGAAAAAGTGAATCCTAAAGAGGAAGTTGGGAAAGTTTGTGACTTACCCTGTGCATGCAGTTTTACTGGCAGAAGGTAAAACACACTCAAGAAAAGGGATAGAAGGGACATCTTACCTCTAAATAATCTTTTCAGTCACTGACTAGAGGTACATGATATAGTGCAATTAATTGCAATATGAAATAAATAAAATGTGGACTGTTATAATCATAAAAAAAAAAAAAAAAGGATAAGGCATTGTACCATCCTCTTATTGCAAGGATTTCCCCCTAAAATCTCAGGTGATTAATTGAAAAAGAATTCAAGAATGTGAGTTGGGACTGCAAAACCAGTTCTGCACATGGTTACAGCCAGAGAGCCAGAGATGGTTGACAACTTCAGGGGAAATTTCTTTTTGTATTTTCGCATTTGTGAAGAAGAAGGGCGGGGGTGGATAAGAGGAAAGAAAATCAGGAAAAGGAAAGAAAAGAGGAAAGGGAAATGATCCTGGAAAACTTACCTCCTCTGTGTTTGGAGATCTAATTCTTGTGTAAGACCTGTAAGATTTTTTGTCCCCAACATCTCCCTTTCTTGGTAGAGGCTTTAAAGAACATAGAACGGCTTCTGAAAACCTTCCAACACTCGCTTAGGAGGTGCCTCTTTTAATCCCATCTCATTTAATTCCTTGCTCTCCTGTATCACCAAGTGTATCCTGGCTTTTCCTGCCCACGTTAGAGATGCTTGGAGGGAGCGTGGGCACCAAAGGGTGCACACACAGCCCAGTAAGCAGAGAGAAAAACACTGTTTAAGTAACCTTCCTCAAACCTCTCCAAGGACACCTCCCTCCTCCAGGGCTTAATTCCCTGTTTACACAGACCTACTCCACCTTCTCCAAGGAAATCTTCCAGCTCAAGGACTCTTGGGGCTGGAGGAGAGAGGTGTGAATGCTCAGGGGTGGGGAGGAGAAGAAATTAATCCCATCCTGCCAGGGGAAGTTTAGATTGGATTTTAGGAAACATTTTGTCACTCCCAGGGTGGTGCAACCCTGGCATAGTTTACCGAGAGCAGTGGTGCAGCCACCATCAATCTGGAGTGATTTAAAACATGTGGATGTGGCACCTGGGGACATGCATAAGTGGTGGCACTGCTGGGGAATAGTTTGGCTTGGAGGGCTTCTCCAACCATAACAAGTCCATGATTCTTGGAAATAACAGCCAATAGATTATCTGAGTATTAAACTGGGCTAGCATGTGATGTGCCTGGTCAAGTTAATATTCCCAGACCCTGACATTAGTCCACGCTTTGTGTGTTTCCCAAACCTTAGATCCACAGCTTAGGCTTTGTGGTACTGTGAGTAATAATAAAATTGTGAGGATTTTTAAATCATTGTGTATCCCAGAAAATCTCTACAAACCCTCATGAGAAATAAAATCTGGGAGGTTTCTAGTAGTAAGTAGAAGAGAGACAGAAGGTGGCTTGGGTCATTTCTTGATGACCCTCCAAGTCCCTATTTTCTACGAAATTTCATCACTGGTAGCCCAGGGAATAAGGCCTTTTGCAAGAACTTGCAATGTTTCAGCAAAGGTCAGTGAAGTAAAGAGTAAGTAAAAAAAAAAAAAAAAAAATCCTTATTTTACAAATTGGGAAACTAAGGGAGGGGAGGAAGTGGAGGAAGTCAACTCTTGTACATCTGTGGAAGTCAGCTGAGCTGAGCCTTTTCCACTTTCCTCTCGAAAGAAATTGATCTAGTCACCTAATCTGTTAGGGGAAATGGCTTCAAATGACAGAAGGTGGGTTTAGATAGAATATTGGGAATAAATGCTTCCCTGTGAGGGGGCTGAGGCCCTGGCACAGGTTGCCCAGAGAAGCTGTGGCTGCTTCATCCCTGGAAGTGTTCCCCTGGACAGGTTGGAGCACCCTGGAACAGTGGAAGGTGTCCCTGCCCATGGCTGGGGGTGGAACTGGATGAGGTTTAAAGTCCCTTCCAGCCCAAACCATTCCATAAATTCAATAAATTTTTGTATTACTGCAATTCCAACTTATCACTGCTCTGAAGTCTACCGTGTAGTTTCAAGTTGTGATTTAGGTGCATCAATAAAATGTTTCGTCCACTGCCCATCCCTTGTTTTGCTGACATTTATTGAAATTCAGAATGGCCCAAATAACAACAAAGGCATTTCGAATGTATCCCAACATGGAATGCCAGCAATCCATGTAGAGAAAATGGAAACCCTCAAATTAATGGGGAGATTAAAGAGTGCGCTGGATAAAAATAGTATTTTAATTTAAACATCATTTTACACCATAGCCTGGAGTCCTGGCCAGGTTAATGAGGGTTGCCAGTAACCACTATAGGAAATAGGATTGGGTAAGAAAGTAAAAACTGTCTTACAATCTTTGGGAAAGGAAGAGGAAGAACAGATGACAACAGAAGCTGAAGATGTACAAATGTGTTTCTGACCTGCTAAGCAAATTTGGGCTGGATCTGCCCATTCCTGTGCCCACTGACACACATGGCAGACATGTGGGTGGCATCACACTCCTGTCCCTTTACTTCCCTGGCCCAAGGGACTGAGGAGCAAAATAGTTCCCTGTAAGGATGTCAGGAAAGGAGAAATGTGTTTTTTGTTTCCACGCCCTTTGGCAGATGGATCTGGGTGGCTCATGGACGTGTAGTGTGCATGGACTGGAGTGGGATGTTGTGGGTGGGTGGTGTTGGGTTCTGTCTATTTAGGAGACACAAGGTGAGGAAGAGCCTGAAGCTCTGTTCAGGAGGAAGTTGTGAAACTGGAAGTGAAAGGCATGGGGCTGGAGGGATTTTGTGAAATCGGAAGTGCCTGAGGTGTTGAAGGACTGTGCTGAAAGCCTGTGGGGTGTGAAGGTGCACTGAAAGAGCTCCTGAGCCCAGAGCTCCATGCTGAGGGCAGCACAAGCAGGGTTTGGCCATCTGGAACTGCTGAGGTGGGAAGTTTGAGTGCAAGGTTGGATGAAGCAGTAGGGACTCCATAAGGTGCTGAACTGTGCTGGGAGAGGCTGTGGGTCAGAGGAGGACCCACTGTGGTGGTGGGTGCATGACAGCTGGGCAGGGACAGGAGGGAATGAGAAGTGCTCAGGGAGGTTGTGAAACCTCCAGCAAAGATGTTATGGGAGAGGACTTAAAATTTCTTTACCTGAGCAGCACTAAAATCTCATCTTCAGGGGCTGTGGAATCAGACCAACTCAGGGCCTCAAGTAGGACACAACACCAGTGCAAAGTTTGTATGGACAGCTCTTGCAAGAATGGCTGAAGAAGGGAGAAGTAGTAAAAACTAATGTTTCCATGACACTGCAAAGAGGGGAGGGGGAAGTGGTTCAAATCTGAGTGATCATACCCGCACAGAGGAGGTATTTCCCCCACAAGTGATTGGCTGCCTGGAGGGTCACGCTGAAAACACCATGGCTTTTTAAACAGTGGCTGCCCAGCCCAGCGCTTCAGGATGACACAAGGACTCGAGCTGCATCCCGTGTCACACCATCCAGGGGACAACTTTGCCAGGTACAGGCGCTGAACTTCCCAGAAACGCAAAAAAGGTGAGAAATTCAGAGATGGGTCTTTGACATTGCACTTTGATGGTTTCTGTCAGGCTTTGGGGAAGGGAGGTGAAACAAAAACAATGGAGGAAAAAAAGATCAAAAATTTACTTAGTTTGCTGTAGGTCAGGAATTGATGATAATAATTTTCAATATAAGGAAAGCTTCATTCCAGGGACTCTTTTCCCTGTACAAGTGCTCTTGAACTGCTCTAAATGCACTTCTGTAATATAAAAAGTCATTACTCAGACCTGTCATTACAACAACAGAACTTTCTGTCCATTGTCTGAGACACCTTTGTGGGGTCAGGGTTGTTCTGACTCAGGAACTAAAGGCAAGATTTGCAGGGAAATCACATGAAAGATGCTTAATCTCAAGGGAGAAAAAGATCACCTGGACTCAGGCTGCTGCTGTTTGAGGAGAGTTTTCACTTATTAGTTACATAAGGAAGAGGAATCACATCCTGAATGTGTTTTGGAAAAAGGAATTTAGTCTGTCCAAGGGAATATGATAAATAAATGAGAATCGTGAGTGACTTTTACAGTGTTCTTCTTCACAGTCTGTAGAAGTAAGAGAAGGATTTCATCACTTCTATTACAGCAGGAGACAAAACTATTGATGTTTTGTCATTTACCCATTGCAGCCATTTCTGTTCCTATCTTTATGCAGTCTTTATGCACATACAGCACTTTCCAGTGCTTAAAGGTGCTCCAAGACAGCTGGAGAGGGACTTTGAAGAAGGTCTGGAGTGACAGGACAAGGGGGCGTTGTTTTAAACTGGAAGAGAGTGGATTTGAATTAGATCTTGGGGGGAAATTATTCCCTGTGAGGGTAGTGAGGCACAGATTGCCCAGAGAAGCTGTAACTGCCTTACTCCTGCAAGTGTCCAAGGCCAGGTTGGCAGGGATTTGGAGCAACCTGGGATAGTGGAATGTGTCCCTTGCTGTGGCAGGAGGTTGGAACAAAATGAGCTTTAAGATCCCTCTCAACCCAAACCATTCCATGATTCTATGACATGATCAATGGCACAAAGCCAATTAACATTGAGAATTATCACCTGTCATCAATCCCCAGTGGAGAGAGATGCACCTGTGGAGGCTGCAGTGAGCTGAGACAGAGCTTAGGTGACACTAAAATGTTCACACTCTCTTCAGATCGAGTGGAAATTTGGTCACACAGAAGCCAGGAAACCACTGAACCACCAGGCCTTCCTCTGTTCTCACAGCAGAAAAGCTGCACAGAACTTGAGGATATTTTTGCTAATTTCTGTAAAAATTTAATCATTTGTGGCCACCCCTGGAGCAGGTTGTGAGGGAGGAGCAACCACAGGGCTGCTCTCCACAGTGTTCATGTTAGAAGTGCTCAAGGTGCCATAAGAACTGAAGATGGGATCATCCAGCTCAGCAGTGTCAGAAGTTCCCTGGTTTCAATCAACCCTAAAGGAAATCATAGCATCCTCAAATAATTTGGGCTGAAAGGGACCTTAAAGCCCATCCAGTCCCACCCCCTGCCATGGACAGGGACACCTTCCACTAGCCCAGGTTGCTCCAAGCCCCATCCAACCTGACCTTGAAATTCCCTGCACCACACACTTCTTTTCCCTCCGTCCATGGGGTGACGTTCCTGGGGTGCTGGGATGGAACAGCAGTGATTCAGTCTGTGACGTTCTGGGTACTTTTGGAAGTCTGTCTCCATGTGTGCTGCTGCACCACAAAGAGAGAACAGAGGATTCATGCTGGCTACATGGTTCAGTGATTCACATCTTCCCAGAAAACCCCGATTCTTGTTCCTATCCTTTTTTTAACTTCTCTGCCTTCCATGTCCAAATTAACAGCTGGCTGGGAGACAGCAGAAAAACCACTGTATTTGTTCTCATCAGGCCATAAAAAATGTGTTAAACCCTTTTTTTTTCATCCCCAAGATTCTCAAGAAGATCTCAGTACCACGGGGAAGTAAAGAGTGACTTAACTCATGGAGTAGTGTGGAAAAGTTATCAGAACCACAACTCCCATGTCCTGTGAGAACGAGATAATCTGTGGTTTCTTACATGTGGTTCTTGCAGTTTCTGAGGGAGAAGCTGAGGGCTCTGCCAGACCAAAATGTTTATTTGTTACTGTACATGGGACCCAGGAGAACCACATCAAATGGCATTTTAATAAAACAGAAATCACTCATCAGTGTAAAATACAACAAGTTGTTCTCATGGAATCACAGAATTCCAGAGTGGTTTGGGCTGGAAGGGACCTTAAAGATCATCCAGTTCCAACCCCCTGCAACACATAGGGACACCTTCCATTATCCCAGTTTGCTCCAGCCTGGCTTTGGACACCTCTACGGATGGGGAAGCCACAGTTCCTCTGGGCAACCTGTGCCAGAGCTTCACCACTGTCCCAGAGAAGTATTCCAAATATCCCATCTAAATCCACACTCTGTCAGTGTGAAGCCTTTACCCTCTGCCCTTTTACTCCGGTCTCTTGGTCTCTTCCAAATCAATTTATTTTGAGATTCCATGAAGTCAAGTTCTATCTACAAAGCCTTGGAACAAACCAAGGAATCCCTCTAGAAAAATCACCCTGGAGTTATCACCTCTCCCCTCTCTGCTCCCAGGTCTGAGTCACCCATTATGAGACCCTCAGCCACACCAATCCTCCTTCCAACCACAGCCATCCATGCTCCTGGGACCAACCAGAGCGGGGCTGTGGGACAACCCGAGCCATCCTACACTGTCCTCAAGTTCATGGAGAGCTTCTGCCTGCTGAGTGCTGCCTGTGGGATGGTGGGGAATGGCCTGGTCCTGTGGTACCTGGGCTTCCGCATCCGCAGGAACCACTTCACCGTCTACATCCTGAACCTGGCAGCTGCCGACTTCGGGTACCTGCTGTGCATCGCCGTGGAGACTGTGCAGTACCTGATGCAGTTCAACGTGGGGGTGCAGTTTGGGATATTCCTCTTCCTGGATCTCTTCATGTATGGCACAGGCCTGTACCTGCTGACGGCCATCAGCATCGAGCGCTGCCTGTCCGTGCTGTCCCCCATCTGGTGCCGGACACACCGCCCAAAGCACCTGTCTGCCGTGGTGTCCGGCCTGCTCTGGGCCCTGTCCCTGCTCCTGAACACTCTGGGATATGTTTTGTGCACCGTTCGCCCCTCTCGCAGGGTCTGCCAGCGCCTGCTCATCACCATCGGAGCCTTGGATTTCCTCGTCTGCACGCCCCTCATGCTGATCTTCAGCCTCACCCTCTTCCTTCGGGTCAAGTGCAGCTCCCAGTCCTTCCAAACGGGCCGGCTCTTCACCATCATCATGCTCACCATCCTCCTCTTCCTCATTTTCGCCGTGCCCCTCAGTGTCCTTATCCTCCTGGACTTCTTGGGCCACAAGTTCATGTATTCCCCAGAGATTGGCTTTGTGCTGTCCTGCGTCAACAGCACGCTCAACCCCGTCATTTACTTCTTGGTGGGAAGCTACAAGGATCGGAAATTCCGTCTCACCCTTAGGCTGGCATTCCAGAGGGCCTTCCAAGACTCAGCGGATGAGAGAGATGAGCGGGAAACGCGGGACACGATAACCATGTCATCCTAAAATCCTGCCTGGAATTTCTTGGTAGAACTGAAGAACTCTGAAGTTCTTGGAAAGGTTCATCTCACCTGACCCTCAGTACCTTCTTTGTAGATATTTTAGGTCATTATTTTAAGTCCCCATCTGTGGCACATAAGCACCTTGATCACAGAAGTTACCTGACCTATATTTAGGACACATTAAAAGTTCTTTTCTTTCCAGTGACTTCTAAATAATATTAATTTGATAAGGCTGAAGTGTCTTGCTGTCTGAATTTCATCAAAGAAATCCTATTCGGGATAAATCCTTGTCATTCATAAACCATAAATTCTGTGTTGCTTTTCACTCAAATCTCTGAAAATGAAATATTTTCAGATCTCTGAAAATGGTATCAACAATCCTCCTGTTGGAAGCAGACATAAAATTCCTGGAAAGTGAATCCATCTATCCCTCTTAACTTAGAATTCCCATGTCTGAGCACACACGCAGCCTTTTGTGGCTCACAGAGCTATTCTAGGCTTCTAATGTGAGCATTTCAAGGACTGAAAAGTTTCACATCCACCAAGTCATTTTCTTCTCTGAACAAGGGATGTTTCCACACCACAGAGCAGAAAACTCCTTCCAACTTGCTTAAAAAATTTATTCACTGAATTTTATGCTTGCTTATTTTGTATTTCAAAGAAATACATGACTGGAAATTACTATTTTATATTATTATATTGTTGCATATTATTTTAATTTCCTCCAGCCCTTGGCAGAGTCTCTGTATTTATCTACATCATGAATTGGGTTGTAATTTCTTCCTTTAAAAGGACAGATCAGAATCCATAGGTTTTAAATCTCCTTTACCAATAGAAATAAATCAAATGATAGTGGGAGAAATACAGGAAACAGAATAAGGTAAATAAATACCATGATTTTCAAAAAATTATTCTCTAAAACAAATCCTTTGACAGGAAAAATGGGATTATTTGTGCTATCAGACTACCTAACATTTATTCTTTTAACCAAAGTTATTAGAAAAAGTCAATGTGGGTAATTTTCTTTGAAAAACCTCACAATTCATGTTCAAAATGTTCTGGTTTTGATATCGCAAATGGCTTTATCATTGTGACAAATGAAACATTTTTGTATTGTTAAAAAGACTGGAATTCTGTTTTTTGTTGGGTTTCTTTTTCCCCAGTGGGATAAAAATTGTATTTAAAGTTGTTTTTGTTGTTATCAGATTTATCAGCTGATAAAAACACACAGAATGTAAACTCAGATAAATACTTTTTTTTTTAATTTAAGGCAGAGGAAGAACTTTTCAGTCAGGACAGAAAAGCCAAGTTTATAACACCTAATTCCAGGTGGCTTTTGGTATAACACTGCTGTGCTTAGGTGAATAACTTTTCCTCCAATGATTCCAGAGGGAGCAGTACCAGCCCCTGTGTAACTGACCAAACTGTTTATGGGGATTTAGCACACGAGGGATATCCTTCTTCATCTGTCCTGCCCAAGAAAATCCTTTGTCATTCTAAATCTTTATTTTTTAATTTCCCCTGTACTTTCTTATTTTTACCGTTTCTCTCCCATTCATTCTCTTCCTTAGTTTCCTTTTTTCTTTGTTGTATTTTTTCTTTTCTCTCTTTCTCTCTCACCCCCTTTCTCCCTTCCCCTTTTCTCTCTCTTTCTCTCTCTTTTTTCCTCTCCCTTTTTCCCAAATTGTAATTTTCACCCATCTCTTACCCATTAACACCCCAAATCCCACCATCACCAAGCCAACACCCCTTGCTCTGCCGATTTTTGTAGAATTTGCTTCATCAACAGAGTTTATTCCCAATGGATGGGGCAGTGAGGGTAATTCCATGGGGAATAAATACAGGTGAGGAACAGGACTGAGCTGGGTTACGCTGCATGGAGTGCCCTTGTCTCCACATAGTTCAGGCTCTCTCTGAGGTGCCACATCTCCAGAAGTGCCTCATGTCCAGAAGCACCTCAGAGAGCTGTCACCTCCACCACAGAGTCCCCAGGGCCATGGCTCCCCTCGTCACTCTGAGCTTTCTCCTCAAACACCCTCCGCAGAGCGACTCTAATGGAGCGCTGGAAGCGACGCCGCCGGCAGCTCCCCACCAGCACGTAAATCACTGGGTTGAGGGAGCAGTCCAGAAATGCCAGCAACAAGGAGGGGTCTTCTGGGAATAAAGCACCAGAATCAGGGAGATGGAGGAAAACCTCCATGCAGAAAGGGATGCCAAAGGCAAAGAAGAACAGCAGGATGTTGAGCAGGATGGCCACAAAGAGCTTCCCCGGCTGCCGCCTCCGGGAGCCACAGCGCAGCCTGAGGAACAGGAACAGGTTGGAAACCAACATCATGAGGGAAAAAAACACGGAAATGGCGAGGGCTACACCTGCAAGGATGTTCACAGAGTCTTCGGTGTAGGTGTAGGTGAGGTAGAGGGAGGACACAAAACCCCCTGCGAGGGCCCAGAGGGCCCCGCTGACGACGCCCGAGAGGTGCCGGGGGCGGTGGCAGCGGTACCAGATGGGGCAGAGGACGGAGACGCAGCGCTCCACGCTGAGGGCTGCCAGCAGCCCCAGGCTGCTCAGGTCAAACAGGTGGCACAGGAGTTCCACCACAAACACAAAATCTACGTAGAGAGGAGCAAGATGAAACAAAGATGTGCAAAATGCTGCTAAGGTCAGAAAAGCCAACATAAGCAGGACAAACAGAAGGAGCAGGGAGAAGTCAGCAACAGCCAGATTCAGGATGTAGACAGTGAAAGGACTCTGCTTTGTGTGGAAGCCCAGGAACCACATGACCACCCCATTCCCTGCCAGCCCACAGAGGGAAATCCCCAGGCACACCCCTGCAAAGGCAATCAAGGTGTAGGGAATGCTCAAGCATTGAGATGTGATATATTCCTCCCAGTCCATAGATCCATAAAGTGTATTGTTCAGGGTGAGGTTTGTTGTGCTGTTCTCCTCCATGGTGAATGATCTTGCTCCCAGCAGCTGCCTTTTCCCTTTCCCTCCACCTCCTAGGGAGAGGGGAAACCTGAGGGAAATAAGGGACATCAGCATTCCCAGCACTTCCCATCAGTCTACACAGCCCCACGCCAACCCCAGGAAGAACCCTCACCCCTGTAGTGACCAGGACAGGCTCCCAGCCCTCCAGCCCTGACCCTAGACAGGAATCTCCCAGCAGTCCATCCCTGGACTCCTACCTCCAGTAGGAACAGCGCTGTCACAGCAGCACCAGGAGAGAGGATTTGGGGATGGCTGCTGGAACCACTGGCTCTGCTTCAGCTCCAGTTCTGGTGCCTGGGTGCAGCCCTTGGCCCAGAGATCACATCCCATGGTCAGAGCCTCCCCTCACAATCTCCCCACATCAGTGACAACTTCCCCTCACATGTCCCAGGGACAGAGATCTCATCAGGAAGAGGTGGCATGTCATTGCCTTCCTCTCCTCCCTCCAGTTCTTCATGAGGAGCTGCTGATCTTTTATGATCCTATTAATTCGGGTACCAGGACTTTTGAATTTTAAACATCATTTACTGGATGTAAAACAATGAAAATGAAAGGACAGCACAGATAATATTATGTCCCTTTGGGTGCTGGGAATCCTGGGTCAAAACCCTCCTCTGGTGAGGGCAGATCCTGTGCATGGAAGGGATACTCCACTATGATCTGTTCAGCTATTACAGCGTTTTTGCTATGGTTGAAATGAGCTGTCTGTTGACAGTTCCAAGAGCTCCTCATTCCTTCTGGGAAAAGCAGTTTGTGTCAGGTTGCTCTTAGAAACTCTAACTATGAAATAATGCCTTTGAATGAGTGCAAATTGCCCCCTATCATTCCACAGGGAGATTTTCTGCTTCAAATCTAGTTTTTCCACATGTATGCTGCAATTTCAGTGACCCTGGGCCTTCACCATGCAGTTTCCAAGAGGATTCATACAATAATCAATTCTGTGCCTGAGATGGAGCACAGCAACAGAGCAGAGGGATGATTTAGGATTTCAGCAATGTAATTTCTGCTGAGAAGAGGCAAATCAATGCTGCTCTTCTGGCTTTAATCCTTAGAAAGTTGCAGGTTTCCCCTGAGTCATCTTCCACACTCCCTTGGCAGTCAGACAGCAGCCTACAGTGAATTCCAAGGAACTCCTAGAAAGCTGAGGTGAGATGATTCCTACCCAGGTTGACATGTGCCTCAGGGATTTGGAATGCTCCTGCTGGAAACTGGCATATATGGTGGCCCTGGGACCAGAACTGTCACCTCTCTTCCCTGCTGACACCATTTTTGTGTCCTTAGCTATGGAATCTCACATCTCCCACAGCCCAGTCCTTTCAAGGGCAAACACTTCATGATCCAGGAGATGACAGTACTCCAGTAGAGGTGAAGAGGGATTTTGGACAAGGGCATGGAGTGACAGGACATGGGGGAACAGTTTCCCACTGACAGGGGATGGGTTGACATTGGATATTGGGAAGGAATCCTTCCCTGTGAAGGTGGTGGGGCCCAGGCACAGGTTGCCCAGAGGGGTGGGGTCAGGTAAAAACAAACACAAATGCTCCCATGTCTGAGGAGGAGGAGGAGGAGGAGCCCTAATGAAGGGCTGGAAAGAGGATCACAGCACCCCAAAATATGGTCCCTGATAGCTTTCATTGCATCATCAAGGGGTTGGCAGTAATTAGGGTGGGCTCTTAAATGCTGGTAACCTGGCTGCAAGCAACTGAGTGCTGTCCTCCCCTTGGGCTGTGTCAGCCTGCACTGGAATGACAGAAATGGGAATCCCCAGCTCAGATGGCTTTCTTGGGGCCAGGAAGGTTTTTGGCAACGATCCCAGATCTCTTCCCAGAATGGGAGTTGTTTCTGAGAAGCAGCCAAATGCTTCAGCAGTGCTGTGAGCACTCGCAGCACTGCCAGCAGTCCAGTGCCACCAGCACCACCAGCAGCTCTCTGCAGCTGCAGGGACAGTGACCCCTCAGGGTAGGGAAATGAGGAATGGCAGAAACCTGCTGAGAGAGGGAAAGCATTTGGAGAATGTCACATTTGGAAGAGTGTTTTTAATCAGGAGGAAATGAGCAGCCACTCAAAGAAATCTGCATGTCGAGCTACTTCCGCTGTGGCAGAAAAAAAGTCAAGACAAACAACTCTGAGGAAGTCAAATTCTGGCGTGGCCAAAGATTACATTTCTGATTCTCCTGCCGAGCCTTGCAAAACAGCCACGGGACAGGGCACAGAGAGGAGCCAGCAGGACAGGAATGGGGAGCTCCTGGTGATCTGGGCACTTTCTCCTTCATGTCACTGACCTGGCAGGAGCTGCTTTAGGACGTGGATCCCAAAGGAGCAAGAGGTTCCAGGAAGCGCCGCTGATCTGCACAGACCCCTTTGCCTGCTGCTGCCCCACAGGGAACAGGTCAGTGGAATGTTTTCCTTCCTCCCTACCCACCTTCCTCTCCTCCAGCAGCTGCTCTGCTCCTGCCACCCTCTCCCAGTGACCCCAGTGCCCTCCCCAGGTCCTCTCTCTTCTCCTGTGCATCCCGCCTGTATCCTAATACTGAAATGGGCCTGAGCAAACTTTATAACACATTGCAAAGCATTTGGAAGAAGTAATTCTTTACCTGCAAAGGACACAGAAAAATCTCTTCTTGTTTTGTGTGTATGGTGAGACTTTACAACAGGTTATTAATGCAATATAACCACATTTGGCATTGAAAAGTGTTGCTTATCTAATACATAAACACCATTTTCCTAGAACTCATTTCCATGCATCCTCCTCCTCCTGGAAACCCTTTTAGGATCCTGGAGGTTTATTGGGAGGCGTCTCTCTGGTGGTCATAGTCAATGAATGATGCTGTATTAAAGATGACCTTACCTTGAACTTTTTCTCCAGCTATGCACTGTTGCTTCTTGTTCCAGAACTTGCCCCAAAACCCCTAAAGGCCTCCTTATCTGTTTCTGCACTGGTTCCTGCCATGTTTGTCATCCTGTGTGCCAGCCTTTACATCCTTTTATCTTTTTTTGACTCTTTACTTTTGAACAACTTCATAAGAACTGACAAGTTTTATTTTCTGTGTTATTTATCAGCCTCCTCCCAAACCTGCCCAACCATCCCACCTTCCTCTCACACCCCACAATTTCTATCACCCTCCTCCCCTGCACATCTCACTCCTCCCCACTGAATCCTTCCCACTGCAGGGAGCTGCTGTGGAGCCTCATAGTCCATCCCTGGATTCTCCAAGCACTGACTCCCCATCCACTCTGACCACAGCCAGGGCCACATCCCACCGCCTGCCCAGCGTCCATCCATGGAGGTGAGCACTGTGTCCCCACCTGTCATCTCACCCACTGAAGGAGCTGATTTGTGTGAGACAGATATTCCCAGTGTGGCCATTCACATTGTGACACTGCTCATCTGCCTCTGTGGTCTGGCTGGGAACGGGGCTGTGCTCTGCCTCCTCGAACTGAAAATTTGTAATGATGGCATCTTCACCCTGGCTGTCATTGACTTCCTCTTCCTTCTCCTCACAGTCCCCTCTGCCCTGCTCTTCCTGGTGGAGGACATATCCTGCTTTCCTGTTGTGCCCCTACTGTACCTAAATTTTCTTTTCAAGCTGTCAGTGCTGTCCTACTACTGGGGGCTGTACTGGCTGATGCCCAACACCCCTGTGGTGTATATGGAAAAGATCTTCCCACTCTGCTGCCGCTGTGAACTTCCTCAGCGCCTGTTTTGGGTGCTGGGCAGTGTCCAATATTGGGCCTTCTTTGCTCTCTTCACTGTCCTTCCCACGGTGACATCCCTGTGTCCATCAGAGGAACAAGGGCACTGCCGGGCAGCTCTTATCTCCATGTACACCATCATCCTGCTCCTCTTCGTTGCGCCCATGGTCATTTCCAGCATAATTGATTTCATTAAGGCCAAGCCGGGCTCCCAGCAGCAGCAACCCAAGAGGCGCGACATCGTTACTGTCCTCATTGTGCTCCTCACTCTCCTCCTCATCATCTGCGATTTCCTGCAGCAGCTTGGTTACCTCGATGTGCCCTCCCTGGTTTTTTTCCTGTTCCCCTGCATCAACAGCAGCTTCAAACCCTTCACCTACTTCTTGGCAGGGAGGTGCTGGAGGCCCTGCTCTGTGGGGTCCCTCCGGCCTTCCCTTCAGAGGGTCTTTGAGGAGCAAAAAGAAAAAAGTGGCAACACAGATGATCCTGCCATGGACACAATGATCTGAGTCTGTTGGTAGCTCGCCCTGTACTGCTGAGAGACCCTGGGACTGCTGAGAGACCCTGGGACTGTGGCTGAGGGATTCCTTAAGTCACCTGAATAATAAATATCTAGAGTGACACCCTCCCTGTGCTGGTGCATCCCCCATCCCCCTTTCCAGCCCGCACTGGGCTCTGATCCGTGCTTGGGAGGCCTCAGCCTTGAGGAGGAGCCCCTGGGCTCAGCTCCTCTGGCGCTGATCACAAACACCCTCTGCTCCCAGGAACGGCTGCTGTCCAACGACCTCCTGGGCTTTTATCAGCAGCCTTGGGAATTCTTTTCCTTCCCTGAATGCCACAACATCCCTGCTCTCACACTTTCACAGCAAGCTGCCGGCCCCCAGTGTGGCCAGGGTGAAACATTGCTGTGGCTGCAGCCCATCCCTTGGGGCCCCGTAAGCAGCAGCCCAAAAGGAGACCCTTGGAGCTCTCCTGGGCCCAGCAGCGCTGAGCAGAAGCTCCCTGGCCCTGGGGCCTCTCCGAGCTGGGATCTCTCCCGTCTGCTGCCCTCGGGTGATCCCCGAACGCCGGCGGCTCCTGGGCCGATCCCCCAGGGCTCGAGGCCCAAGCCTTGGCACGGTGAGGAGATGCCAGCGGATCTGCAGGGAGCATTTGCTTCATATCCACTGTAGACCTGTTAATCTGTTTCTGCACTGGCTCTATCCATGTTTAGCATCCTGTGTTCTCCTGAGGAGTAGAGAGGGGCTGGGCTTTCCTCCCCCCTCCTGGGTCCTAGAACAATATGGCTAGGATGAGGAGAGACACTGCCGGGGGTCCTTGGTGGAGCGGGGCAGGAGCACGGCTGTTGGGTGGAAAAGGGGGCCCTGGGGACAGTCTTGGGTGTTGGAGGCAGTTTTGAAGGGCTCAGGAGAGGGTCAGAAGGGGTTGGAGAGGGTCTGGTAGCAGAAACCCCAAATCTCCCCACTGGAGGACAGCAGAGCCTGATAGATCACGCTTGGAGTGGAGGAGTGGCTGCAGTCTGGGAAAGCTGAGAGATGTGGTAGGATGGGATGAGGATGGAGAATGGAGTGGGGATGGGGATGGGGAGCCGGAATGAGAATGCAACAGGGATAGAATGGAGAGCAGCTCAGCACAGTTTGGCTCTGAGCATGTTTTGGCAATGATCATGGAGGTATTAACATATTGGGAGTTGATTCTGAGAAGTACACAGCTCTTTCATCAAGACTGCCAGCGTTGCCAGCATTCCTGTGTCACCAGTACCTCCAGCATCCCTCTGCTGCTGGAGGGACAATGACCCCTCAGGGAAGAGAAACAAGGAAATGGTAGAAACCATTCCCTTGTAGGGAAGGGAAGGCAGGCAGAGAATGGACATTCTCCTGGGAAGTAGTGTTTCTAATCCAGAAGAAATTAGGAGCCATTCACAAAGACAAAGACTTTTTTTTTTTTTTTTTCTTTTTTTCTTTTTGCTTTGTGGTAAGAACTCTAAGCCTGTGTAACTCTGACACAGCCAAAGTTGTAAAACCACTTCTGACTGCTCTATGACCCCAGTGAGTCTTGGGGAGCAACACCAGCACAGGACACAGAGGAACAGGAGTGAGTGAGGAGCTCCAGGTGATCTGGGGACGTTCTTCTGCATAGTACAGACCTGAGAGGATCCACTTTGGGATATGGATCCCAAAAGAGCAAAAGGTACCAGGAGGCACAGCTCATCTGGAGCTCATCAGACCCCTATGTCTGCTGCTGCCCCACAGGGAACAGGTCAGTGGAATGTTTTCCTACCCCTACCCCACCTTCCTCTCCTCCAGCAGCTGCTCTGTTCCTGCACCCTCTCCCAGTGACCCCAGTGCCCTCCCCAGGTCCTCTCTCCGCTCCCCTAATGCTGAAATGGGACTGAACAAACTTTATAACACAATGAAAAGCATGAGGAAGCAGGTATTCTTTACCTGCACAAGACACAGAAGGATCTCTTCTTGTTTTGTGTGTATGGTGAGACTTTACAACAGGTTATTAATGCATTATAACCACATTTGGCATTGAAAAGTGTTGCTTATCTAATACATAAACACCGTTTTCCTAGAACTCATTTCCATGCATCCACCTTCTCCTGGGAGTCCTTTTATGATCCTGGAGTTCTATTAAGAGGGGTCTCTCTAGTGGTCATATTCAGTGGATGCTGCCATATTAAAGGTGACCTTGCCTTGAACTTTTCCTCTGGCCATGCACTGTTGCTTCTTGTTCCAGAACTTGCCCCAAAACCCCTAAAGGCCTCCTTATCTGTTTCTGCACTGGTTCCTGCCATGTTTGTCATCCTGTGTGCCAGCCTTTACATCCTTTTATCTTTTTTGCCGATTTACTTTTGAACAACTACAGAAGAACTGACAACTTTTATCCTCTATGTTATTTATCAGCCTCCTCCCAAACCAGCCCAACCATCCCACCTTCCTCTCACACCCCACAATTTCTACCACCCTCCGCCCCTGCACATCTCACTCCTCCCCACTGAATCCTTCCCTCTGCAGGGAGCTGCTGAGGAGCCTCATAGTCCATCCCTGGATTCTCCAAGCACTGACTCCCCATCCACTCTGACCGCAGCCAGGGACACATCCCACCGCCTGCCCAGCGTCCAACCATGGAGGTGAGCACCATGTCCCCACCTGTCATCTCACCCACTGAAGGAGCTGATTTGTGTGAGACAGATATTCCCAGTGTGGCCATTCACATTGTGACACTGCTCATCTGCCTCTGTGGTCTGGCTGGGAATGGGGCTGTGCTCTGCCTCCTCCAACTTAAAAGTTGTAACTATCGCATCTTCACCGTGACTGTCATCGACTTCCTCTTCCTTCTCCTCACAGTCCCCTCCACCCTGCTCTCCCTGGTGGAGGACATGTCCTGCTCTGCTGTTGTACCTCTGCTGTACCTGAATTTTCTTTTCAAGCTGTCAGATGTCTCCTATTACTGGGGGCTGTACTGGCTGATGCCCAACAACCCTGTGGTGTATATGGATAACCTCTTCCATCTCTGCTGCCGCTGCAAACTTCCTCTGCGCCTGATGTGGTTGCTGAACGGTGTCCAATTCTGGGCCTTCTTTGCTCTCTTCACTGTCATTCCTGCGGTGACATCCCTGTGCCCATCACACCAGCTGGAGCTCTGCCGGGCAGCTTTCATCTCCATGAACACCATCATCCTGCTCCTCTTGGCTGCACCCCTGCTGGTTTCCAGCACAATTGATTTCATTAAGGCCAAGTGGGGCTCCCAGCAGCAGCAACCCAAGAGGCGCGACATCGCTGTCGCCCTCATTGTGCTCCTCACTCTCCTCCTCATTTTCTGGAATTTCCTGCAGCAGCTCGGTTACCTCAATGTGCCCTCCCAGGCTGTTTTCCTGCTTAACTGCATCAACAGCAGCTTCAAACCCTTCATCTACTTCTTGGTGGGGACCTTCTGGAGGCCCTGCTCTGTGGGGTCCCTCCGGCTCTCCCTGCAGAGGGTCTTTGAAGACCAGAAAAAATAAACTGCCTGCAGAAATGATGCCCCAAGAGAGACAGGGGTTTGAGCCTACTGATCCCTTCCACTGCTCTGCTGAAGGACCCCAGGAGAGTGGCGGAAGGATTCCTTGAGCCTCCTGATTAAACAATATCCACGGGATCACCCTCACCATGGTGGTGTATGCCTGCAGGAGAAGGGAGCAGGAGCATTGCCTTGGGTGATTTTTGGGGGATGCTCTGAAGGAAGCACATTGGAGCACAGCTTTCCTCCTCCCTCCTGGATCCACATGGCTCCAGGCAGTGCAGCTGGGCTCAGTGCTGTTCCCCAGCTCTATTCCCCATGGAATGACCCTCATGGCCTCCGCCCCAGTGAATGAACTCCATCTCCTTTGGCTCAGCAGATGAGTTTCATGGTGTTTTCAGGGAGCTCTTGCTGGCAAAGAAGGGGATGTGTTAAACCCTGTTAAGCCCTGGGGACACACCCAGCATGTGGTGTCGGAGATTTCCCAAATCCCTGCAGGGCTGGTGCCCCTCGATGGCAGGAGAGGGGTTGGGATCACACGGAGCATCCTTCCCCTTCTGTCCGGCAGAGACAGCCCTACATTCCCAGCTGATGGGATTCCCAGCTGATGTTGACAGCAGCACTGCAGCTGAGGCAGCCAATTGGTGCCCGTATTCTGTTAAGTTCTGTGCGGCCTTGGTTTGGTTTCAATTATGTCAGGTTGAGATTAAAGGTTTAAAAAACTGCCGATTTTTAAAAAAGAGTGATCCTATTTGGATGCATTAGAAGGTCCGTGTTGCTTTGTCCCAACTGCTGCAAAATTGAGCACTGAATTTCTTGAATAAACAACATCCAGGCTTCACTGCAGAGCCTGTCTCTGGTGAACAGTGTCCAAAATGGCTCATTTCCTTCTTTCCTTACTTTATCCCATTGCAAAGCCTATGCCTTGTCTGTGAGCAGGGCAGTACCTGTCTCATTCCAGAGCCCTTCCTAAGGCACATCCCTGCAATGATTGGGATGATGTTGGCAGTGCCAGGATCTCCTCATTCCTCCTGGGAGAGACCTGGCCAGCAGCCACAGCTATTGCTTAGAGGGAAGTTGTCCCTCCTTTTCCCACTGCCTTAAATCCAGGGGAAACCAACATGCCAATGCTTCTGGAAAGGGAAGTGAGAGGGAAAGTTGTGGATGCTGATGCTGAGTCAGGCTTTGGAGACACAATTGAGAGAGAAAGTTTGACAGAGAAGAGAGAGACTTTGACATCTGAGAGGCTTTTCTCTCCCTGTCTCCCTTTTCCCTGTCCATTGCAAAGCAGAAACTTTCCATGGTGCAACCTCTTGTCCAGGGAAGAACAACTCAGCCAGGGGGTTTCTTTCAAGGTAAGTGCAGGAGGATCATGATCCTTCAATGTATTTTTTCTACTTTCCAGCACCTTCCTTGTCTCCTGTGTCACCCAGGCCACTCCCTACCTCAGCATCCTTTCAAAAGAGCAAAGATTTCAAAGCAAAAGTTTTCCTGAGTTTCCCTGCCCATGGCAGGAGGAGAGATGGAATGAGATGATCTCTATGGTTCCTTCCAACACAAACCATTCCATGATGATTCCCCATGTTATTCAGCATCCACCCCAGGCAGGAGTTCCCCTGCTGCACACAGCACCAGCCTGACAGAGCTCAAGGAGCATTTGCACAATGCTCTCAGGCACAGGCTGGGATTTTTGGGATGTCCTGTGCATGGCCAGGAACTCAAGTGTATGATTCCTGTGGGTTCGTTCCAACTCTGGATATTTATAATTCTATTTCATGATGACTCTGATGAGTCTCTGATGGTTCCACTGTGTTGTCCCTATTCCCTGGCTCTGACACAACCACAAAAGCCCTCTGGAAAGCAACACTAACAGAGGGGCTGAATTCCTTTGCACAGCTCCCAGCCAAGAAGTAAATCAGCAGGTGGGCACTGCTGTTGGCTCAGGCAAGCAGGACAGAGGTGCTGAGGGCAACGACAGAGAAGTCAAACACCCTCGGCAAGAGCCAGTACCCAAAATCAGCGGTGGAGAAGGGGAAGGAGACAACAGGCAGCAGGAGCAGGGCCCAGAGCTTCCCTGGGGGCTGTTTCCATGAGCAGCACAGGAGCCTGGCCAGCAGGGCCAGAGCAGAACAAGTCAGGGTGAGCACAGAGGAGAGGCAGCTCAGGACCAAAGCCATGAGCGCCAAAGGGCAGAAATTGAGGCTGACAGTGAGCAGGAAGGAGAGCAGCCAGAGCAGGGCACACAGGAGCACCGGGAAGCGCTGGGAGCAGTGGCAGGGCAGCTGGACACTGGGAGCACAAACAAAGCTGTCACAGCACTGGGGGCTGTCAGAGAGGAGACAGTGGCAGTGAAAGCCAAGGGGACGGTGACCTTCAGGCCAGCTGTCACACGCCACAAGCCCAGCTGGTGGCAGAAGCTCTCTGGGACAGAAAATAACCCCAGGGTGATGGTGATGGAGAGCAGGAAGATGAAGCCAGCCATGGCCAGGCTGAGAACACAGGTGGTGAGGGGGTTCCTGCAGCTGTGGAAGCCATGGAGCAGGAGCACAGCCCCATTCCCACCATTCCACACAGGCACAGCAGCAGCAGCAGTGTGGAAGGCTCTTTGCTCCAGTGCCTGTTGTCACTCTTGGTCCAGTTGTCGTGGTTCTCATTCCAGCTTCCTTTGGATGCCTTCCCACCGGGCTGGCTCCAGCAGGCAGGGCTGGCTCCCTCCCTGGCACGGGACAAAGTGCTCATTGTGACACCTCTGCTGCTTCTCCTTGCCCTCACACAGCTGGAGGGTGACACACAGAGACACCACAGCAATGCTGCTGTCCCCCAAACGTGGCTTTTCCCATCTTTTCTCACCCACAGCTTCCATGTGGAGCAGCACAGGGAGAGGCGAGGGACAGGACAGAAGGCAAGTAGGATGTGGGAGCCTGGTCTGGTGTGCCTGGCACAAAAGCCAGGGAGATACCTCCTTCCTGGCTGTGGACAGGACAGAGCTGGAGGAGGAAAACAATTGGAGAAGGAAAAGATTGCCCATGGAGATAGCAGAGAGCAAATGGCTTTGGGATGGATGTGACCTGGACTCTCAGGTGTCAGGTGATATCACTGAACTGCTGTAGGATTCCTTCAGGAGGACACTCCTTTGAATATTCCCTCCAATTTCCCACAGTATTTATCACTTTTAATTCCCTACAGACCTCAATTCTCCCCCCATAATTCATCACCAGGTTCCACCCAATGAGGGGGCACTGATTAAGCTGAACGAGAAGAGTCTGACCTTGTTTCCTCTCTCAGCCTGGAGAACTTCACCACAGTGCACTCACATCTCCTCACACACACCAGCTGCTGTCCCTGGGGTGGGATCTTCAGGAGCTTCCCTGGAATGGTCACTTGGGAAAGGGGAGCGAAGCCCGCGGGGTGAGCCCGAGCAGCGTCCGGTGCGGGCTCTGTCCCAGCTCCTGCCACAGCCCCCTGTTCTCCGTGCTGGCTCGTGTTCTCCAGGGCTCTCACTAACAGGGAACTAGTTCAGAGCCTGGGACGGGATCAGGGCTCTGCTTCCCATCTGCTCTTCACTCTGTCCAGGGACTGAGGAACAGGAGAGAGCCTCAGCAAGCAGACCTAAGGGAAAAGCAGTTTGTCTCCATGTCAGCTTCCTCTTCTGTTTCTAAAGGAAACAAAATCCTCAGATCTTGTCTTCTGAACTGCCTGAACGTGCCCCATATCATTCCAGGGTTGGCTCCTTAGGACACAGCAGCACAAATGTCCTGTGAAACTTGGATTTCCAGTCCAAATCCCATTTTCCCACTTATATGCCTCAATTTCAGTGGTCGTGGACCTTCACCATGCAGTTTCTAAGAGGATTAATGCAATAATAAATTCTGTGCCGGAGATGGAAGCACAGGCACACAGAGGGATGACTTAGGATTTCAGCAATGTAATTTCTGCTGTGAAAATGCAAATCAATGTTTATTTGATGGTTTTAATCCTTAGAAACCCTTGCAGGTCTCCCCTGAGTCAATGTATACACTCCCTTGGCAGTCAGACTGCAGCCTACAGTGAATTCCAGGAATTCCTAGAAAGGTGAGTTGAGATTATTCCTACCCTGATATGTGCCTCAGGAGTCTGGGATGATCCTGCTGGAAACTGTGGGCCCTGAGGCCAGAATTGTCACCTCTCTCCCCTGCTGACACCACATATGTGTCCCCAGCTATGGATTCTCAATCTCCCACAGCCCAGTCCTTTCAAGGGCAAACACTTCATGATCCAGGAGATGATGGGACTCCAGGAGAGGTGGAGAGGGATGTTGGACAAGGACCTGGAGTGACAGGATGAGGATAATGGCTTCCCACTGAGAAAGAATGGGTTCAGATTGGATATTAAGGAAACATACTTCCTTGTGAGGGTGGTGAGGCCCTGGCACAGGTTGCCCAGAGGGGTGGGGTCAGGTAAAAACAAACACAAATGCTCCCATGTCTGAGGAGGAGGAGGAGGAGGAGGAGGAGCCATAATGAAGGGCTGGAAAGAGGATCACAGCACTCCAAATCATGGTCCCTAGTAGCTTTCATTGCATCATCAAGGGGATTGGCAGTAATTAGGGCGGGCTCTGAGTGCTGATAACCTGTCTGCAAGAAACTGAGTGCTGTCCTTCCCTTGGGCTGTGTCAGCCTGCACTGGAATGACAGAAATAGGAATTCTCAGTTCAGTTTTCTTTATTGAAGCCAGGGAAGTTTTTGGCAATGATCCCAGATCTCTTCCCAGAATGGGAGTTGTTTCTGAGAAGCAGCCAAATGCTTCAGCAGTGCTGTGAGCACTCGCAGCACTGCCAGCAGTCCAGTGCCACCAGCACCACCAGCAGCTCTCTGCAGCTGCAGGGACAGTGACCCCTCAGGGTAGGGAAATGAGGAATGGCAGAAACCTGCTGAGAGAGGGAAAGCATTTGGAGAATGTCACATTTGGAAGACTGTTTCTAGTCAGGAGGACATGAGCAGCCATTCAAAGAAACGTGCATGTCGAGCTACTTCCTCTATGGCAGAAAAAAATGTCAAGACAAACAACTCTGAGGAAGTGAAATTCTGACGTAGCCAAAGATTCAATTTCCGATTCTCCCACGAAGCCTTGCGAAACATCTGAGGGACAGGGCACAGAGAGGAGCCAGCAGGACAGGAATGAGGAGCTCCTGGTGATCTGGGCACTTTCTCCTTCATGTCACTGACCTGGCAGGAGCCGCTTTTGGACATGGATCCCAAAGGAGCAAGAGGTTCCAGGAAGCGCCGCTGATCTGCACAGACCCCTTTGCCTGCTGCTGCCCCACAGGGAACAGGTCAGTGGAATGTTTTCCTTCCTCCCTACCCACCTTCCTCTCCTCCAGCAGCTGCTCTGCTCCTGCCACCCTCTCCCAGTGACCCCAGTGCCCTCCCCAGGTCCTCTCTCTTCTCCTGTGAATCGCAGCTGTATCCTAATTCTGAAATGGGCCTGAACAAACTTTATAACACATTGCAAAGCATTTGGAAGCAGAAATTCTTTACCTGCACAGGACACAGAAGGATCTCTTCATGTATTGTGTGTATGGTGAGACTTTACAACAGGGTATTAATACATTGTACACATTAAAAAGTGTTGCATATCTAATACTTAAAAACCATTTTCATAGAATTCATTTCCATGCATCCACCTTCTCCTGGGAGTCCTTTTATGATCCTGGAGTTCTATTAAGAGGGGTCTCTCTGGTGGTTACATTCAATGAATGCTGCCATATTAAAGGTGACCTTGCCTGGAACTTTTCCTCTGGCCAGGCACTGTTGTTTCTTGCTCCAGAACTTGCCCCAAAACCTCTAAAGGCCTCCTTATCTGTTTCTGCACTGGTTCCTGCCATGTTTGCCATCCTGTGTGCCAGCCTTTACATCCTGTGAGAAGCAACCACCCACTGGTTAAAATTTGTAAAGGTTTATTAAACCTTAACAAAAAACACAGCAAAAGGACTAAATGGTTGGGAACTTCCCTCCTGGCTGCCTAACATGTGGCTGGCTCATGTTCAGGATGGATGCTTCACCTTTGATACCCTGGTTGGATTGCATCAGCTAAACCTGCCCCCCTCCCCCCCCAAAATCTGTCAGTCAGCTCTTCTTTGCTGTTCATTGCTGAGGCCTGCTTTCCTGCAACTTCATTGGAGGGTCAGGTGTTGTCCTGCTGCACACCCCCACCCCAGCAACAAGCTTTGGTGCAGGCCTTCTTTCTGCCTGTCCTAGATGACTCGAGATCTCTGACGGAAACAGTACAGAGGGGGAAAGGGGACTATGGGGAGAACAGGGGGCAGCTAAGCAACAGACTAAATAACATAATTATACATCAATAAAGCTTCTCTTAAGATTCACACAGTATTCATCCCTTAACTGCGAAAGCAAATCATCTCATGATCCCTCTATAATATACCCTTTTAAATTTTGGCCACTTTACTTTTGAACAACTTCAGAAGAAGTGAAAATGTTTATTCTCTATGTTATTTCTCAGCCTCCTGCAGAACAGCCCAACCCTCCCACCCCACCATTTCCACAGCTCTCCACTCCTGCACATCTCACTCCTCCCCACTGAATCCTTCCCACTGCAGGGAGCTGCTGAGGAGCCTCATGGTCCATCCCTGGATTCTCCAAGCACTGACTCCCCATCCACTCTGACCACAGCCAGGGCCACATCCCACCGCCTGCCCAGCGTCCATCCATGGGGATGAGCACCATGTCCCCCCCTGCCATCTCACCACTGAAGGGGACAGTCTGTGTGAGATAGATGTCCCCAGCATAGCCATAGACAGTGTGACACTGCTCATCTGCCTCTGTGGGCTGGCTGGGAACGGGGCTGTGCTCTGGGTCCTTGGGTTCTGCATCCAGAGGGACACCATGAAACCCATCACTGCCTGCATCCTTGGCCTGGCCATCATCAACTTCCTCTTCCTCATCTTCATGGTCTCCTCCACTCTGCTCTTCCTGCTGGAGGATTTGTCCTGCTCTGCCATCACGTCCCCAGCATACATAAGCTTCCTTTTCCTCCTCTTGCTGATGTTCTAGAGCGTAGGGCCGTACTGACTGACGGCCATCAGCATCGAGAGGTGCAGGTGCATCCTCTGCCCACGTGGGCTCTTCTGCCACCTTCCCCAGGACCTGTCATGGGTGCTGGTGAGTGCCATGCTCTGGGCCCTTTCCATCACTGCCATCGCTGCCATTTCTGTGGTGACTTCCCTGTCCAAGTCACAGGAACACAAGCTCTGCTGGAGGCTCTCATCTCCCTCTACATCCTCAACCTCCTCGTCTTTGCTCCATCCGTGGTCATTTCCAGCACAACCCCCTTCATTCATTTCAAGGGTAGCTCCCAGCTGCAGCAATTCAAGAGGCTCGACATCACTGTCTTCCTCGCTGTGCTCCTCACTCTCCCCCTCAGTCTCTGGAATTTCCTGCAGCATCTCGGCTGCACTACTGTGTCCCCTCAGGTTGTTCTCCTGTTCACTGCATGCACAGCAGCATCAACCCCTTCATCTTCTTCTCAGTAACAAAGTGCTGGAGGTGCTGCTCCGTGGAGTCTATCAGGGAGTGCCTCCAGAAGGTCTCTGGGGAGCCTGAAGGAAAATCCACCCACAGGAATGATGCCAGCAGGGACACGGGGGGCTGAGCCTGTTAAACCCTTCAACGTCCCCAATGCAGGACCATGGGGCAGTGGTTGAGAGTTTCCTTGAGCCACCAGATTATTAAATATCCATTATATCACTCTCCTGCTCTGTATTCCTGCAGGAGAAGGCAGCAGGAACTTTGCAAAGGGCCACGTGTGAGAAATGCTCTGCAGGAATCACATTGGAGCATGGCTTTGCTCCTCCCTCATGGGTCCTAGAGCACTGTTCCCCAAACAGATCCTTCCCAACAGGACTGTGATCCCAAAATTCCCCCTGGCACCTGCGTCCTGCATCCTGCTGAGGTCTGGTGTCAACAAGCAGCACCATGAACCCTGAGCTGCCTTTGCCCCCTCTGCCAGCGCTTCCCGGCTTCCCCTGGCTCCTGCTGCCAGCCGGGAATGTGGCTGGTGGGAGGGGACAGAGAGGTCATTAGCCAGGAATTTTGTGATTGTTTCGAAATTTCATAATGAACTCTGTTTAATTACTCAGAGCATATTTGACTGTGGTTTTTTATCTGGTTTTGATTTAGATTTGTGTTGGCTGAGTGTCAGTAGAAAACTCTGTGGATCAGTACCCGTTAGAGAACTTACTCAGTAGCTGGAGAACAAAATTCAATAAAGTATTTTTTAATGGTTAACATATAACTAGAAATTAATTGAACATCATAGACTGAGAATGATATCTTGAGGGAATTAGGAGTTCAGAGGCCTGAACACGCCGGAAGACTTGATTAATAAATTGCAAGAGATAAATTGCAATGGCAATAAGAGACCCATTTCCTAAGCTTGTAAACCTCAGAAGACTTAATCAATGGTAACTGTCTAACCAAGACATCAAAGTTAATAAAACATTTTTTCACTGGAAAAAAAAAAAACAACAAGTTATGTATTAAACTAAGAGAGACAACATATTTTGGTAGTAATTAAAAGAAACAAAACAGTCATAACATGAAATAATAAATTAGGAGCACTTTTAGGAGTATCTATAAAAAAATCTGGGCTATTATAGTGCATAAAAATGCCTGAAAAAATGTTGTTTCTTTGAACATGTCTATGGTAAATAAATTTCCAAAAGGCTCACAATTTTGACTCAAAATTGTTACTAGTCTATAATGCTTTTACTGTTAGACTTAAACTTCTTGGTTGCAGAGGGGACACACCCATGGCTTGTGCTCTCTGGCACAACCATGATCTCCAGTGCCCAGAGCTGGGCTGGCACCGGCACAGCTGGCACTGACACGATGGCCATGGGGCTCAGCATTTCTCACTCCAACTGCTTTGTGAGTGTCACAGCAAAGATCTCCCCAGAGATATTTCCTTTTTAGTTTTGTGAGCCAGATGCAAAGGTCTCTCAGCCTTCAGAAATTCTTCCTCTCCACTGCCTTCAGCTGCCCCCTCAGCAGGCTCCGATGGTGCAGCAGCAAGGAGAGGAGAAGGCCATTGTCCTCAGCACAGCCACCCCCTTCCAGGAGCAGGGTGGCACCTGTGTTTGTCACCATGGGCTCCACAGGGCATCACCCTGCTCCCTGTGGCTTTGCTGAGGTCACCAGCCCCACCACATCCCACATCTTTTCTCCAGCCCCACCACATCCCACATCTTTTCTCCAGCCCCACCACATCCCACACCTTCCCACCACATCTTCTGAAGCTGTAATTGCAGGATTAACCCCTGATTTGTAAATGGACCAAACTTATATCTGTCTGAAAAACCCGAGACCATTGTCCGTTTTGGGTGTAGCCCTCTCAGAGGCTTTGACTGCCCAAGGGGTACCTTTGGAAGGCCTTTGATAAATACTGCTTTCATTCTCTTCACCTTGTCTGGCCTCTGTTCTAGGAAGCCACGCCAAGGCATCAGGCAGGCAGGGGCTGGAGGGGGCAGGAGGGGTCTGGCTGCCCCCAATCCCAAATCTCCCATTGGACGGCAGCAGAGCCCAACAGGCCACACTTGCAGCCAGGGAGTGGCCTTGACTGGGAAACCAGCGGGATGGGATGGGATGGGATGGGATGGGATGGGATGGGATGGGATGGGATGGGATGGATGGGATGGGATGGGATGGATGGGATGGGATGGGATGGGATGGGATGGGATGGGATGGGATGGGATGGGATGGGATGGGATGGGATGGGATGGGATGGGATGGGATGGGATGGGGATGAGGAGTGATACCAAAATCAGCCGGAATAAAGATCCTAATACCAACTAATTATGTTAGCAAGGGATGTATTGGGCAGCAGGAAATGCAGAAGGATCTCTCCTTATTTCTCTGTGTGTTGTGAGACTTTACAATATAGTTTTTATCCACTATAACCATTCCTAGACATTAAAAAGGTTTTCTTATCTAGAACATAGACACCATTTTCCTGGAACTCATTTCCATGTTTCCCCTTCCTAATGGCAGTCCTTTGGTGCTCTTGGTGAATCCTTCAGAAGGGGTCTCTGTTGGTCCTATTCAGTGTGTGCTGTGATATTAAAGGTGACCTGGCCTTGAACTTTTCCTTTGGCCATGTGCTCTTGCTTCTTGTTTTAGAGAACTTGCCCCAAAAATACTGCGTGCCTCCTTATCTGTTCATTAACTGACTCCAGCCACAATTATCATCCTGGGTCCACATTTTTACAGCCTTTTATATTTTCACCAGTTAAGGGGCCACTTATCTTTGAGCAACTTCAGAAGAGGTGAAAATGTTTATTCTCTCTTATTTATCATTTCCCTGCAAACCAGCCTAACCCTCCCACCTCCCTCTCCCACCCCACCATTTCCACCACCCTCCTCCCCTGCACGTCTCAGTTCTCTCCACTGAATCCTTCCCACTGCAGGGAGCTGCTGAGGAGCTGCATGGTCCATCCCTGGATTCTCCAAGCACTGACTCCCCATCCACGCTGACCACAGCCAGGGCCACATCCCACCGCCTGCCCAGCGTCCATCCATGGAGGTGAGCACTATGTCCCCTCTTTTCACCTCACCAAGCGACGGACCTGGTCAGTGTGAGATCAATGTCTCCAGCATGGCCATACACTTTGTGACGCTGCTCGTCGGTGTCTGTGGGCTGGCTGGGAACGGGGCTTTCCTCCGGCTCCTCCAAATTAATGCCATCACTGAATTTGTGGCATTCAACCATGCCAGCATCAACTTCCTATTCCTCATCTTCATGGTTCCCTCTGCCCTGCTCTTCCTGCCGGAGGAGGTTTCCTGCTCTGCTATAATGCCCCCAATGTATCTGAGCTTGCTTTCCCAGCTGTCACAGTTCACCTACACCATGGGGCTCTACCAGCTGATGTTCATCAGCATTGAGAGGTGCAGGTCCATCCTCTGCCTGTTTTTCTGCACTGGGCAACTTTCAGAGCACTTGTTGTGGGTGGTGATGAGTGCCCTTTTCTGGGCCCTGTTCTTTGTTGTCACCGCCGTCAATCCCACGGTGACTTCCCTGTGCCAGTCACACGAGCAGGAGCAATGCCAGGTGGCTCTCGCCTCCATGTACGCCCTCAACCTCTTCCTCGTTGCTGTACCCATGGTGATTTCCAGCACAATCCTCTTCATTCATCTCAAGGCCGGCTCCCAGCAGCAGCAGCAACACAAGAGGCTCGACATTGTTATCTTCCTTGTTGCACTCTTCAGTCTGCCCCTCAGTCTCTGGTCTTTCCTGCAGCAGCTCGGTTACACAGCTGTGCCCTTCCAGGTGGTTTTCCTGCTCACCTGCATCACCAGCAGCATCAAACCCTTCATCTATTTCTTGGTGGGGAGCTGGAAGAGAGACTGCTCCATGGGGAGCTGCTGGAGACACTGCTCCATGGAGAGCTGCAGGAGACACTCCTCCATGCAGTCCCTAGGGGAGGCACTCCAAAGTGTGTTTGAGCAGCCAGAAGAAAACAGTGCCTCTGGAAATGATCCTGTGGAAATCATGGACACAGAAGCATGAGCCTACTTATCCCTTCCACTGCAATGCTGAGGGACACCAGTACAGTGGCTGAGGGATTCCTTGAGTGACCTGATCAATAAATCCCCACAGGATCACCCTCCCTGTGCTGGTGCATCCCCCACCCCCTTTCCAGCCCGCACTGGGCTCTGATCCGTGCTTGGGAGGCCTCAGCCTTGAGGAGCAGTCCCTGGGCTCAGCTCCTCTGGCCCTGATCACAAAAACCCTCTGCTCCCAGGAACTGCTGCTGTCCAACGACCTCCTGGGCTTTTATCAGCAGCCTTGGGAATTCTTTTCCTTCCCTGAATGCCACAACATCCCTGCTCTCACACTTTCACAGCAAGCTGCCGGCCCCCAGTGTGGCCAGGGTGAAACATTGCTGTGGCTGCAGCCCATCCCTTGGGGCCCCGTAAGCAGCAGCCCAAAAGGAGACCCTTGGAGCTCTCCTGGGCCCAGCAGCGCTGAGCAGAAGCTCCCTGGCCCTGGGGCCTCTCCGAGCTGGGATCTCTCCCGTCTGCTGCCCTCGGGTGATCCCTGAACGCCGGCGGCTCCTGGGCCGATCCCCCAGGGCTCGAGGCCCAAGCCTTGGCACGGTGAGGAGATGCCAACGGATCCGCAGGGAGCATTTCACTGCCTCCCAGGGGAATTTCTCACAGGCACCCTGCACTGACTCTTCCTGTCTGTGTGCACACACGAGTGCATCTGCTCCTGCAAATGTGGGGAAATGCTGCTCTCCCCGGTGTTCCAGTGCCTGAGACACCTGAGGGGGTCAGGCCTGGGAGCAAGGTTAAGGCCTGAGATACCATTGCAGCTAAACGCGTTTCATGTTATTTCTTTGCTAAATTGTTAATTTTAAGGTAGAAAAGCAGGAATGGCTTGGAGAAGCAGAGACACTGCTCATGGTCCCAGGTGGAGCAGGGCAGGAGCGGGGCTGTCCTAGGGGAAATGGCAGCTCTGGGGCGGGACTGGAGGTGGTCAGAGGGTTCCAGAAGGGTCGGAGTGTTCTAGAAGGGTCTGGAGGAGTTCGGAAGGGTCTGGATGCTGCTGATCCCAAATGTCCTGACTGGAGAGCAGCAGAGCCCAATGGGCAGCGCTTCAAGGCAGGGAGCAGGCATGGGATGGGATGGGATGGGATGGGATGGGATGGGATGGGATGGGATGGGATGGGATGGGATGGGATGGGATGGGATGGGATGGGATGGGATGGGATGGGATGGGATGGGATGGGATGGGATGGGATGGGATGGGATGGGGAGTGGGGCAGAGATGGGGGTAAGGAGTGATAACAAAATCAGCCAGAATCAAGCTCCTAACACCAACTAATGGTGTTACCGAGGGAAGTACTAGGCAGCAGGACACACAGAAGGATCTCTACTTTACAACATGCATTTTATCCATTATAACCCTATGCGGGCATTAAAAAGTTTTTCTTATCTAGTACATAAACACCATTTTCCTAGAACTCATTTCCATGCATCTACTTCCCACTGAGCATCATTTCATGGTCCTGGAGGCTCATTGAGGGGGGCTTCTGGTGGACGCATTCACTGAGTGCTGCGATATTAAAGGTGACCTTGCCTTGAACTTTTCCTTTGGCCATGTGCTTTTGCTTCTTGTTACAGAACTTGCCCCAAAAACACTGCAGGCCTCCTTATCACTTTCCCCAGTGGGTCCAGCCACATTTATCATCCTCTGTCCACACCTTTACATGTTTTAATCTTTCTGCCCAGTTAGTCTTCAAGGAACTTCAGGGGAGTTGAAAATGTTCATTCTCTTGTATTTATCAATCCCCTGCCGTATGGCCCAACCCTCCCACCTCCCTCTCCCACCATTTCCACTGCCCTCCTCCCCTGCACATCTCAGTTCTCTCCACTGAATCCTTCCTGCTGCAGGGAGCTGCTGAGGAGCTGCATGGTCCATCCCTGGATTCTCCAAGCACTGACTCCCCATCCACGCGGACCACCACCAGCGCCACATCCAACCGCCTGCCCAGCGTCCATCCATGGAGGTGAGCACCATGTCCCCTCTTTTCGCCTCACCAACCAACAGACCTGATCAGTGTGAGATCAATGTCTCCAGCATGGCCATACACTTTGTGACATTGCTCTTCGGTGTCTGTGGGCTGGTTGGGAATGCGGCTTTCCTCCGGCTCTTCTACATTAACCCCTCGACCGACTTCGTCTTCAACCAGGCCATCACCGACTTCCTCTTCCTCATCATCATGGTCCCCTCCACCGTGCTCTTCCTTGTGGAGGAACTGTCCTGCTATGCTATATTGGCCCTGATGTATTTGAGCTTCCTTTTCTACCTCTCACTGTTCTCCTACACCATGGGGCTGTACCGCCTGACATTCATCAGCTTTCAGAGGTGCAGGTCCATCCTCTGCCTGTTTTTCTGTGGTTGCCAACTTCCTGAGCGACTGCTGTTGGTGATGATGACTGTACTGTTCTGGGTCCTCCTCTTTGTTGTCACTGCTGTCAATCCCACGGTGACTTCCCAGTGCCAGTCACTCGAGAAGGAGAAATGCCATGTGGCTCTCACCTCCATATACGCCCTCAACCTCTTCCTATTTGCTGCACCCGTGGTCATTTCCAGCACAATCCTCTTCATTCATCTCAAGGCCGGCTCCGAGCAGCAGCAGCAACACAAGAGGCTCGACATCGTTATTGTCCTTGTTGCACTCTTCAGTCTGCCCCTCAGTCTCTGGTCTTTCCTGCAACAGCTCGGTTACACAGCTGTGCCCTCCCAGGTGGTTTTCCTGCTCACCTGCATCGCCAGCAGCGTCAAACCCTTCATCTATTTCTTGGTGGGGAGCTGGAAGAGAGACTGCTCCATGGGGAGCTGCTGGAGACACTGCTCCATGGAGAGCTGCAGGAGGCATTCCTCTGTGGAGTCCCTAAGGAAGGCAATCCACAGGGTGTTTGGGGACCCAGAAGAAAACACTTCCTGTGGAAATGAGCCCACCTCTGATGCAGAGGACTGAGCCTGTTGCTCCCTTCCACTGCACTGCCGAAGGAACCCAGTGTAGTGGCTGAGGGATTCCTTGAGGGACCTGATCAATAAATCCCCACAGGATCACCCTCCCTGTGCTGGTGCATCCCCCACCCCCTTTCCAGCCCGCACTGGGCTCTGATCCGTGCTTGGGAGGCCTCAGCCTTGAGGAGCAGTCCCTGGGCTCAGCTCCTCTGGCACTGATCACAAAAACCCTCTGCTCCCAGGAACGGCTGCTGTCCAACGACCTCCTGGGCTTTTATCAGCAGCCTTGGGAATTCTTTTCCTTCCCTGAATGCCACAACATCCCTGCTCTCACACTTTCACAGCAAGCTGCCGGCCCCCAGTGTGGCCAGGGTGAAACATTGCTGTGGCTGCAGCCCATCCCTTGGGGCCCCGTAAGCAGCAGCCCAAAAGGAGACCCTTGGAGCTCTCCTGGGCCCAGCAGCGCTGAGCAGAAGCTCCCTGGCCCTGGGGCCTCTCCGAGCTGGGATCTCTCCCGTCTGCTGCCCTCGGGTGATCCCCGAACGCCGGCGGCTCCTGGGCCGATCCCCCAGGGCTCGAGGCCCAAGCCTTGGCACGGTGAGGAGATGCCAACGGATCCGCAGGGAGCATTTCACTGCCTCCCAGGGGAATTTCTCACAGGCACCCTGCACTGACTCTTCCTGTCTGTGTGCACACACGAGTGCATCTGCTCCTGCAAATGGGGGGAAATGCTGCTCTCCCCGGTGTTCCAGTGCCTGAGACACCTGAGGGGGTCAGGCCTGGGAGCAAGGCTAAGGCCTGAGATACCATTGCAGCTAAATGTGTTTCATGTTATTTCTTTGCTAAATTGTTAATTTCAAGGTAGAAAAGTAGGAATGGCTTGGAGAAGCAGAGACACTGCTCATGGTCCCAGGTGGAGCAGGGCAGGAGCGGGGCTGTCCTAGGGGAAAAGGTGGCCCTGGAGCGTGACTGGAGGTGGTCAGAGGGTTCCATAAAAGTTGCGGGGGTTTTGGATGGATCTGGAGGAGTTTGGGAAGGGTCTGGATGCTGCTGATCCCAAATGTCCTGACTGGAGAGCAGCAGAGCTCGATGGGCAGCGCTTCAAGGCACAGAGCGGCCATGGGATAAGATAGGATGGAATGGGATGGGAACTGGGAGTGATCCTGAGATCAGCCAGAGTAAATTTTCCAACACAATGGGAGGCATTAGAAAGGAAAAAGAGATGGATCTCTCCATATTTCCATTTGAGGTGAGACTTTACAACAGGGGTTTTACCCATAATAACCACACAGAGCAACTAGAGTTCCTTTGTCATCTAATACATAAACATCATTTTCCTAGGACTCTTTTACAAGCATCCGCCTCCTTCTCCAAGTCCTTTCCTGGTCCTGGACGATGCCTCACAGGGGTCTTTTGTGGTCACATTCACTGAGTGCTCTGAGAATAAAGATGACCCTGCCTGTAGGAGTAGGGACAGGCGAACGGAAGATCTCGGGATGTGACGGAAAGAGAGACCCTTCCCCGTTGTCCCTGCTTCACGTTATCTATTAACCCCAGAGCATGTAACCACACCTAACCCAGTAGTTTTCCACTCCCGACTAACCCTAGAGACCCTACCAACCCCCTCTGACGTAGCAAAGACCCCCAAGACTATTTAAACCCATGAGATAAGATAATAAAGGCTTTCGACCGTCCACCATATTGGTGTCTGCGAGTGTCGCTAGTCCGAGTAGCCCGAACAGGCCGGGCTGCCGTGCTGTCTTCTTGGAACCAGGTCGCCGTTGTCTTTCATAAAGGCAACAAATCAGGTGCCGAAACCCGGGAGGAAGAGAAATTCGCTCGGGTAACGGGATACACCTGGACAGGAGCAGCGGCCGGAGCGGTCAGACCGTATCATGGCGCAGGGAGACGTCCCAGGACCCGCGAGCGTCATGGACAGCATCGCCAGGGTCGTAAGTGTGAGTTATAAGCAGTGGGGTATCGAGTGTAAGCTCAGGGACTTTTATCTTGCCATAGCAAGGCTGCTTGAGCTTGGGGCGACTGAAAGCCCAGTGGATGCTATGCATCCGGGAATATGGGAAAAATGCACAGCCACGCTGGCCGAGGACACGAAATCCTCAGGCAGTGGCAAGAGCCTTAAAACGTGGGGCAAAGTAAAGAAAGCCCCGCACAGAGCAATAGAAGAGCAGGAGACGTGGAGCGCGGCGCTTGCGTGTTTATTAGTTAGACCTGGGCTCGGGGTGGGGGCGGAAGCACAGACCGTCCCTGAGGACGATCCGCCGGGGAGCGGAGATCCGGGGGGGCCCGGCACGTCACCCCCCTCTCCGGGCCAGAGGCCAGTCCCCGCCGCGGAAGCCCCCCGAAAAACCGCGGCTTCCCCATCCGTCCCGCCGCCGCCGGTCAGCGACCCGTTGCCGGAGCTGCAGCAGCCCGCAGAATGCTTCTGGCAGGAGCTGGCAGTGGAAGCCAGAGTCGCAGAAACCGCGGCTCGGGTGGAGATCCAAACCACGCTGCCACCTCACCCCTTTGAAAATGGCGCTGGCCGCCAAGGAGAGGGGCGGGGCGCGGGCGGTCTCGGCACGAAAACCCGGGAGACGCGCGATTTCAGGGACGCGCGTGCGCGGGAGAAAGAGGCGGAGAGCAGCAGAGAGCACGGAGCCAATCGGCAGCCGTGCCAGATGCAGCTACCATGTAAGGGAGAGACCTCCCCCTGCAGGAGGCAGGGCAAGCCGGGGGGGCAGAAGCGGCGCCACCCCCGCGGGGAGGAGGGAGCTCGGAGCCGGACAAAAAGGCACCGAGCCCCGGAAATGCGCTGGCATTCGACTTCCGACTCGGAGTCCAGCAGCAGCTCCGCCGGCTCGGAAGAGCTGCCGGAAGCCGCCTGGGATTCAGAGACGGAAGAAACGGAGCCAACGCAATTTAAGACAAAACCGAGTAAAGCTCTAAGCCGCACCGAAAAACAACTACAATACGAACCAGCCCAGTTTACCAGCTGGGGAGAAATAAAAATAGCCTGTGCTGATTGGTCCCCAGCGGCTGCCATACAAGCCTTCCCGGTGAGGCTCACCGGCCCGGAGGGGAACCAACAAAGGGTATATACCCTGATAAACCCAAAAGATGTACAGTCAATTGTCAAAGCCATTGCGGAAAAAGGAATCAATTCGGCCATAGTCTCCACTTTAATCGATGGTCTTTTTAGTAATGACGACCTGCTTCCCTTTGATATCGAGCGAATAGGTCGCATGATACTTGATGGTGCGGGAATGATTGTCTTCAGACAGGAATGGGAGGATAATTGTAGGAAGCAGTTAGCCCAAGGATCTGGCGCGAGGCAGCCCCTACACAGATCGAGCTTATCCAGACTGATAGGAAAGCACAATGATATGATCACGCCGCAGCAACAAGCCATGCAGATGCAGGCTGAGGAGGTCAGGGCGACCACTCGGGCTGCCAGGGAGGCTATTCGCGCAGCCTCTCGAGTCGTGGCTAAGCCGGCGCCGTGGTCCACCGTGAGGCAGGCAGAGAGCGAAAGCTTCACGCAGTTCGTGGATCGCCTGCAGGCAGCGATAGACTCCTCCATCCTGCCGGCAGAGGCAAAGGGCCCCGTGGTAGCTGACTGCCTGCGCCAGCAGTGCAACTCTGTCACCAAGGATATCTTACGTTCCCTGCCAGCCGGAGCTAGCCTGGCTTACATGATCAAACATGTAGTAAGGGAAGAGCACCTGACGCCCATTCAGGCAGCTGTCCACACCCTGACCAGTGCCATGGCATGCTTCAAGTGTGATGAGGCAGGTCACATCGCGGTGAGCTGCCCCCAGCCGGCACGGCAGCCCGCCGCGGCGCCTCCACCCCAAACACGCCCGAGGGAATCCTGTTGAAGCTGCGGTAGGAAAGGGCCACTGCCACACACCCACTGCTGCCAATAAAACTGACCTTCAGAACAAAACTAATGAAAAGCTGTGAGTTTTGTTTGCAGGACATGCTCGTGGACCGTCCCCGTGATGCATACACCCCTGCTCCAGAGGGAGATGACGGACCACCAAACCACCAGACAAAACCCGAAAGTCCCACACCAGTGAGACCCAGACATGCACAGTGTCTCTGTGCGATTTTGCTGTTGGGGCTTGTGGCTGGGGGACAAGCCAACCCAGGCCACTACCCTCACCAGCCATTTAAGTGGGTCATGCAACATCTTTCAAGTGACAAGGTGTTCAAAGAGATCACCACAGCAAACACCCCATCCTTCGTGTTCCACATAGCCAACCTGTTTAGAAGCTACCTTTCTAACCCTAAACGAAACCAAACCGAACCTGACTAACCCCTGTTAGCTTTGCTATGATGTTAAACCCCCTTTCTACGAAGGCATTGCTTTAGACACCCCCTTCAGTTACTCCACAGCCAGTGCCCCCCACCAGTGCAGATGGGACACTCCCCGCAGAGGAATCACCCTGAGTCAAATCACAGGACAGGGCAGATGTTTTGGCAATGCAACCTTAGCAAAGCAGAAAAGCAACTTCTGCACTAACGTTGTCAAGCCCAACAGAAAAACCAATAAGTGGGTGGTCCCATCCGCATCTGGGATGTGGGTTTGCCAGAGATCTGGAGTGAGTCCTTGTGTGTTCCTTGCCAAATTTAATGACTCTATCGATTTCTGTGTCCAAGTTCTGATTGTTCCTAGGGTCCTGTACCACTCAGACAAAGAGATATACCACCTTCTCGAGGAACCTGACAGACTCCGCAAAAGAGAAATAATCATAGGTATAACCATCGCAATGCTGCTCGGCCTGGGAGCAGCTGGCACAGCCACGGGTGTCTCAGCCATCGCAACCCAGCAGCACGGACTCTCTCAGCTGCAAATGACCATCGACGAAGACCTGCAGAGGATCGAGAAATCCATCTCCTACCTGGAAAAATCAGTCTCTTCGCTTTCAGAAGTAGTTTTACAAAATAGGCGAGGACTGGACCTCTTGTTCATGCAACAAGGAGGACTGTGTGCAGCCTTAAAAGAGTGTCGGAACTCAAAATGTCCCTCAGACATTTTTAGAGGTTCCAGGCCTTGGTCAGAAGCATTTTAGACCCTGGCAAGCAGCAGAAAACAGCTGTGATTTTGAGTTTGAACCATGGAATGAATTACCAACTTTGAAGGTGGAACAAGCAGTCACAGAGGGTTAGATGGCATAGTAAAAGTAGTCACAAATTAGAGGGTAAAATTTTTTAGTGTTGTACAGGGGGGTTTTAACACCTGTACAGGGGGGTTTTACTTTGTACAGGGGGGTCAGGAGTTCTAAGATGGAGGAAAGTGGACCTGATCCTGTTCTTCCTCCTTCTTCTTCCTTACCTCCATGTTCTTGGTGATGTTGGCATTTTTCTATTGGTTTAGGCTGGAGACACACTGTTCAACATAGATGACAGATATTGGCACATTATTGTAAATATAGTACACGTAATTTCTGGTATATAATGTTTGTAACATCCCACTGAGGGGCAGAGCCCCGCACACTGCCCTGCAGGACAGACCTGCGGCAGGGCAGCAGAACATGTTAGAGATAAGCAAAAATAAACAACCTTGAAAACAGCACAGGCGAACTATGGCTTCTTCTTTGGCAACGGGGCAGAAAGACAGAGACTTTCTACAATCTCGGAATCACCAATACCCACAGATTCCGACAAAAGAGGAATGCTGCTTTTATGCAGATCATACGGGAGTTGTTAAAGACTCCATGGCAGAGCTCCGAGATAGACTAGCTCAGAGAAAGAGGGACAGGGAAACCCAACAGAGCTGGTTCGAATCCTGGTTCAATCAATCACCTTGGCTCACCACTTTAATTTCCGCCCTGGTAGGTCCACTGGCAATACTGCTTTTAGCTGTTACCATAGGACCATGACTGCTGAACAAACTAGTCTCGTTTGTTCAGGCCCGTCTGGAAAGGGCAAACATTCTGTTCATAGGCCACCAACAAATGCTGTAAACCAAAAACTGCAAACACAGTCAGTAGCTAAAGCCTTCAACACCTGCCTTGAAAAATTTACCCAGATTTACCAAACCACCCTTTCCTTAACAAGTTGCAAGTTTGTACCTCACTCCAGTGCCTATATCTACGACTACCTCATTTTGTATGTGATAAGGAGGGGGGAGATGTGGTAGGTAAGGGACAGGCGAAGCGGAAGATCACGGGATGTCACGGAAAGATAGACCCCTCCCCTTCTCCCTTCCCAACGTTAGCTATTAACCCCTGAAGCCCCAGAAGCGTGTAGCCACACCTGCCCCGGTAAATTTCCACTCCCGACTAACCCCTGAGACCCCCAACCCCCCTCTGACGTAGCAAAGACCCCCAAGACTATTTAAACCCACGAGATGAGATAATAAAGGCTTTTCGACCGTCTGCCACATTGGTATCTGCGTGTGTTGATTAGCCCGAGTGGCCTGGGCGAGACCAGGCCGCCGTGCTGCCTCACCTGAACCAAGTCGCACGTTGCCCCTTATAAAGGCAACACTTTCCCCCGCGTGTCCGTTATCCCCAAAAATGCCAAGTCATCCCCCTGTTTACCCCAGATGCCTGTCCGTTACTCGGTGTCCCTTCCCATCCGCCTAGAATCTTCCATCCGGGATGCCGGGTGATTGGTAGAGGACCTGGGACCCTTCCCCTGTCTGTCCTTCATTGGAGGTACCCCCGTATCCCACCACCCTCGAACCACCCCGCAGTTTTACCCCATTGGCTGTTTGATTTTCCCCCATTCCATATTTATTTCATTTGTGCGGTTTGTTTCGTGCTTTCTTCTGGCGGGCTCCAGCGCGTTCCGCCCCGCCCGCACCTTTCCGGTAAACACCGGCGCGGCACGCCTGGTCCCCTTCGAGTTATTGTATTCCCCGTTGGATTACAATAAACGGAATTCGCCCCCAGAAAAAGACTCTCTTCGTAATTCGCCATGGGGTCGCTGACTGCTCTCTGGAACTCCGATAGCGCTTCCCAAAGCCCGCGAGGGTCCAGCGGGAAGCGCTAGAAACTTGCCCACCCCTCTCCCCAGACAAGCTAGCCGGGGCTGAGGAAGGGCATCGGGGAGAGGAGCGTCGGTAACAGGAGTTCCACCACAAACACAAAATCTACGTAGAGAAGAGCAAGATGAAACAAAGATGTGCAAAATGCTGCTAAGGTCAGAAAAGCCAACATAAGCAGGACAAACAGAAGGAGCAGGGAGAAGTCAGCAACAGCCAGATTCAGGATGTAGACAGTGAAAGGACTCTGCTTTGTGTGGAAGCCCAGGAACCACATGACCACCCCATTCCCTGCCAGCCCACAGAGGGAAATCCCCAGGCACACCCCTGCAAAGGCAATCAAGGTGTAGGGAATGCTCAAGCATTGAGATGTGATATATTCCTCCCAGTCCATAGATCCATAAAGTGTATTGTTCAGGGTGAGGTTTGTTGTGCTGTTCTCCTCCATGGTGAATGATCTTGCTCCCAGCAGCTGCCTTTTCCCTTTCCCTCCACCTCCTAGGGAGAGGGGAAACCTGAGAGAAATAAGGGACATCAGCACTCCCAGCACTTCCCATCAGTCTATACAGCCCCACGCCAACCCCGGGAAGAACCCTCACCCCTGTAGTGACCAGGACAGGCTCCCAGCCCTCCAGCCCTGACTCTAGACAGGAATCTCCCACCAGTCCATCCCTGGACTCCTACCTCCAGTAGGAACAGTGCTGTCACAGCAGCACCAGGAGAAAGGATTTGGGGATGGCTGCTGGAACCACTGGCTCTGCTTCAGCTTTAGCCCTGGTGCCTGGGTGCAGCCCTTGGCCCAGAGATCACATCCCATGGTCAGAGCCTCCCCTCACAATCTCCCCACATCAGTGACAACTTCCCCTCACATGTCCCAGGGACAGAGATCTCATCAGGAAGAGGTGGCATGTCATTGCCTTCCTCTCCTCCCTCCAGTTCTTCATGAGGAGCTGCTGATCTTTTATGATCCTATTAATTCAGGTACCAGGACTTTTGAATTTTAAACATCATTTACTGGATGTAAAACAATGAAAATGAAAGGACAGCACAGATAATATTATGTCCCTTTGGGTGCTGGGAATCCTGGGTCAAAACCCTCCTCTGGTGAGGGCAGACCCTGTGCATGGAAGGGATACTCCACTATGATCTGTTCAGGTATTACAGCATTTTCTAAACCCCTCAGAAATTCCAGACCTCATTAGATACCAACAGAGCCCCTGAGCAGCAGCCATGGGGATGAGCACTGTCCTTGTGTCCAGTTGCTGTGGGAAATCACCGGTGCCCAGATATGGGATTGCACAAAGGCTTTGCCCACAGCCTCTAATCCCATCCTGTCTAATCCCATTCATCAACCTAATCACCCCTGCTGGGCACGTGTGTCCTCAGAGATTAGGTTTGTGGGGTACATTGTGCTGCCAAAGTGCTCTTATCTCCAAGTGGCTCCTGCCACACAACCTCAGCCTTTCACAGCATGGGGACTGGCATTTTATTGCCTATTTTCTGCCCCTTTTTCATGTGTTTTCCATCTCCTTTGGGGTTGTATGCTGTGCTTGTCATCCCCAGGACTGATGGATGTGTTAATGCACAAGGTCCATGTGCTCTCCAGGGTGTCCAGCCTGGAGCTGCAGGATTTGGAGCTAGAGGAAGACTTGAAACAAGGAGAGAACTTAGGCTCAACATCCATCCACAAGAGGGAGATGGAAAAAGGTGCAACTCCTGAAGTTTCTCCCATAAGGAAGTTGGAAGAAGTCTTTGAGCACGAGTTACATGTCACTAGAGACACTGAGCAATTTGTGCTGTTGTATGTCTGCACACGAGTGACTTCTCAGTCTTGAAGGTCTCTGCCTCATCTCTCTCACTCCTCTGCCATCCTCCATCCCTGGGAATGATTTATATCCCCTTCTGCATTGATGAATGGACAACCGGGCACACACAGTGAAAGCCAAAAGCCCCTTGCATGGTGGGATGACATTGGAGAGTGGCAGAGGAAGGGGGTGATGTGGCCACCTCCTCCTGATAAGATCTCTGTCCCTGGGACATGTGAGGGGAAGCTGTCACTGATGTGGGGAGATTGTGAGGAGAGGCTCTGACCATGGGATGTGATCTCTGGGCCAAGGGCTGCACCCAGGCACCAGAACTGGAGCTGAAGCAGAGCCAGTGGTTCCAGCAGCCATCCCCAAATCCTTTCTCCTGGTGCTGCTGTGACAGCGCTGTTCCTACTGGAGGTAGGAGTCCAGGGATGGACTGGTGGGAGATTCCTGTCTAGGGTCAGGGCTGGAGGGCTGGGAGCCTGTCCTGATCACTGCAGGGGTGAGGGTTCTTCCCGGGGTTGGCGTGGGGCTGTGCAGACTGATGGGAAGTGCTGGGAATGCTGATGTCCCTTATTTCCCTCAGGTTTCCCCTCTCCCTAGGAGGTGGAGGGAAAGGGAGAAGGCAGCTGCTGGGAGCAAGACCATTCACCATGGAGGAGAACAGTACAACAAACCTCACCCTGAACAATACACTTTATGGATCTATGGACTGGGAGGAATATATCACATCTCAATGCTTGAGCATTCCCTACACCTTGATTGCCTTTGCAGGGGTGTGCCTGGGGATTTCCCTCTGTGGGCTGGCAGGGAATGGGGTGGTCATGTGGTTCCTGGGCTTCCACACAAAGCAGAGTCCTTTCACTGTCTACATCCTGAATCTGGCTGTTGCTGACTTCTCCCTGCTCCTTCTGTTTGTCCTGCTTATGTTGGCTTTTCTGACCTTAGCAGCATTTTGCACATCTTTGTTTCCTTTTATTCATCACTATAGATATTTTGTGTTCGTCCTTGCATTCCTGTGCCACGTGTTTGACCTGAGCAGCCTGGGGCTGCTGGCAGCCCTCAGCGTGGAGCGCTGCATCTCCGTCCTCTGCCCCATCTGGTACCGCTGCCACCGCCCCCGGCACCTCTCGGGCGTCGTCAGTGGGGCCCTCTGGGCCCTCGCAGGGGGTTTTGTGTCCTCCCTTTACCTCACCTACACCTACACCGAAGACTCTGTGAACATCCTTGCAGGTGTAGCCCTCGCCATTTCCGTGGTTTTTTCCCTCATGATGTTGGTTTCCAACCTGTTCCTGTTCCTCAGGCTGCGCTGTGGCTCCCGGAGGCGGCAGCCAGGGAAGCTCTTTGTGGCCATCCTGCTCAACATCCTGCTGTTCTTCGCCTTCGGCATCCCTTTCTGCGTGGAGGTTTTCCTCAATCTCCCTTATTCTGGTGCTTTATTCCCAGAACACACCTCCTTTTTGCTGGCAGTTCTGAACTGCTCCCTCAACCCGGTGATTTACGTGCTGGTGGGGAGCTGCCGGCGGCGTCGCTTCCAGCGCTCCGTTAGAGTCGCTCTGCGGAGGGTGTTTGAGGAGAAAGCTCAGAGTGACGAGGGGAGCCACGGCCCTGGGGACACTGTGGTGGAGGTGACAGCTCTCTGAGGTGCTTCTGGACATGAGGCACTTCTGGAGATGTGGCACCTCAGAGAGAGCCAGAAAGATGGGAAAACATGGCTCTGAGCTCTGTCCTGTTCCTGTATTCCCCACGGAACGACCCTCATTGCCTTGGCCCCAAGGAATAAACTCTGCTATACTGATCATTTTCATTTTGTTACTACCCCTAAATCATATTCCGATTTCTGCCTTTTGTTACTTTTCAGTGTGGTAACTCCGGCCCCAGATTTTATTGAATAAACAACATCTGGGGTTTGCTGCAGAGGTTGTCACTGGAAAACAGTGTCCAAAAATGGCTCAATTACTTTTTTTTCCCCATACTAAAGCCTCTGGCTTGTCTGTGAGGAGGTCAGGTATCTGTCTCATTTCAGAGCTCTTCTAATGGCTGGTGCCTGCTATGGTTGAAATGAGCTGTCTGTTGACAGTTCCAAGAGCTCCTCATTCCTTCTTGGAAAAGCAGTTTGTGTCAGGTTCCTCTTAGAAATACTAACTATGAAATCATGCCTTTGAATGAGTGAAAATTCCCCCTATCATTCCACAGGGAGATTTTTAGGACCCTGCAGAAATAAACTATAACTTTTGCTTCAAATCTAGTTTTCCCACGTGCATGCTGCAATTTCAGTGACCCTGGACCTTCACCATGCAGTTTCCAAGAGGATTCATGCAATAATCAATTCTGTGCCTGAGATGGAGCACAGCAACAGAGCAGAGGGATGATTTAGGATTTCAGCAATGTAATTTCTGCTGAGAAGAGGCAAATCAATGCTGCTCTTCTGGCTTTAATCCTTAGAAAGTTGCAGGTTTCCCCTGAGTCATCTTCCACACTCCCTTGGCAGTCAGACAGCAGCCTACAGTGAATTCCAAGGAACTCCTAGAAAGCTGAGGTGAGATGATTCCTACCCAGGTTGACATGTGCCTCAGGGATTTGGAATGCTCCTGCTGGAAACTGGCATATATGGTGGCCCCGGGATCAGAACTGTCACCTCTCTTCCCTGCTGACACCATTTTTGTATCCCCAGCTATGGAATCTCACATCTCCCACAGCCCAGTCCTTTCAAGGGCAAACACTTCATGACCCAGGAGATGACAGTACTCCAGTAGAGGTGAAGAGGGATTTTGGACAAGGGCATGGAGTGACAGGACATGGGGGAACAGTTTCCCACTGACAGAGGATGGGTTGACATTGGATATTGGGAAGGAATCCTTCCCTGTGAAGGTGGCGAGGCCCAGGCACAGGTTGCCCAGAGGGGTGGGGTCAGGTAAAAACAAACACAAATGCTCCCATGTCTGAGGAGGAGGAGGAGGAGGAGCCCTAATGAAGGGCTGGAAAGAGGGTCACAGCACCCCAAAATCTGGTCCCTAGTAGCTTTCATTGCATCATCAAGGGGATTGGCAGTAATTAGGGCGGGCTCTGAGTGCTGATAACCTGGCTCAAGCAACTGAGTGCTGTCCTTCCCTTGGGCTGTGTCAGCCTGCATTGGAATGACAGAAATAGGAATTCTCAGTTCAGTTTTCTTTCTTGAAGCCAGGGAAGGTTTTGGCAATGATCCCAGATCTCTTCCCAGAATGGGAGTTGTTTCTGAGAAGCAGCCAAATGCTTCAGCAGTGCTGTGAGCACTCGCAGCACTGCCAGCAGTCCAGTGCCACCAGCACCACCAGCAGCTCTCTGCAGCTGCAGGGACAGTGACCCCTCAGGGTAGGGAAATGAGGAATGGCAGAAACCTGCGAGAGAGGGAAAGCATTTGGAGAATGTCACATTTGGAAGACTGTTTCTAGTCAGGAGAAAATGAGCAGCCACTCAAAGAAATCTGCATGTCGAGATATTTCCACTCTGGCAGAAAAAAAACCCAAGACAAACAACTCTGAGGAAGTGAAATTCTGACGTAGCCAAAGATTCAATTTCCGATTCTCCCACGAAGCCTTGTGAAACATCTGAGGGACAGGGCACAGAGAGGAGCCAGCAGGACAGGAATGGGGAGCTCCTGGTGATCTGGGCACTTTCTCCTTCATGTCACTGACCTGGCAGGAGCCGCTTTTGGACATGGATCCCAAAGGAGCAAGAGGTTCCAGGAAGCGCCGCTGATCTGCACAGACCCCTTTGCCTGCTGCTGCCCCACAGGGAACAGGTCAGTGGAATGTTTTCCTTCCTCCCTGCCCCACCTTCCTCTCCTCCAGCAGCTGCTCTGTTCCTGCCACCCTCTCCCAGTGACCCCAGTGCCCTCCCCAGGTCCTCTCTCTTCTCCTGTGAATCGCAGCTGTATCCTAATGCTGAAATGGGCCTGAACAAACTTTGTAACACAATGCAAAGCATTTGGAAGCAGAAATTCTTTACCTGCACAGGACACAGAAGGATCACTTCTTGTATTGTGTGTATGGTGAGACTTTACAACAGGGTATTAATGCATTGTACGCATTAAAAAGTGTTGCTTATCTAATACTTAAAAACCATTTTCATAGAATTCATTTCCATGCATCCACCTTCTCCTGGGAGTCCTTTTATGATCCTGGAGGCTTATTAAGAGGGGTCTCTCTGGTGGTTACATTCAATGAATGCTGCCATATTAAAGGTGACCTTGCCTGGAACTTTTCCTCTGGCCAGGCACTGTTGTTTCTTGCTCCAGAACTTGCCCCAAAACCTCTAAAGGCCTCCTTATCTGTTTCTGCACTGGTTCCTGCCATGTTTGCCATCCTGTGTGCCAGCCTTTACATCCTGTGAGAAGCAACCACCCACTGGTTAAAATTTGTAAAGGTTTATTAAACCTTAACAAAAAACACAGCAAAAGGACTAAATGGTTGGGAACTTCCCTCCTGGCTGCCTAACACGTGGCTGGCTCATGTTCAGGATGGATGCTTCACCTTTGATACCCTGGTTGGATTGCATCAGCTAAACCTGCCCCCCCCACAAAATCTGTCAGTCAGCTCTTCTTTGCTGTTCATTGCTGAGGCCTGCTTTCCTGCAACTTCATTGGAGGGTCAGGTGTTGTCCTGCTGCACACCCCCACCCCAGCAACAAGCTTTGGTGCAGGCCTTCTTTCTGCCTGTCCTAGATGACTCGAGATCTCTGATGGAAACAGTACAGAGGGGGAAAGGGGACTATGGGGAGAACAGGGGGCAGCTAAGCAACAGACTAAATAACATAATTATACATCAATAAAGCTTCTCTTAAGATTCACACAGTATTCATCCCTTAACTGCGAAAGCAAATCATCTCATGATCCATCTATAATATACCCTTTTAAATTTTGGCCACTTTACTTTTGAACAACTTCAGAAGAAGTGAAAAAGTTTATTCTCTATGTTATTTATCAGCCTCCTGCCCAACAGCCCAACCCTCCCACCCCACCATTTCCACAGCTCTCCACTCCTGCACATCTCACTCCTCCCCACTGAATCCTTCCCACTGCAGGGAGCTGCTGAGGAGCCTCATGGTCCATCCCTGGATTCTCCAAGCACTGACTCCCCATCCACGCTGACCACAGCCAGGGCCACATCCCACCGCCTGCCCAGTGTCCATCCATAGGGATGAGCACCTTGTCCCCCCCTGCCATCTCACCACTGAAGGGGACAGTCTGTGTGATACAGATGTCCCCAGCGTGGCCATAGACAGTGTGACACTGCTCATCTGCCTCTGTGGGCTGGCTGGGAACAGGGCTGTGCTCTGGGTCCTTGGGTTCTGCATCCAGAGGGACACCATGAAACCCATCACTGCCTGCATCCTTGGCCTGGCCATCATCAACTTCCTCTTCCTCATCTTCATGGTCTCCTCCACTCTGCTCTTCCTGCTGGAGGATTTGTCCTGCTCTGCCATCACGTCCCCAGCATACATAAGCTTCCTTTTCCTCCTCTTGCTGATGTTCCACAGCGTAGGGCTGTACCAGCTGATGGCCATCAGCATCGAGAGGTGCAGGTGCATCCTCTGCCCACGTGGGCTCTTCTGCCACCTTCCCCAGGACCTGTCATGGGTGCTGGTGAGTGCCATGCTCTGGGCCCTTTCCATCACTGCCATCGCTGCCATTTCTGTGGTGACTTCCCTGTCCAAGTCACAGGAACACAAGCTCTGCTGGAGGCTCTCATCTCCCTCTACATCCTCAACCTCCTCGTCTTTGCTCCATCCGTGGTCATTTCCAGCACAATCCCCTTCATTCATTTCAAGGGTAGCTCCCAGCTTCAGCAATTCAAGAGGCTCGACATCACTGTCTTCCTCGCTGTGCTCCTCACTCTCCCCCTCAGTCTCTGGAATTTCCTGCAGCAGCTCGGCTGCACTACTGTGTCCCCTCAGGTTGTTCTCCTGTTCACTGCATGCACAGCAGCATCAACCCCTTCATCTTCTTCTCAGTAACAAAGTGCTGGAGGTGCTGCTCCGTGGAGTCTCTCAGGGAGTGCCTCCAGAAGGTCTCTGAGGAGCCTGAAGGAAGATCTGCCCACAGGAATGATGCCAGCAGGGACACGGGGGGCTGAGCCTGTTAAACCCTTCAACTTCCCCAATGCAGGACCATGGGGCAGTGGTTGAGAGTTTCCTTGAGCCACCAGATTATTAAATATCCATTATATCACTCTCCTGCTCTGTATTCCTGCAGGAGAAGGCATCAGGAACTTTGCAAAGGGCCACATGTGAGAAATGCTCTGCAGGAATCACATTGGAGCATGGCTTTGCTCCTCCCTCATGGGTCCTAGAGCACTGTTCCCCAAACAGATCCTTCCCAACAGGACTGTGATCCCAAAATTCCCCCTGGCACCTGCGTCCTGCATCCTGCTGAGGTCTAATATCAACAAGCAGCACCATGAACCCTGAGCTGCCTTTGCCCCCTCTGCCAGCGCTTCCCGGCTTTCCCTGGCTCCTGCTGCCAGCCGGGAATGTGGCTGGTGGGAGGGGACAGAGAGGTTATTAGCCAGGAATTTTGTGATTTTTTGAAATTTCATAATGAACTCTGTTTAATTACTCAGAGCATATTTGACTGTGGTTTTTTAGCTGGTTTTGATTTAGATTTGTGTTGGCTGAGTGTCAGTAGAAAACTCTGTGGATCAGTACCCGTTAGAGAACTTACTCAGTAGCTGGAGAACAAAATTCAATAAAGTATTTTTTAATGGTTAACATATAACTAGAAATTAATTGAACATCATAGAATGAGAATGATATCTTGAGGGAATTAGGAGTTCAGAGGCCTGAACACGCCGGAAGACTTGATTAATAAATTGCAAGAGATAAATTGCAATGGCAATAAGAGAGCCATTTCCTAAGCTTGTAAACCTCAGAAGACTTAATCAATGGTAACTGTCTAACCAAGACATCAAAGTTAATAAAACATTTTTTCACTGGGGAAAAAAAAAAACAACAAGTTATGTATTAAACTACGAGAGACAACATATTTTGGTAGTAATTAAAAGAAACAAAACAGTCATAACATGAAATAATAAATTGGGAGCACTTTTAGGAGTATCTATAAAAACATCTGGGCTATTATGGTGCATAAAAATGCCTGAACAATGTTGTTTCTTTGAACATGTCTATGGTAAATAAATTTCCAAAAGGCTCACAATTTTGACTCAAAATTGTTACTAGTCTATAATGCTTTTACTGTTAGACTTAAACTTCTTGGTTGCAGAGGGGACACACCCATGGCTTGTGCTCTCTGGCACAACCATGATCTCCAGTGCCCAGAGCTGGGCTGGCACCGGCACAGCTGGCACTGACACGATGGCCATGGGGCTCAGCATTTCTCACTCCAACTGCTTTGTGAGTGTCACAGCAAAGATCTCCCCAGAGATATTTCGTTTTTAATTTTGTGAGCCAGATGCAAAGGTCTCTCAGCCTTCAAAAATTCTTCCTCTCCACTGCCTTCAGCTGCCCCCTCAGCAGGCTCCGATGGTGCAGCAGCAAGGAGAGGAGAAGGTCGTGGTCCTCAGCACAGCCACCCCCTTCCAGGAGCAGGGTGGCACCTGTGTTTGTCACCATGGGCTCCACGGGGCATCACCCTGCTCCCTGTGGCTTTGCTGAGGTCACCAGCCCCACCACATCCCACATCTTTTCTCCAGCCCCACCACATCCCACATCTTTTCTCCAGCCCCACCACATCCCACACTTTCCCACCACATCTTCTGAAGCTGTACTTGCAGGATTAACCCCTGATTTGTAAATGGACCAAACTTATATCTGTCTGAAAAACCCGTGACCATTGTCCGTTTTGGGTGTAGCCCTCTCAGAGGCTTTGACTGCCCAAGGGGTACCTTTGGAAGGCCTTTGATAAATACCTGCTTTCATTCTCTTCACCTTGTCTGGCCTCTGTTCTAGGAAGCCACGCCAAGGCATCAGGCAGGCAGGGGCTGGAGGGGGCAGGAGGGGTCTGGGTGCCCCCAATCCCAAATCTCCCATTGGACGGCAGCAGAGCCCAACAGGCCACACTTGCAGCCAGGGAGTGGCCTTGACTGGGAAACCAGCGGGATGGGATGGGATGGGATGGGATGGGATGGGATGGGATGGGATGGGATGGGATGGGATGGGATGGGATGGGATGGGATGGGATGGGATGGGATGGGATGGGATGGGATGGGATGGGATGGGATGGGATGGGATGGGATGGGATGGGATGGGATGGGATGGGATGGGATGGGATGGGATGGGATGGGATGGGATGGGATGGGGAGTGGGCTGGAAATGGGGATGAGGAGTGATACTAAAATCAGCCGGAATAAAGTTCCTAATACCAACTAATTATGTTAGCAAGGGATGTATTGGGCAGCAGGAAATGCAGAAGGATCTCTCCTTATTTCTCTCTGTGTTGTGAGACTTTACAATATAGTTTTTATCCACTATAACCATTCCTAGACATTAAAAAGGTTTTCTTATCTAGAACATAGACATCATTTTCCTGGAACTCATTTCCATGCTTCCCCTTCCTAATGGCAGTCCTTTGGTGCTCTTGGTGAATCCTTCAGAAGGGGTCTCTGTTGGTCCTATTCAGTGTGTGCTGTGATATTAAAGGTGACCTGGCCTTGAACTTTTCCTTTGGCCATGTGCTCTTGCTTCTTGTTTTAGAGAACTTGCCCCAAAAATACTGTGTGCCTCCTTATCTGTTCATTAACTGACTCCAGCCACAATTATCATCCTGGGTCCACATTTTTACAGCCTTTTATATTTTCACCAGTTAAGGGGCCACTTATCTTTGAGCAACTTCAGAAGAGGTGAAAATGTTTATTCTCTCTTATTTATCATTTCCCTGCAAACCAGCCTAACCCTCCCACCTCCCTCTCCCACCCCACCATTTCCACCACCCTCCTCCCCTGCACATCTCACATCTCTCCACTGAATCCTTCCCACTGCAGGGAGCTGCTGAGGAGCTGCATGGTCCATCCCTGGATTCTCCAAGCACTGACTCCCCATCCACGCTGACCACGGCCAGGGCCACATCCCACCACCTGCCCAGCGTCCATCCATGGAGGTGAGCACCATGTCCCCTCTTTTCACCTCACCAACCAATGGACCTGGTCAGTGTGAGATCAATGTCTCCAGCATGGCCATACACTTTGTGACGCTGCTCGTCGGTGTCTGTGGGCTGGCCGGGAACGGGGCTTTCCTCCGGCTCCTCCAAATTAATGCCATCACTGAATTTGTGGCATTCAACCACGCCAGCATCAACTTCCTATTCCTCATCTTCATGGTTCCCTCTGCCCTGCTCTTCCTGCCGGAGGAGGTTTCCTGCTCTGCTATAATGCCCCCAATGTATCTGAGCTTGCTTTCCCAGCTGTCACAGTTCACCTACACCATGGGGCTCTACCAGCTGATGTTCATCAGCATTGAGAGGTGCAGGTCCATCCTCTGCCTGTTTTTCTGCACTGGGCAACTTTCAGAGCACTTGTTGTGGGTGGTGATGAGTGCCCTTTTCTGGGCCCTGTTCTTTGTTGTCACCGCCGTCAATCCCACGGTGACTTCCCTGTGCCAGTCACACGAGCAGGAGCAATGCCAGGTGGGTCTCGCCTCCATGTACGCCCTCAACCTCTTCCTCGTTGCTGTACCCATGGTGATTTCCAGCACAATCCTCTTCATTCATCTCAAGGCCGGCTCCCAGCAGCAGCAGCAACACAAGAGGCTCGACATCGTTATTGTCCTCGTTGCACTCTTCAGTCTGCCCCTCAGTCTCTGGTCTTTCCTGCAGCAGCTCAGTTACACAGCTGTGCCCTCCCACGTGGTTTTCCTGCTCACCTGCATCACCAGCAGCATCAAACCCTTCATCTATTTCTTGGTGGGGAGCTGGAAGAGAGACTGCTCCATGGGGAGCTGCTGGAGACACTGCTCCATGGAGAGCTGCAGGAGGTACTCCTCCATGCAGTCCCTAGGGGAGGCACTCCAAAGTGTGTTTGAGCAGCCAGAAGAAAACAGTGCCTCTGGAAATGTTCCTCTGGAAATCATGGACACAGAAGCATGAGCCTACTTATCCCTTCCACTGCAATGCTGAGGGACCCCAGTACAGTGGCTGAGGGATTCCTTGAGTGACCTGATCAATAAATCCCCACAGGATCACCCTCCCTGTGCTGGTGCATCCCCCACCCCCTTTCCAGCCCGCACTGGGCTCTGATCCGTGCTTGGGAGGCCTCAGCCTTGAGGAGCAGCCCCTGGGCTCAGCTCCTCTGGCCCTGATCACAAACACCCTCTGCTCCCAGGAACGGCTGCTGTCCAACGACCTCCTGGGCTTTTATCAGCAGCCTTGGGAATTCTTTTCCTTCCCTGAATGCCACAACATCCCTGCTCTCACACTTTCACAGCAAGTTGCCGGCCCCCAGTGTGGCCAGGGTGAAACATTGCTGTGGCTGCAGCCCATCCCTTGGGGCCCCGTAAGCAGCAGCCCAAAAGGAGAGCCTTGGAGCTCTCCTGGGCCCAGCAGCGCTGAGCAGAAGCTCCCTGGCCCTGGGGCCTCTCCGAGCTGGGATCTCTCCCGTCTGCTGCCCTCGGGTGATCCCCGAACGCCGGCGGCTCCTGGGCCGATCCCCCAGGGCTCGAGGCCCAAGCCTTGGCACGGTGAGGAGATGCCAACGGATCCGCAGGGAGCATTTCACTGCCTCCCAGGGGAATTTCTCACAGGCACCCTGCACGGACTCTTCCTGTCTGTGTGCACACACGAGTGCATCTGCTCCTGCAAATGTGGGGAAATGCTGCTCTCCCCGGTGTTCCAGTGCCTGAGACACCTGAGGGGGTCAGGCCTGGGAGCAAGGCTAAGGCCTGAGATACCATTGCAGCTAAACGCGTTTCATGTTATTTCTTTGCTAAATTGTTAATTTCAAGGTAGAAAAGCAGGAATGGCTGCGAGAAGCAGAGACACTGCTCATGGTCCCAGGTGGAGCAGGGCAGGAGCGGGGCTGTCCTAGGGGAAAAGGCGGCCCTGGAGCGTGACTGGAGGTGGTCAGAGGGTTCCAGAAGGGTCGGAGTGTTCTAGAAGGGTCTGGAGGAGTTCGGAAGGGTCTGGATGCTGCTGATCCCAAATGTCCTGACTGGAGAGCAGCAGAGCCCAATGGGCAGCGCTTCAAGGCTGGGAGTGGGGATGGGATGGGATGGGATGGGATGGGATGGGATGGGATGGGATGGGATGGGATGGGATGGGATGGGATGGGATGGGATGGGATGGGATGGGATGGGATGGGATGGGATGGGATGGGATGGGATGGGATGGGATGGGATGGGATGGGATGGGATGGGATGGGATGGGATGGGGAGTGGGGCAGAGATGGGGGTAAGGAGTGATAACAAAATCAGCCAGAATCAAGCTCCTAACACCAACTAATGGTGTTACCGAGGGAAGTACTAGGCAGCAGGACACACAGAAGGATCTCTACTTTACAACATGCATTTTATCCATTATAACCCTATGCGGGCATTAAAAAGTTTTTCTTATCTAGTACATAAACACCATTTTCCTAGAACTCATTTCCATGCATCTACTTCCCACTGAGCATCATTTCATGGTCCTGGAGGCTCATTGAGGGGGGCTTCTGGTGGACGCATTCACTGAGTGCTGCGATATTAAAGGTGACCTTGCCTTGAACTTTTCCTTTGGCCATGTGCTTTTGCTTCTTGTTACAGAACTTGCCCCAAAAACACTGCAGGCCTCCTTATCACTTTCCCCAGTGGGTCCAGCCACATTTATCATCCTCTGTCCACACCTTTACATGTTTTAATCTTTCTGCCCAGTTAGTCTTCAAGGAACTTCAGGGGAGTTGAAAATGTTCATTCTCTTGTATTTATCAATCCCCTGCCGTATGGCCCAACCCTCCCACCTCCCTCTCCCACCATTTCCACTGCCCTCCTCCCCTGCACATCTCAGTTCTCTCCACTGAATCCTTCCTGCTGCAGGGAGCTGCTGAGGAGCTGCATGGTCCATCCCTGGATTCTCCAAGCACTGACTCCCCATCCACGCTGACCACCACCAGCGCCACATCCAACCGCCTGCCCAGCGTCCATCCATGGAGGTGAGCACCATGTCCCCTCTTTTCGCCTCACCAACCAACGGACCTGATCAGTGTGAGATCAATGTCTCCAGCATGGCCATACACTTTGTGACATTGCTCTTCGGTGTCTGTGGGCTGGTTGGGAATGCGGCTTTCCTCCGGCTCTTCTACATTAACCCCTCGACCGACTTCGTCTTCAACCAGGCTATCACCGACTTCCTCTTCCTCATCATCATGGTCCCCTCCACCGTGCTCTTCCTTGTGGAGGAACTGTCCTGCTATGCTATAATGGCCCTGATGTATTTGAGCTTCCTTTTCTACCTCTCACTGTTCTCCTACACCATGGGGCTGTACCGCCTGACATTCATCAGCTTTCAGAGGTGCAGGTCCATCCTCTGCCTGTTTTTCTGTGGTTGCCAACTTCCTGAGCGACTGCTGTTGGTGATGATGACTGTACTGTTCTGGGTCCTCCTCTTTGTTGTCACTGCTGTCAATCCCACGGTGACTTCCCAGTGCCAGTCACTCGAGAAGGAGAAATGCCATGTGGCTCTCACCTCCATATACGCCCTCAACCTCTTCCTATTTGCTGCACCCGTGGTCATTTCCAGCACAATCCTCTTCATTCATTACAAGGCCGGCTCCCAGCAGCAGCAGCAACACAAGAGGCTCGACATCGTTATTGTCCTCGTTGCACTCTTCAGTCTGCCCCTCAGTCTCTGGTCTTTCCTGCAGCAGCTCGGTTACACAGCTGTGCCCTCCCAGGTGGTTTTCCTGCTCACCTGCATCGCCAGCAGCGTCAAACCCTTCATCTATTTCTTGGTGGGGAGCTGGAAGAGAGAGTGCGCCATGGGGAGCTGCTGGAGACACTGCTCCATGGAGAGCTGCAGGAGGCATTCCTCTGTGGAGTCCCTAAGGAAGGCAATCCACAGGGTGTTTGGGGACCCAGAAGAAAACACTTCCTGTGGAAATGAGCCCACCTCTGATGCAGAGGACTGAGCCTGTTGCTCCCTTCCACTGCACTGCTGAAGGAACCCAGTGTAGTGGCTGAGGGATTCCTTGAGGGACCTGATCAATAAATCCCCACAGGATCACCCTCCCTGTGCTGGTGCATCCCCCACCCCCTTTCCAGCCCGCACTGGGCTCTGATCCGTGCTTGGGAGGCCTCAGCCTTGAGGAGCAGTCCCTGGGCTCAGCTCCTCTGGCACTGATCACAAAAACCCTCTGCTCCCAGGAACGGCTGCTGTCCAACGACCTCCTGGGCTTTTATCAGCAGCCTTGGGAATTCTTTTCCTTCCCTGAATGCCACAACATCCCTGCTCTCACACTTTCACAGCAAGCTGCCGGCCCCCAGTGTGGCCAGGGTGAAACATTGCTGTGGCTGCAGCCCATCCCTTGGGGCCCCGTAAGCAGCAGCCCAAAAGGAGAGCCTTGGAGCTCTCCTGGGCCCAGCAGCGCTGAGCAGAAGCTCCCTGGCCCTGGGGCCTCTCCGAGCTGGGATCTCTCCCGTCTGCTGCCCTCGGGTGATCCCCGAACGCCGGCGGCTCCTGGGCCGATCCCCCAGGGCTCGAGGCCCAAGCCTTGGCACGGTGAGGAGATGCCAACGGATCCGCAGGGAGCATTTCACTGCCTCCCAGGGGAATTTCTCACAGGCACCCTGCACGGACTCTTCCTGTCTGTGTGCACACACGAGTGCATCTGCTCCTGCAAATGTGGGGAAATGCTGCTCTCCCCGGTGTTCCAGTGCCTGAGACACCTGAGGGGGTCAGGCCTGGGAGCAAGGCTAAGGCCTGAGATACCATTGCAGCTAAACGCTCTTCATGTTATTTCTTTGCTAAATTGTTAATTTCAAGGTAGAAAAGTAGGAATGGCTTGGAGAAGCAGAGACACTGCTCATGGTCCCAGGTGGAGCAGGGCAGGAGCGGGGCTGTCCTAGGGGAAAAGGTGGCCCTGGAGCGTGACTGGAGGTGGTCAGAGGGTTCCATAAAAGTTGCGGGGGTTTTGGATGGATCTGGAGGAGTTTGGGAAGGGTCTGGATGCTGCTGATCCCAAATGTCCTGACTGGAGAGCAGCAGAGCTCGATGGGCAGCACTTCAAGGCACAGAGCGGCCATGGGATAAGATAGGATGGAATGGGATGGGAACTGGGAGTGATCCTGAGATCAGCCAGAGTAAATTTTCCAACACAATGGGAGGCATTAGAAAGGAAAAAGAGATGGATCTCTCCATATTTCCATTTGAGGTGAGACTTTACAACAGGGGTTTTACCCATAATAACCACACAGAGCCACTAGAGTTCCTTTGTCATCTAATACATAAACATCATTTTCCTAGGACTCTTTTACAAGCATCCGCCTCCTTCTCCAAGTCCTTTCCTGGTCCTGGACGATGCCTCACAGGGGTCTTTTGTGGTCACATTCACTGAGTGCTCTGAGAATAAAGATGACCCTGCCTGTAGTAGTAGGGACAGGCGAACGGAAGATCTCGGGATGTGACGGAAAGAGAGACCCTTCCCTGTTTTCCCTGCTTCACGTTATCTATTAACCCCAGAGCATGTAACCACACCTAACCCTGTAGTTTTCCACTCCCGACTAACCCTAGAGACCCTACCAACCCCCTCTGACGTAGCAAAGACCCCCAAGACTATTTAAACCCATGAGATAAGATAATAAAGGCTTTTGACCGTCCACCATATTGGTGTCTGCGAGTGTCGCTAGTCCGAGTAGCCCGGGCAAGGCCGGGCTGCCGTGCTGTCTTCTTGGAACCAGGTCGCCGTTGTCTTTCATAAAGGCAACAAATCTGGTGCCGAAACCCGGGAGGAAGAGAAATTCGCTCGGGTAACGGGATACACCTGGACAGGAGCAGCGGCCGGAGCGGTCAGACCGTATCTTGGCGCAGGGAGACGTCCCAGGACCCGCGAGCGTCATGGACAGCATCGCCAGGGTCGTAAGTGTGAGTTATAAGCAGTGGGGTATCGAGTGTAAGCTCAAGGACTTTTATCTTGCCATAGCAAGGCTGCTTGAGCTTGGGGCGACTGAAAGCCCAGTGGATGCTATGCATCCGGGAATATGGGAAAAATGCACAGCCACGCTGGCCGAGGACACGAAATCCTCAGGCAGTGGCAAGAGCCTTAAAACATGGGGCAAAGTAAAGAAAGCCCCGCACAGAGCAATAGAAGAGCAGGAGACGTGGAGCGCGGCGCTTGCGTGTTTATTAGTTAGACCTGGGCTCGGGGTGGGGGCGGAAGCACAGACCGTCCCTGAGGACGATCCGCCGGGGAGCGGAGATCCGGGGGGGCCCGGCGCGTCACCCCCCTCTCCGGGCCAGAGGCCAGTCCCCGCCGCGGAAGCCCCCCGAAAAACCGCGGCTTCCCCGTCCGTCCCGCCGCCGCCGGTCAGCGACCCGTTGCCGGAGCTGCAGCAGCCCGCAGAATGCTTCTGGCAGGAGCTGGCAGTGGAAGCCAGAGTCGCAGAAACCGCGGCTCGGGTGGAGATCCAAACCACGCTGCCACCTCACCCCTTTGAAAATGGCGCTGGCCGCCAAGGAGAGGGGCGGGGCGCAGGCGGTCTCGGCGCGAAAACCCGGGAGACGCGCGATTTCAGGGACGCGCGTGCGCGGGAGAAAGAGGCGGAGAGCAGCAGAGAGCACAGAGCCAATCGGCAGCCGTGCCGGATGCAGCTACCATGTAAGGGAGAGACCTCCCCCTGCAGGAGGCAGGGCAAGCCGGGGGGGCGGGAGCGGCGCCACCCCCGTGGGGAGGAGGGAGCTCGGAGCCAGACAAAAAGGCACCGAGCCCCGGAAGTTCGCTGGCATTCGACTTCCGACTCGGAGCCCGGCAGCAGCTCTGCCGGCTCGGAAGAGCTGCCGGAAGCCGCCTGGGATTCAGAGACGGAAGAAACGGAGCCAACGCAATTTAAGACAAAACCGAGTAAAGCTCTAAGCCGCACCGAAAAACAACTACAATACGAACCAGCCCAGTTTACCGACTGGGGAGAAATAAAAATAGCCTGTGCTGAATGGTCCCCAGCGGCTGCCATACAAGCCTTCCCGGTGAGGCTCACCGGCCCGGAGGGGAACCAACAAAGGGTATATACCCTGATAAACCCAAAAGATGTACAGTCAATTGTCAAAGCCATTGCGGAAAAAGGAATCAATTCGGCCATAGTCTCCACTTTAATCGATGGTCTTTTTAGTAATGACGACCTGCTTCCCTTTGATATCGAGCGAATAGGTCGCATGATACTTGATGGTGCGGGAATGATTGTCTTCAGACAGGAATGGGAGGATAATTGTAGGAAGCAGTTAGCCCAAGCATCTGGCGCGAGGCAGCCACTACACAGATCGAGCTTATCCAGACTGATAGGAAAGCACAATGATATGATCACGCCGCAGCAACAAGCCATGCAGATGCAGGCTGAGGAGGTCAGGGCGACCACTCGGGCTGCCAGGGAGGCTATTCGCGCAGCCTCTCGAGTCGTGGCCAAGCCGGCGCCGTGGTCCACCGTGAGGCAGGCAGAGAGCGAAAGCTTCACGCAGTTCGTGGATCGCCTGCAGGCAGCGATAGACTCCTCTACCCTGCCGGCAGAGGCAAAGGGCCCCGTGGTAGCTGACTGCCTGCGCCAGCAGTGCAACTCTGTCACCAAGGATATCTTACGTTCCCTGCCAGCCGGAGCTAGCCTGGCTGACATGATCAAACATGTAGTAAGGGAAGAGCACCTGACGCCCATTCAGGCAGCTGTCCACACCCTGACCAGTGCCATGGCATGCTTCAAGTGTGGTGAGGCAGGTCACATCGCGGTGAGCTGCCCCCAGCCGGCACGGCAGCCCGCCGCGGCGCCTCCACCCCAAACACGCCCGAGGGAATCCTGTTGAAGCTGCGGGAGGAAAGGGCCACTGCCACACACCCACTGCTGCCAATAAAACTGACCTTCAGAACAAAACTAATGAAAAGCTGTGAGTTTTGTTTGCAGGACATGCTCGTGGACCGTCCCCGTGATGCATACACCCCTGCTCCAGAGGGAGATGACGGACCACCAAACCACCAGACAAAACCCGAAAGTCCCACACCGGTGAGACCCAGACATGCACAGTGTCTCTGTGCGATTTTGCTGTTGGGGCTTGTGGCCGGGGGACAAGCCAACCCAGGCCACTACCCTCACCAGCCATTTAAGTGGGTCATGCAACATCTTTCAAGTGACAAGGTGTTCAAAGAGATCACCACAGCAAACACCCCATCCTTCGTGTTCCACATAGCCAACCTGTTTAGAAGCTACCTTTCTAACCCTAAACGAAACCAAACCGAACCTGACTAACCCCTGTTAGCTTTGCTATGATGTTAAACCCCCTTTCTACGAAGGCATTGCTTTAGACACCCCCTTCAGTTACTCCACAGCCAGTGCCCCCCACCAGTGCAGATGGGACACTCCCCGCAGAGGAATCACCCTGAGTCAAATCACAGGACAGGGCAGATGTTTTGGCAATGCAACCTTAGCAAAGCAGAAAAGCAACTTCTGCACTAACGTTGTCAAGCCCAACAGAAAAACCAATAAGTGGGTGGTCCCATCCGCATCTGGGATGTGGGTTTGCCAGAGATCCGGAGTGAGTCCTTGTGTGTTCCTTGCCAAATTTAATGACTCTATCGATTTCTGTGTCCAAGTTCTGATTGTTCCTAGGGTCCTGTACCACTCAGACGAAGAGATATACCACCTTCTCGAGGAACCTGACAGACTCCGCAAAAGAGAAATAATCACAGGTATAACCATCGCAATGCTGCTCGGCCTGGGAGCAGCTGGCACAGCCACGGGTGTCTCAGCCATCGCAACCCAGCAGCACGGACTCTCTCAGCTGCAAATGACCATCGACGAGGACCTGCAGAGGATCGAGAAATCCATCTCCTATCTAGAGAAATCAGTCTCTTCGCTTTCAGAAGTAGTTTTACAAAATAGGCGAGGACTGGACCTCTTGTTCATGCAACAAGGAGGACTGTGTGCAGCCTTAAAAGAGGAATGCTGCTTTTATGCAGATCATACAGGAGTTCTTAAAGACTCCATGGCAGAGCTCCGAGATAGACTAGCTCAGAGAAAGAGAGACAGGGAAACCCAACAGAGCTGGTTTGAATCCTGGTTCAATCAATCACCTTGGCTCACCACTTTAATTTCCGCCCTGGTAGGTCCACTGGCAATACTGCTTTTAGCTGTTACCATAGGACCATGCCTGCTGAACAAACTAGTCTCGTTTGTTCAGGCCCGTCTAGAAAGGGCGAACATTTTGTTCATAGGCCAGCAACAAATGCTGTAAGCCAAAAACTGTGAACACAGTCTGTCGCAAAAGCCTTCGAGACTCACCTTGCGAAAATTACTCAGGTTTACCAAACCACCCTTTCCTTACCAATTTACAAGTTTGTACCTCACTCCAGTGCCTATATCTACGACTACCTCATTTTATATATGATAAGGGGAGGGGAGATGTAGTAGTAGGGACAGGCGAACGGAAGATCTCGGGATGTGACGGAAAGAGAGACCCTTCCCCCTTCTCCCTGCTTCACGTTATCTATTAACCCCAGAGCATGTAACCACACCTAACCCAGTAGTTTTCCACTCCCGACTAACCCTAGAGACCCTACCAACCCCCTCTGACGTAGCAAAGACCCCCAAGACTATTTAAACCCATGAGATAAGATAATAAAGGCTTTCGACCGTCCACCACATTGGTGTCTGCGTGTGTCGTTAGTCCGAGTAGCCCGGGCGAGGCCGGGCTGCCGTGCTGTCTTCTTGGAACCAGGTCGCCGTTGTCTTTCATAAAGGCAACACCTGCCTTGAACTTTTCCTTTGGCCATGTGCTCTTGCTTCTTTTTACAGACCTTGACCCAACACCACTGCAGGCCTCCTTCTCTGTTTCTGCACTGGCTCCAGCTGCATTTATCATCCTGTGTCATCATGAGAAGCACAGGGGAGCTGGGCTTTCCTCCTCCCTCCTGGATCCTAGAGCACTGTGGCCAGGAGGAGCAGGGACACTGCCGGGGACCCTGGTGGAGCGGGAGAAGATCACGGCTCTTCAGGGTGGGACAGGGGGCCCCAGGGATGGTCAGGGGTGTCGCAGGTTGTTTTGGAGGGTTCAGGAGAGGGTCTGAGCTGGTTGGAGGGCTCTGGATGCCGGGAATCCCAAATCATCCTACTGGAGGAGAGCAGAGCCTGACCGGTCGTGGTTGAAGTGAGGAGTGACTCCACTTGGGAAACCTGAGGGTCATGATAGGACGAGGTAAGGATGGAAGTGGGGATGGGAATGGGGATGGGGATGGGCAGCAGGGATGAGGATGGCATGGGGATAGGCAGGGGAAGCAGCCCAGCTGTGCTTCCTCAGCCCAGAGCATGTTTTGGCAATGATCTCGAAGCACTTCCTGGTGTTTGCGTTCAGAAACACACATAATCACGGGATATGATTATATGGAGGTGCTTTTATTCAGAGCTCTGGGAATCAGGGGTGCAGACCCAAATCTGACTCTGACATGGCTTTCGAGCTGAACGTATTTTATATTCTATCGTTATATAACTTACATATTAATTATTAAACTTTTATTGTTCTATTGTATACATTGACATGAGTTTCTCGTGATCTTTCTTAGGTCCATGACCACAGTTTCTCATGATTATTCTTACGATTAAACAGTAATTATATTTAATTACTAAACAATCATCACATCCAACAATTATGTCCTTTCTCATGTACTAGCTACACAGGTGCAGTTCTAGCAAGGTACAAAGTCTTCCTGTACTTAGGGTATTTATTTTCTTTTAAGGGCCTACTAAGCTTAATTTTTCTTTAAACTCTAAATCTCCATGATTTAAAATTCTTTTACTATCACTGAAACAGGAACTGTTTCTGAGAAGCACCCAGCTGCCTCACCTACACATCCAGCACTGGCAGCATTCCAGTGCCACCAGCATCACCAGCATTCCTCTGCTGCTGCAGGGACAGTGATCACTCAGGGAAGAGTAACAAGGAATGGTAGAAACTGGTCTGGAGAGTGAAGGCAGTTGGAGAATGGGACATTCTGCAGGGAAGGAGGGTTTCTCATCAGGAGAGAAAGATGAGCCAATCAAAAAATCATCATTTAGAGATTCTGAGAAATACCACTTCCTCTGAAGAAGAAAAAAAAAAAAAAAACCAGACCCACGCCTGAGACAAGTAACTCAGAGGAACTGAATTTCTGAAGTAGGCAAAGTTACAATTTTTCAATCCCTCACTCCTCCATGCACTTTCTCCTTCATGTCACTGAACTAGCAGGAGCCACTTTAGGACATGGATCCCAAAGGAGCAAGAGGTTCCAGGAAGCGCCGCTGATCTGCACAGACCCCTTTGCCTGCTGCTGCCCCACAGAGAACAGGTCAGTGGAATGTTTTCCTTCCTCCCTACCCCACCTTCCTCTCCTCCAGCAGCTGCTCTGTTCCTGCCACCCTCTCCAGTCACCACAGTGCTCTCCCCAATTCTCTCCTCCTCTGCCCTGTGCTTCACTTCTGCATCCCCTGCAGAACAGCCCAACCCTCCCACCTCCCTCTCCCACCCCACCATTTCCATCGCCCTCCTCCCCTGCACATCTCACTCCTCCCCACTGTATACTTCCCTCTGCAGGGAGCTGCTGAGGAGCCTCATGGTCCATCCCTGGATTCTCCAAGCACTGACTCCCAATCCACTCTGACCACAGCCAGGGCCACATCCCACCGCCTGCCCAGCGTCCATCCATGGAGGTGACCACCGTGTCCCCACCTGCCATCTCACCCACTGAAGGAGATGATTTGTGTGAGACAGATATTCCCGGTGTGGCCATGCACATTGTGACACTGCTCATCTGCCTCTGTGGGCTGGCTGGGAATGGGGCTGTCCTGTGCCTCCTTCAACTGGAAATTTGTAACTATCGCATCTTTAACCTGGCTGTCATTGACTTCCTCTTCCTTCTCCTCACAGTCCCCTCCGCCCTGCTCTCCCTGGTGGACGACATGTCCTGCTCTCGTATTGTGCCCCTGCTGTACCTGAATTTATTTTTCCAACTGTCAGTGCTGTCCTACTACTGGGGGCTGTACTGGCTGATGCCCAGGGACCCTCTGTACTATATAGAAAAGATCTTCCATCTCTGCTGCCGCTGCAAACTTCCTCTGCGCCTGATGTGGTTGCTGAACGGTGTCCAATTCTGGACCTTCTTTGCTCTCTTCACTGTCATTCCTGTGGTGACATTCCTGTGCCCATCACACCAGCTGGAGCTCTGCCGGGCAGCTTTCATCTCCATGAACACCATCATCCTGCTCCTCTTGGCTGCACCCCTGCTGGTTTCCAGCACAATTGATTTCATTAAGGCCAAGTGGGGCTCCCAGCAGCAGCAACCCAAGAGGCGCGACATCGCTATCGCCCTCATTGTGCTCCTCACTCTCCTTCTCATTTTCTGGAATTTCCTGCAGCAGCTCGGTTATATCCTTGTGCCCTCCCAGGCTGTTTTCCTGCTTTACTGCATCAACAGCAGCTTCAAACCCTTCATCTACTTCTTGGTGGGGAGGTGCTGGAGGCCCTGCTCTGTGAGATCCCTCCAGCTCTCCCTGCAGAGGGTCTTTGAGAAGCCAAAACCAAAAAAAGCCTGCAGAAATGATGCCCTGAGGGAGACAGGGGTCTGAGCCGGTTGATCCCTTCCACTGCTCTGCTGAAGGACCCCAGGAGAGTGGCAGAAAGTTTCCTTGAGATTAAACAATATCCACGAGATAACGCTCCCCATGGTGGTGTATGCCTGCAGGAGAAGGGAGCAGGAGCATTGCCTTGGGTGATTTTTGGGGGATGCTCTGCAGGGAGCACATTGGAGCATGGCTTTCCTCCTCCCTCCTGGATCCACATGGCTCCAGGCAGTGCAGCTGGGCTCAGTGCTGTTCCCCAGCTCTATTCCCCATGGAATGACCCTCATGGCCTCGGCCTCAGCGAATGAACTCCTTTGGCTCAGCAGATGAGTTTCATGGTGTTTTCAGGGAGCTCTTGCCAGCAAAGAAGGGGATGTGTTAAACCCTGGTAAGGCCTGGGGACACACCCAACATGGGGTGTCGGAGATTTCCCAAATCCCTGCAGGGCTGGTACCTCTCAATGGCAGGAGAGGGGTTGGGATCACACGGAGCATCCTTCCTCTTCTGTCCGGCAGAGCCAGACCTGCATTCCCAGCTGATGGGAAGGGGCACCAGGTAGGGCTGCAGAGCTGAGGAGGGACAGCAACATTCCCTTATTCTTTCAGTGGGAATTTGTCATGTTCTCTAATTCCAGAATTTAATCCTTCTGACTAAAGTGCAGGGTCCATAGTGAACTCCTTTGAAGCCTTTGATGCCTGTGACCAAAAAGAGCTTGAAACATGGAAATTCCCATCACCGGATTCTTGGACCATTGAATTGCACAGAAATCAGGGCGTTATGCTGCTCTTCTGCAGAATGGGGCCATCTTCTGCTTCCCCAGCATCAATGTCCAAGGGAGCCCTTGACCACCTCCCTCCTGAGCCTGGCCACCCTCAGGAGGAGCTGAACAGCAACTCTGCACAGCAGCTTCAGCCACAGCCCAGGCTGTGCTGATCTTTGCATTCTGTAACCAGCCCTAAATTAAGTTTGCATTTATGTTTTCTTTGATTCCAACGTGGTAAAACTGACCACAGAAGTTGTTGAATAAACAACATCCAGGCTTCACTGCAGAGCCTTTCCCTGGTGAACCCAGTCCAGTATGGCTCATTTCCTTATTTTGTCCCATTGCAATGCCTGTGCTTTGTCTGTGAGCAGGGCAGTACCTGTCTCATTCCAGAGCCCTTCCTAAGGCACATCCCTGCAATGGTTGGGATGATGTTGGCAGTGCCAGGATCTCCTCATTCCTCCTGGGAGAGACCTGGCCAGCAGCCACAGCTGTTGCTCAGAGGGAAGTTTTCCCTCCTTTTCCCACTGCTTTAAATCCAAGGGAAACCAACATGCCAATGCTTCTGGAAAGGGAAGTGAGAGTGAAAGCCGTGGATGGTGAGTCAGGCTTTAGAGACACGCATGAGGTTAAACACCTAAGGAGCATTTATACACAGAGCTGTTAATAATTAACAGAAGAGAGAGACAGTGACATCTGAGAGGGTTTTCTCTCCCTGTCTCCCTTTTCCCTGTCCATTGCAAAGCAGAAACTTTCCATGGTGCAACTTTTTGCCCAGGGAAGAACAACTCAGCCAGGGGGTTTCTTTCAAAGTAAGTGCAGGAGGATCATGATCCTTCAATGTATTTTTTCTACTTTCCAGCACCTTCCTTGTCTCCAGTGTCACCCAGGCCACTCCCTACCTCAGCTTGCCGTTTGCCATGGAATCCTAGCATGGTTTGGGTTGTAAGGACCATTGAAGCAATCCTCCTCCAACTCACAAGCCAGGCCACAGCCCCAAACCCAATGTGGGTTTTGGGGAAAGCCTTTCAGGGGCCTCCCAAACAGTTGCACACTCTCCTGCACAACAAAACTCAGTGTGAAGCCTCCACAGGGTATTCCCATGTGTCAGGAAATGCTGGAGATGGACAGGATCTGCCCAGAAATCATTCTGCACTGCTGTGCCAAGATTTCTTACCCACCTGCATGATATTTTTAAGCAAAGACACCAAGAAAATCCAGAGGGAAAAGCTCTCAGTCTTGGTGACTCAATTTTAAAATTCCACAGGGTAATAAGTTTCAGTTCTGAGACAGAGAAAGCTTGGCCCTGTGGAACAGGAAAGACTCAATGCAGTGATATCAAAGCAAGAGGTTTCCTGGGTGCCATTTGCTACAGCAGAAGAGTTGGAATGAGATGATCTCTACAGTTCCTTCCAACCCAAACCGTTCCATGATGATTCCTCACGTCATTCCACATCCATTCCAGGCTGGAGTTCCCCTGCTGCACACAGCACCAGCCTGTCAGAGCTCAAGGAACATTTGCACAATGCTCTCAGGCACATGATGGGATTTTTGGGATGTCCTGTGCACTGCCAGGAGCTCAGCTCCATGATCCTTGTGGGTTCTTTCCAACTCTGGATATTTTATGGTTCTATTTTATGATGCCTCTATTTCATGATGACTCCACTTGGTGATGATTCCACTGTGTTGTCCCCATTCCTTGGCTCTGGCACATCCTCAAAAGGCCTCTGGAAGGCAACACTAACAGAGGGGGTGACTTCCTTTGCACAGTCCCAGCCAGTAAGAAAATCAGAGGGTGGGCACTGCTGTTGGCCAAGGAGCCAGAGCACAGCCCCATTCCCACCATTCCACACAGGCACAGCAGCAGCAGCAGCAGTGTGGAAGGCTCTTTGCTCCAGTGCCTGTTGTCACTCTTGGTCCAGTTGTCGTGGTTCTCATTCCAGCTTCCTTTGGATGCCTTCCCACCGGGCTGGCTCCAGCAGGCAGGGCTGGCTCCCTCCCTGGCAGGGGACAAAGTGCTCATTGTGACACCTCTGCTGCTTCTCCTTGCCCTCACACAGCTGGAGGGTGACACACAGAGACACCACAGCAATGCTGCTGTCCCCCAAACGTGGCTTTTCCCATCTTTTCTCACCCACAGCTTCCATGTGGAGCAGCACAGGGAGAGGCGAGGGACAGGACCGATGGCAAGTAGGATGTGGGAGCCTGGTCTGGTGTGCCTGGCACAAAAGCCAGGGAGATACCTCCTTCCTGGCTGTGGACAGGACAGAGCTGGAGGAGGAAAACAATTGGAGAAGGAAAAGATTGCCCATGGAGATAGCAGAGAGCAAATGGCTTTGGGATGGATGTGACCTGGACTCTCAGGTGTCAGGTGATATCACTGAGCTGCTGTAGCATTCCTTCAGGAGGACACTCCTTTGAATATTCCCTCCAATTTCCCACAGTTATTTATCACTTTTAATTCCCTACAGACCTCAATTCTCCCCCCAGAATTCATGACCAGGTTCCACCCAATGAGGGGGCACTGATTAAGCTGAACGAGAAGAGTCTGACCTTGTTTCGTCTCGCAGCCTGGAGAACTTCACCGCAGTGCACTCACATCTCCTCACACACACCAGCTGCTGTCCCTGGGGCGGGATCTTCAGGAGCTTCCCTGGAATGGTCACTTGGGAAAGGGGAGCGAAGCCCGCGGGGTGAGCCCGAGCAGCGTCCGGTGCGGGCTCTGTCCCAGCTCCTGCCACAGCCCCCTGTTCTCCGTGCTGGCTCGTGTTCTCCAGGGCTCTCACTAACAGGGAACTAGTTCAGAGCCTGGGACGGGATCAGGGCTCTGCTTCCCATCTGCTCTTCACTCTGTCCAGGAACTGAGGAACAGGAGAGAGCCTCAGCAAGGAGACCTAAGGGAAAAGCAGTTTGTCTCCATGTCAGTTTCCTCTTCTGTTATTAAACCAACCCCCATCCCAAATTCTTTTATTTGAATTGCCTGAACTTCCCCCATTTCATTCCTGGGGTGGCTCCTTAGGACCCTGCAATATAAATGTCCTGTGAAACTTTGGTTTCTGGTCCAAATCCCATTTTCCCACTTGTATACTGCAATTTCAGTGGCACTGTACCTTCACTGTACCCTTTCCAAGAGGATTCATGCAATAATCAATTCTGTGCCTGAGACGGAGTTCAGGAGCTCAGCAATGTCATTTCTGCTGAGGAGAGGCAAATCAATGCTTCTCTCTTGGCTTTAATTCTGAGAAAGTTGTAATTCTGAGAAGGTTTCCCCTGAGTCATCTTCCAGATTTCCTTGGCACTCAGACAGCAGCCTACAGTGAATTCCAAGGAATTCCTAGAAAGCTGAGGTGAGATTATTCCTACCCAGGATGACTTGTGCCTCAGGGATTTGGAATGCTTCTGCTGGAAACTGGCACTTGTGATGGCTCTGGGACCAGAACTGTCACCTCTCTCCCCTGCTGACACCATGTTTGTGTCCCCAGCTATGGAATATCACATCCCCTCACCAGCCCAGTCCTTTCCAGGGTAAACACTTCATGACCCAGGAGATGATGGGGCCCCAGGAGGGGTGAAGAGGGATTTTGGACAGGGGCCTGGAGTGACAGGACAGGACAATGGGGAACCGTTTATCACTGACAGAGGATGGATAGACATTGGATATTGGGAAGGAGGAGGAGCCCTAATGAAGGGCTGGAAAGAGGATCACAGCACCTCAAAATATGGTACCTAATAGCTTTCATTGCACCATCAAGGGGATCTGAAGTCATTAGGGTGGGCTCTAAGTGCTGATAATCTGGCTGCAAGCAGTTGCTGTCCTTCACTATGGGCTGCACGAACCTGCTTTGGAATTATAGAAATATGAGTTCTTGTCTCCGTTGGGGTCCTTTGGGCCCAGAGAAGGTTTTGGCAATGATTCTAGAGCTGTTCCCAAAATGGGAGTTGTTTCTGAGAAGCACCAGATGCTTCAACTGCACTGCCAGCACTGCCAGCACTGCTAGCAGTCCAGTGCCACCAGCGCCACCAGCATCCCTCTGCTGCTGGAGGGACAATGACCCCTCAGGGAGGAGAAACAAAGAATGGTAGAAACCTGTCAGGAGGGGGAAAGCAGTTGGAGAATAGGATATTATGCAGGGAAGGAGTGTTTCTCATCAAGAGGAACCGAGGAGCCATTTGCAAAATTCTTCACTTGGACCTTTTGACAAAGCCACTTCCTCTGTGACAAAGAAAAAAAATTCAAGATAAGTGAGGGAGTGGAGCTCTGACGTAGCCAAAGCTGTAAAACCACTTCCACCTGCCCTATGACCCCACTGAGCCTTGCAAAAGAACACCAAGACAGGCGACACAGAGGAGCCAGTGGGATGGGAGTGAGGAGCTCCTGGTGATCTGGGCACTTTCTCCTTCATGTCACTGACCTGGCAGGAGCTGCTTTAGGACATGGATCCCAAAGGAGCAAAAGGTTCCAGGAAGCGCCGCTGATCTGCACAGATCCCTTTGCCTGCTGCTGCCCCACAGGGAACAGGTCAGTGGAATGTTTTCCTTCCTCCCTGCCCCACCTTCCTCTCCTCCAGCAGCTGCTCTGCTCCTGCCACCCTCTCCCAGTGACCCCAGTGCCCTCCCCAGCTCCCCCCTCCTCTGCCCTGAGCTTTCCATCCACATCCCCTGCCGAACAGCCCAACCTTACTGCCTCCCTCTCCCAGTCCACAATTCCCACTGCCCTCCTCCCCTACACATCTTACTCCTTTCCACTGTATCCTTCCCTCTGCAGGGAGCTGCTGAGGAGCTGCGTGGTCCATCCCTGGATTCTCCAAGCACTGACTCCCCATCCACTCTGACCACAGCCAGGGCCACATCCCACCGCCTGCCCAGCGTCCATCCATGGAGGTGACCACCATGTCCCCACCTGCCATCTCACCCACTGAAGGAGATGATCTCTGTGAGACAGATGTCACCAGCGTGGCCATTAACAGTGTGACACTGCTCATCTGCCTCTGTGGGCTGGCTGGGAATGGGGCTGTGCTCTGCCTCCTCCGAATGAATATCCACAACTGTGACATCTTTGATGTGGCTGTCATTGACTTCCTCTTCCTTCTTCTCACAGTCCCCTCTGCCCTGCTCTCCCTGGTGGAGGACATGTCCTGCTCTGCTGTTGTACCTCTGCTGTACCTGAATTTTCTTTTCCACCTTTCAGTGATCTCCTGCTACTGGGGGCTATACTGGCTGGTACCCAACAACCCTGTGTACTATATAGTCAAGCTCTTTCAGACCTGCTGCCGCTGCAAACTTCCTCTGCGCCTGATGTGGTTGCTGGCCAGTGTCCACCACTGGGCCTTCTTTGCTCTCTTCGCTGTCATGCCTGCAGTGACATCCCTGTGCCCATCACACCAGCTGGAGCTCTGCCGGGCAGCTTTCATATCCATGAACTCCATCATCCTGCTCCTCTTGGCTGCACCCACGGCCATTTCTCTGATTGTCAACTTCATTAAGGCCAAGTGGGGCTCCCAGCAGCAGCAACCCAAGAGACGCGACATCGCTATCGCCCTCATTGTGCTCCTCACTCTCCTCCTCATTTTCTGGAATTTCCTGCAGCAGCTCGGTTATATCCTTGTGCCCTCCCAGGCTGTTTTCCTGCTTAACTGCATCAACAGCGGCATCAAACCCTTCATCTACTTCTTGGTGGGGAGGTGCTGGAGGCCCTGCTCCGTGAGATCCCTCCGGCTCTCCCTCAGGAGGGTGTTTGAGGAGCCAGAAGAAGACACTGCCCACAAAAATGATCCAACCATGGACACAGAGGCCTGACTCTGTTGATTCCTCCCACTGCACTGCTGAGAGACGCATGGACAGTGGCTGAGGGATTCCTTGAGTGACCCGATCAATAAATCCCCACAGGGATCACCCTCCCTGTGCTGGTGCATCCCCCACCCCCTTTCCAGCTCGCACTGGGCTCTGATCCGTGCTTGGGAGGCCTCAGCCTTGAGGAGCAGCCCCTGGGCTCAGCTCCTCTGGCCCTGATCACAAACACCCTCTGCTCCCAGGAACTGCTGCTGTCCAATGACCTCCTGGGCTTTTATCAGCAGCCTTGGGAATTCTTTTCCTTCCCTGAATGCCACAACATCCCTGCTCTCACACTTTCACAGCAAGCTGCCGGCCCCCAGTGTGGCCAGGGTGAAACATTGCTGTGGCTGCAGCCCATCCCTTGGGGCCCCGTAAGCAGCAGCCCAAAAGGAGACCCTTGGAGCTCTCCTGGGCCCAGCAGCGCTGAGCAGAAGCTCCCTGGCCCTGGGGCCTCTCCGAGCTGGGATCTCTCCCGTCTGCTGCCCTCGGGTGATCCCTGAACGCCGGCGGCTCCTGGGCCGATCCCCCAGGGCTCGAGGCCCAAGCCTTGGCACGGTGAGGAGATGCCAATGGATCTGCAGGGAGCATTTCACTGCCTCCCAGGGGAATTTCTCACAGGCACCCTGCACGGACTCTTCCTGTCTGTGTGCACACACGAGTGCATCTGCTCCTGCAAATGTGGGGAAATGCTAAACGCGTTTCATGTTATTTCTTTGCTAAATTGTTAATTTCAAGGTAGAAAAGCAGGAATGGCTGCGAGAAGCAGAGACACTGCTCATGGTCCCAGGTGGAGCAGGGCAGGAGCGGGGCTGTCCTAGGGAAAAAGGCAGCCCTGGGTTGTGACTGGAGGCTGTCAAAGGGTTCCAGAAAAGTTGGGGAGTTTTGGAAGGGTCTGGAGTTCAAGAATGGTCTGGATGCTGCTGATCCCAAATGTCCTGACTGGAGAGCAGCAGAGCCCGATGTGCAGCGCTTCAAGGCTGGGAGAGGCCACTGGACGGGACGGGACGGGACGGGACGGGACGGGACGGGATGGGATGGGATGGGATGGGATGGGATGGGGAGAGGAGCAGAGAGGGGAATTGGGTGTGATACCAAAATCAGGCAGAATACACTTTCCATCACTATGAGAAGCATTAGGATGGAGGAATTCTTTACCTCCACAGGACACACAGAAGGATCTCTTCTTGTCCTGTGTGTGATAGAACTTCACAGCAGGTTTTTTATCCATCATAATCACATAGAGTCATTAACGTGTCTTTCTTATCTAAGACATAAACATCACTTTCCTAGGACTAATTTCCATGCATTCACCTCCTTCTCCAAGTCCTTTCCTGGTCCTGGAGGATCATTCAGAGGGGTCTCTGGTGGTCGCATTCACTGAGTGCTGTGATATTAAAGGTGATCTTGCCTTGAACCGTTTTACCCCATTGGCTGTTCGGTTTTCCCCCACTCCGTATTTAATTTGTTTGCGTGGTTCGTTTCGTGCTTTCTTCTGGCTGGCTCCAGCACGATCCGCCCTGCCTGCGCCTTTCCGGTAAACACCGGCGCGGCACGCCTGGTCCCCTTCGAGTTACTGTATTCCCCGTTGGATTACAATAAACGGAATTCGCCCCCAGAGAAAGACTCTCTTCGTAATTCGCCGTGGGGTCGCTGGCTGCTCTCTGGAACTCCGATAGCGCTTCCCAAAGCCCGCGAGGGTCCAGCGGGAAGCGCTAGAAACTTGCCCACCCCTCTCCCCAGAGCTGGCCGGGGCTGAGGAAGGGCATCGGGGAGAGGAGCACCGGCACATTTGTAGCAAAAAAAAAAAAAAATTCCACCCAGGATAAATATCTGACTGCGCCATGACTGCACCGAGTCATGGGGGGCAACAACAGGATTGGGCACAGACAGCAGGTGGTGGGACAGGACTGGGGAGCTCCTGGTGATCTGGGCACTTTCTCCTTAATGTCACTGACCTGGCAGGAGCCGCTTTAGGACATGGATCCCAAAGGAGCAAGAGGTTCCAGGAAGCGCCGCTGATCTGCACAGTCCCCTTTGCCTGCTGCTGCCCCACAGGGAACAGGTCAGTGGAATATTTTCCTTCCTCCCTACCCCACCTTCCTCTCCTCCAGCAGCTGCTCTGTTCCTGCCACCCTCTCCCAGTGACCACAGTCCCCTTCCCAGGTCTTCCCCCTCCTCTGCCTTTAGCTTTCCTTCCACATCCCCTGCTGAACAGCTGAACCCTCCCACCTCCCTCTCCCACCCCACCATTTCCATCACCCTCCTCCCCTGCACATCTCACTTCTCTCCACTGAATCCTTCCCACTGCAGGGAGCTGCTGAGGAGCCTCATAGTCCATCCCTGGATTCTCCAAGCACTGACTCCCAATTTACTCTGACCACAGCCAGGGCCACATCCCACCACCTGCCCAGCGTCCATCCATGGAGGTGACCACCATGTCCCCATCTTCTGCCTCACCCACTGAAGGAGATAATATATGTGGGATTGATATCACTGATGTGGCTATGTGTGGTATCATGCTGTTCATCTGCCTCTGTGGGCTGGCTGGAATCTGGGTTCTCCTCTGCCTCCTCAGCTTCTGCAGGGACCCATCACACTCTGTATCTTCCATTTGGCTGTTGCAGACTTCAGCTTCCTGCTCCATCCTGCTTCACCTCCTGGAGCTAGTTTCCTGTTCCACTTTTATGCTCCTGGAGTAGCTGAGTTTGTTTTTCCCGCTCCTGCTGTTCTCTGCACCACGGGGCTCCACCTGCTGACAGCCATCGTTATCAAGAGGTGCACATCCATCCTCTGCCCACTCTGGTACCACTGCCACTGTCCCCAGCACCCATCAGGGTTCATGAGTGTCCTTCTCTGGGCCCTCCCCTTTGTTACAGTGGTTGTCCTGTGCCTGTCACTCAAGCCCCAGCACTGCCAGGTGTCTCTCATCTCCATGAATGCCCTCAACCTGCTGCTCTTTGCTCCAGCCATGGTCATTTCCAGCACAATTCTCCTCAGTGAAGTCAAGCCTGCCTCCCAGCAGCAGCAACCCAAGAGACTCAACATCATCCTCCTCACTGTGCTCTTCATCCTCCTCTTCACTCTCCCACTCAGCCTCTGGACTTTACTGCATCAGTTTGGCTGCACCATTGTGTCATCCCAAGTGGTTTTCTTGCTCACCTGCATCCACAGCACCATCGACCCCTTCATCTGCTTCTTGGTGGGGAGCAGGAGGCCCTGCTCCATGGGTCCCTAAGGAAGGCCCTCCTGAGAGTCTTTAGGGACACAGAAGAAAACACTGCCCACAGCAATGAACCCGTCATGGACACGGTGCCCTGAGCCTGTTGATTCCTGCCACTGCACTGCTGAATAACCCCGGGACGGCAGCTGAGGGATTCCTTGATGTGCCTGAACAATAAATACCCACAGTATCACCCTCTGTGTGCTGAAGCATCCTCACCATCTTTCCAGTCCACACGGAGATCTCAGAAATGCTCCTGGCCAATGAACTCCGCTGTGCTGCCGCTTAATATTAAACGTGGTTTTTAGCGATCCCCTGGCGGTGACTTTTTCAGCGATCTCAAACACTCGTTCGGAACACTCCCGCGGTGCATTCCTGCAGGAGAAGGGAGCAGCGGCGTGTGGGAGGGATGCCCTGAGGGAGCACACGGGAGCAGGGCTCTCCTCCCCTCTCCAGGCTGCTAGAGCTCCATGGCCAGGAGGGGCAGAGACACTGCCGGGAGCCGCGGGTGGAGCAGGGAAGGAGCGGGGCTCTCGGGGTGCAAGGTGGCCCGGGGGGAGGTGGCGGGGGGTGGTCTGGGATTTCCGAGGAGGTGAGCAAGGGTCAGGAGAGGAGCGAGGGGTCGCAGGGGTCTGGATGCTGCCGATCCCAGATCTCAGCACGGGAGGGCGGCAGAGCCCGAGCGCCGCGCTCGGAGCGCGGAGCCGCCGCTGGCCGGGAAAGCTGCGGCGTGGGAGAGGATGGAGAGCGGGATGGGAGCAGGGATGGGGTTGGGAGAGGGCGAGGAAGCTCAGCTGAGCGTCCTTCGGCCCTCTGGGGAGGCTTTGGCGATGATCCCAGAGCTCTTCCCAGAATGTGAAACGAGCACCCAGCGGCTTCATCAGCACTGCCGGCACTGCCGGCATTCCAATGCCACCGGCACCACCAGCGCCCTTCTGCTGCTGGGGGGACGCTGACCCCACAGGGAAGGGAAATGACGAATGGTAGAAGCCCTTCGGGAGAGGGGAGGCGGATGGAGAACGGGACATTCTGCAGGGAAGGAGTGTTTCTAATCAGGAGGAAATGATGAGCCAATTGCAAAACTCTTTGCAGACTGTCTGGCAAAAGCCACTTCCTTAATGGACAAAACTCAAAAAAATCATTATAAATTACTGTGTAGGAGTGCAGGCACACCCTGACATAGCCAAAGGTGCAATTTCCAATCCCCCTGTGATACCACCGAGCCTTGGGAAGCAGCACCAGTACAGGGCACAGAGAGGAGCCAGCAGGACTGGAGTGAGGAGCTCCTGGTGATCTGGGCACTTTCTCCTTCGTGTTACTGACCTGGCAGGAGCCGCTTTAGGACGTGGATCCCAAAGGAGCAAGAGGTTCCAGGAAGCGCCGCTGATCTGCACAGACCCCTTTGCCTGCTGCTGCCCCACAGGGAACAGGTCAGTGGAATGTTTTCCTTCCTCCCTGCCCCACCTTCCTCTCCTCCAGCAGCTGCTCTGCTCCTGCCACCCTCTCCCAGTGACCACAGTCCCCTCCCCAGCTCCCCCCTCCTCTGCCCTGTGCTTCCCTTCTGTGTCTCCTGGTGAACAGCCCAACCCTCTCCTACCCCACTCTTCCACCGCCCTCCTCCTCTGCACATCTCACTTCTCTCCACTGAATCCTTCCCACTGCAGGGAGCTGCTGAGGTGCTGCATGGTTTGTTCCTGGATTTTCCAACCACTGACTCCCAATTTACTCTGACCACAGCCAGGGCCACATCCCACCACCTGCCCAGCATCCATCCATGGAGGTGACCACCATGTCCCCATCTCCTGCCTCACCCACTGAGGGAGATGATGTCTGTGAGACAGATGTCACCAGCATGGCCATTAACAGTGTGACACTGCTCATCTGCCTCTGTGGGCTGGCTGGGAACGGGGCTGTGCTCTGCCTTCTCCAAAGGAACACCACCACCTTTTACATCACCAACCTGGCTTTCGCCAACTTCTCCTTCCTCCACTTTGCGGTCCACTCCACCCTGCTCGACCTGCTGGATGAATTGTCCTGCTCCACAGTCGTTCCCCTGGTGTTCCTGAGGGCACTTTTCCTGCTCCTGCTGTTCTCCTACAACATGGGGCTGTACCTGCTGACAGCCATCAGCATCGACGAGTGCACATCCACCCTCTACCCACTCTGGTACCGCTGCCGCCGTCCCCAGCGCCTGTCATGGGTGGTATGTGCCCTGCTCTGGGCCCTCTCATTTGCTGTCATTGTCACAGTGACTTCCCTGTGCCTGTCACAGGAGCACGAGCACTGCCAGGTATCTCTCATCACCATGTATGCCCTCAACCTCTTCCTCTTTGCTCCAGCCATGGTCATTTCCAGCACAGTCCTCCTCATTAAGGTCAAGTGTGGCTCCCAGCAGCAGCAACCCAAGAGACTCAACATTGTTATTTTCCTTGTTGTGCTCTTCTTCCTCCTCTTTGCTCTCCCCCTCAGCCTCTGCAATTTCCTGCAGCAGCTCGGTTACATCACTGTGTCCTCCCAGGTTGTTATCCTGCTCGCCTGCATCCACAGCACCATCAACCCCTTCATCTACTTCTTGGTGGGGAGGTGCTGGAGGCCCTGCTCTGTGGGGTCCCTCCGGCTCTCCCTCAGGAGGGTGTTTGAGGAGCCAGAAGAAAACACTGCCCACAGTGATGATCCTGCAATGGATACAGCCTTCCCAGCCTGATGATCCCTTCCACTGCTCTGCTGAAGGACCTTAGTGCAGAGTCACCTGATTAATAAATACCCTCAGTATCACCTTCCCTGTGGTGCTGTATTCCTGCAGGAGAAGGGAGCAGAGGCCATGCCAAGGGCCATGTGTCAGGGATGTTCTGCAGGGAGCACATTCCTCCTCCCTCAGGGGTCCTAGAGCACTGTTCCCAAAATGCATCCTTCCCACCACTGTGACCCCAAAATTCCCCCTGGCACCTGGGTCCTTCATCCCACTGAGGTCTAATATCAACAAACAGCACCGTTAACCCTGAGCTGCCTTTGCCCGCTCTGCCAGCGCTTCCCGGCTTCCCCTGGCTCCTGCTGCCAGCCGGGAATGTGGCTGGAAGGAAGGGACACTCCCATGGCTTGTGCTCTCTGGCACAACCATGATCTCCAGTGCCCAGAGCTGGGCTGGCACCGGCACAGCTGGCATGGACAGGATGGACCAGGAGCTCAACATTCCCTGTGAGTGCTTTGTGAGTGTCACAGCAAAGATCTCCCCAGAGATATTTCGTTTTTAATTTTGTGAGCCAGATGCAAAGGTCTCTCAGCCTTCAGAAATTCTTCCTCTCCACTGCCTTCAGCTGCCCCCTAAGCAGGCTCCGATGGTGCAGCAGCAAGGAGAGGAGAAGGCCGTGGTCCTCAGCACAGCCACCCCCTTCCAGGAGCAGGGTGGCACCTGTGTTTGTCACCATGGGCTCCACGGGGCATCACCCTGCTTCCTGTGGCTTTGCTGAGGTCACCAGCCCCACCACATCCCACATCTTTTCTCCAGCCCCACCACATCCCACATCTTTTCTCCAGCCCCACCACATCCCACACCTTCCCACCACATCTTCCCACCATCTCCATCATGTCCCACACGTCCCACACAACCTCCCATCCCACTCCCCATGCAGCCCACGCACCTCCCATCCTTCCCATCTCTCCCAGCCCCATGCCTGAGGTTGCAGTCCCTCCCCACGGGCTGCTCACTCCAGACTGCCTCATACGGTTTTTGGGGACTGTTTCCCTGGGACGTTCCCCTCCAGATCTTTACCCGTGGTGTCCCGCCCCCCAGCCTCCTTGGAGAGGGACGAGAGGCGACAGCGGGATGGATCCATCAGCTTTTATTGGGGAGAAGGAGCGCGGAATGGCCAGGAGTGGACACCCTGCCGGGGATCCCGGGTGGAGCGGGGCTGTCAGGGGCGAAGGCGGCCCTGGGTGGGGCGGTGGGGGGGAATTTGGGATGTCAGACGGGATCGGGAAGGGTCCGGATGCCGGCATCCCAAACATTCCCACAGGAGGGCAGCAGAGCCCGACGGATCGCGCTCGGAGCGGACGGCAGCTGGGAAACCTGCGGGACGGGACGGGACGGGACGGGATGGGACGGGACGGGACGGGATGGGATGGGATGGGATGGGAACAGTGAACAGGAAAGGGGAGCTGAGATGAGGATGGTTTGGGGATAAGACTGGGGTGGGAATGTGGATGGGATGTGGATGCAATGATAGCGATAGGGACAGGGAGAGGGTTAGGGATAGGGATAGACACAACAACACGGATCAGTGGGATGGGAAAAAGGGATGGAAAAGCTATGGGATGCATCCTGACTCACAGCTGCAGGAAGATGACCTGCAGGCCTGGCTGGGAGCAAGAGTGGACAGCTGAGCATGAAGACAGCATGGACAGCACAGCCGGTGGGACCACAGTGGCCTCTCATCTGGACGTTGTGGTGATCCCTGTCTCCTCAAAGACCCTCTGGAAGGCGACCTGGAGGGACACCATGGAGCAGTGCCTCCAGCAGCTCCCCACCAAGAAGTAGATGAAGGGGTTGATGCTGCTGTTGATGCAGGCAAGCAGGAAAACCACCTGGGAGGGCACACAGCTGGGGCTGAACTGTTGCAGGAAATTGCAGAGGCTGAGGGGCACTACAAAGAGGAGGAAGAAGAGCACCGTGAGGAAGATAACAATGTAGAGTCTCTTAGGCTGACGTCTCTTGGAGCCACACTGGACCTTGATGAAGAGGATCACATTGGAGATGACCATGGGTGAGACAAAGATGAGGAAGCTGAGGGAGTGCATGGAGATGAGAGCCACCCGGCAGTGCTCGTACTCCTGTGACATGCACAGGGAGATCACCACGACCATGACAACGATGCAGAGAGCCCAGAGCAGGGCACACACCACCCATGACAGGCACTGGGGACGGCGGCAGCGGTACCAGAGTGGGAAGAGGATTGAACCACACCTCTCGATGCTGATGGCTGTCAGCAGGTACAGCCCCATGTTGTAGGAGAACAGCGACAGCAGGAGAAGGGGCCTCTGGTACTTCAGGGGCACTACAGTGGAGCAGGACGCATCCTCCAGCAGGTAGAGCACGGAGGAGGGGATCATGGACAGGAGGAAGATGAAGTCGGCGATGGCCAGGTTGAGGATGTAGACAGTGATGGGGTTCCTGCGGATGTGGAATCCAAGGAGCCAGAGCACAACCCCGTTCCCAACCAGCCCACAGAGGCAGATGAGCAGAGTGACACCGTCTATGGCCACATCGGTGACATAGATCTCACAGGAGTCATCCACTTCGGTGTCCGTCGCGGGAGATGAGGGAGGTGGGAAGGTCTGGTTCAGCTCCATGGTGGAAGGTGGGATGTGGTCCCCAGCTGTGGTCAGAGCAGAGGAGGGTTAGTGGGATGTGACAAAGAGGGGGATCCTGGTGAGGTGGCACAACAGGGCTGGGGACAGGGGGGCCTTGGGATGGATAGGGGTGAGGTGAGGGCAGAGGGAGGGTTGGATCAATCCAGTCATCCCAATTAAGGACAACCGTGGGAGTAGTGAGAGGGACTTTGGGGACATCCAGGGAGAAACAAGCAGTGCCCAGGGCTGGACTCTGGTCCCAGCCCCCTACCTTTCCTTGGGGCCAACCTGTTGGTGTGTCCAAGCAGGGCAAGCTCCCTCCCTCCGGTGCTCCTTGCCACGGTCTTCTCCAGTCAGGAAAACTGAGGTCTCCACGTCCTCAGAAGCTCCAAGCAGCCTATTTGTCCCCAAATAAAGCTGCTTTTTGGGGCGTTTCTGCACAATCACGGGTCAGCACTGAGAGCACTGGGCAGCTGCACACAGGCTGCCTCTTCTCCCATCAAAATTCTGTTTTGCGGGAAAGGAAATGTTTTTTCTGAGCAAATACCCAGAGGACGAACACTGCAGCAGTTACATCTCACTTTGAAAGAATCTTGATGCTTTTAGGATTCAACCTGAAATCTCATTAGACTGGTAATTGCCACCTTCCTAATTGTTTGATGTTGCTCCAGCCTCCTCTCCCCATGCTGCCCCGATGCTGGCATCCTTCTGAGATTGTTCATTACCGCATTTGTGCATTTTTCTCCCAGCCTCCCAGCATGAGAATCCCTCTCCTCTGATTCATCCTGCACCAGGCCTGGGGGAGAGTTTGGAATTTGTTGCCTGAGCCATCAGTTTGGATTCACACCAATTGGTCTGGGGGCTCCAGAGCCCTCCTGGACTGGCTGGTACCCACTGAGAGAGCCTGGAGAGGCTGGTGGCAGACGGGGGGATGGCAGGGGGCAGCACACACGACCCCACATCCCTCCCTGCAACCCCACACCAGAAGCACCCATTCAGCCCCACCGAAGTTTTGGGGTGGCAGAAGAGGTGAAAGGGTCTTGGGGACATCCCAACAGGGGCATGGGGGACATCACTGCTGGGATGGCACGTCCCAGAGCAAAGCGGGGTGTCACAGCCTGTCCCACCTGTGTTGGGATCACTAGGAAAAGACAGGAGCTGGTGGGTGCCCCTCACACAGGTGCCAGGGACAGAGACTCCAGCATGGCACAGCACGGGTGTGACAGCAGGGGTGGCAGTGACAGCAGGGCCAGGGCAGTGAGTCACCCCCCTGGTGCCTCACTCCACCCCTGGACTTTGCCTCCTGCGATGCTCAGGGCAATAAATCCCAGGCTGGGAGGCGGGATTGGGGCGTCGGGAGGGCGCAGGGGTCCCGTCCCTGTGGGCTGCGCTGTGCAGGGGGATCTGCACGAGTGGGGTTGGGATGGGGAGTGGCGTCAGGAGTGGGATGGGAATGAGTGTGCCAGAGGCAGCGGGCAGCAGTGCGAGGGAGCGTCGCGCAGGCAGGCAGGACATGCAGGTGGCAGTGTGACGCTTCTGCACCGCGAGGCTCTGCCGGGAGAAGGTCACCTGTGTGCCAGGACACTGTACGTGTGTCCCGGCCGCTGTCACCGCCGCGGCCCCAGCCCCGTGGCGGGCGGGCCCGGCGGGCGGGTGACAGCCGCACCCTGCAGCGGGCGGGCGCCTCCCGCCTCCCCGTCCCCATCCCTGTCCCCGCCGAGGCCACTCGGGCTCCGTGGCCTCAGCGGACACCCCCATGCAGCGGGAGCGTGGGGAGCAGAGCCCAGGAGCCCCCGAAACCGAGGTCAAGGCTGTCATCGTGGGGGATGGCGGCTGCGGGAAGACGTCCCTGCTGGTGGCCTTCGCCAAAGGGGACTTCCCCAAGGTACCGGGATGTCTGTCCCCTGGTGGGTGGGTGGCACTGTCCCTGTGCGGGAGTGGTGACGGGCAAAGGGCGGTGGGACGGACACGGTGGCGGCAGCGGGGCTGTTTGAAGTGGGACATGGGGACACAGGGGTGGCCCAGCCTGGGGCTGATGGGGGTCTGTGACACCTCTGCCTCTCTTGGGGGGTCATGGGGAGGAGCAGGGTTTGTCCCTCCGTGAGGGCACATAAAGGACTCAGGGAGTGCAGGGAGGCAGCCACAGAGGCCCCAGAACCCCTGTCCTGAATCCCCAGGTCCCCCTGGGGCATCCATGTGCCCTGGGATGGGGGACGAGGGTGGGTCCCATCCCACTGCCCCAGGGAGTAAGCACAATTCCCACTCCCTGTTTCCCTCCCTGTGCTCTGTTCTGGCCCCTCTGGGGTCCCCTCTGTCGCTGCCCCCCACAGCTGCCGGTGTGACCTGCATCCCTGTCCCCTGCCAGGTCTATGTCCCCACCGTGTTCGAGAAGTACACGGCGTCCCTCCAGGTTTCCGGCAAGCCCGTGAAGATCCACCTGTGGGACACAGCAGGTGGGACACGAGGGGACAGGGTGGGCAGTTGCGCCCCCCACTCTCCCACCCGGGTGTTTCGGGGTGTCCCACACTCGCGGTCATGCCTTGGTGGGGTGTCCCCTCCAAGGGGTCCCCATGACCGTGGGAGAGGGGGGTTAACCCACAGCCATCCCCACAGATGTCACTTTCACGGTCCCAGGCTGGCGTGTAATGGTTTCCTTCTCCGCCCGGCAGGCCAGGAAGACTATGACAGGCTTCGCCCTCTGTCCTATTCAGACGCCAACGTTGTCCTCATGTGCTTTGATGTCACCGACTCCAGCAGCTTTGACAACATCCTAACAAAGGTAACGCCACCCCGGGGTGCTGCCCGTCCCCTGTGCCCATCCCTGGGTGGCATGTGCCCATCCCGGGGTGACATGTCCCCGCACAGTGGTACCCGGAGGTGAACCACTTCTGCAAGGGGGTCCCGGTGCTGCTGGTGGGCTGCAAGACGGACCTGCGGCAGGACCAGGAGGTGCTGCAGAAGCTGAAGGACGGACGGATGGAGCCCGTCTCCCGCCAGCAGGTGGGTGCCACCTCCAGTGACACGGCACGGGACAGGACAGGGGTGGTCCCCAGCACGGGATAGTGGGACAGCAGGGTCCCCTGAGGGGGTCTGACTCTGTGTGTCCCCGCAGGGAGAGGCCATGGCCCGGCAGGTCCGCGCCGTGTCCTACATGGAATGCTCGGCCAGGTACCAGGATAACGTCGGGAACATCTTTGTGACAGCCTGCAATGCCGCCATCAGTGCCGCCCGCCGCAGGCAGCGCAAGGCGGGACCCAGGAGGGTCTGCCTGATCCTCTGAGCCCCCCGGCAAGGCACAGCCCCCCAGGATCTCCTGCTGTCCCCGAGCTCCGACCGCACCACGGCTGCTGCCACACCTCTGCCTCCGCCACCACCGGGATGCCGCTGCCACCCTCCCTGCCCGGGGCTGGCACCGCTGGTCACCACGGGGGGACAGCAGGAAAGCTTTCCTTGGCACAAACTGTCACGCCTGGATCCCAGAGACCTGTGCCACCACGGCTGCCAGCATGCCCTGCCAGCCGGGCTCTGGGGGCAGAGAACTGATTTGGGGCTCCCCTTCCCGCTGGCAGGCCAGCGCCGGAGGGTGACACGGGGTGACTGCAGGGCGATCTTCTGCCATTAAAGTGACACAAAACTCATCGGCGTGAAGGGTCCCTGGGGCAGGAGCAGCTCCTGCACGGCCTGGGGACATCGGGGACTCCAGGTGGGCGTCAGGGACATGGTGTGGGTGTTGGGGTCCCACCATGGGCCCGGGGTGGATGAGAGACCACTGGGATGGGGTCACCTGCTGATTTTGGGCTGAGGTGTATGTGAGCATGTCCAGGTGTGTGCTGCACATACAGGTCTACAACCATATGTATAGTTATATATATATATATGTTTTTTAATATATATTACCGTATAATGTATATCTAACTATATAGCTACTTCATAACCACCCATATCACTATATTTATTTTATATAGCACTGCATACATTTAGGTTATGACTATTTATATAACTATGTATAGTTTATAAAAACATTGTTAATGTCTGTAGCGTATAACTAAGGAGCTGTACGTAGTTACCCAGGTGGATGTAGGTACCTGCCGGTGTCTCTGCATTCAGACCCCCACACAGGCAGCCGCGAAGCCCGCGGGGACACCGAGGGGCCACGACCCCCCCAAAATCCCACCGGGGCTCCCCCCCCTCTCCGCCCCACCGGCAGGGGCGTGGCCACGCGGCGGAGGGGGCGTGGTCACTCGGTGGGCGTGGCCTGTGGGCGAGTGGGCGTGGCCGGGCCCGAGCCGCGCGCGCGCAGGGCGGAGCGGGGCGGGGCCGGGCTGGGGAGCGCACGGCGCAGGCGCGGCGCGCGGGTTGCCGGGGGGGGGGGGGGAGGAGGGGGCGCCCGTGCGTGCGGCGCGTGCGCGCCGCGTCGGTGTGTATGTGAGGCTCTGACGGGTTCAAAATGGCGGCGGCGGCTCCTGTGTGAGGAGGGGGAACCGCGTCCCGGCCGGGGGGCGGCAGCGCCGGCGGAGCCCCGGCGCTCGGCGGCGGGGGGGGTGCGGTGGTGGTGGAGGCGGCGGCGGCGGCGGGGGGACGCGGGCCGCGGCGGCGGGGGGCGGCCGGCGGGGCTGTCAGCGCCTGCTGCCCGCGCCGAGAGCGGCGGGGCCGGGGGCGCGGCGGGGCCGGGGCGCGATCGCTGCTGACCGGGGGGTTCCTCCTCCTCCTCCGTCTGTTCTGTTTCCCCCCCCACCCCGTGCCGGCGGTAGAAGAGGACAAAGGCGCAGGAGAGACCTGGTGAGCACCGCGGGGGTCACCGGCGACCCCCGAGTTCTTGCGGGGTCCCGGAGCGCGGCCGAGCGGGCGCGGGCGCGGGCGGGTCTCCCCTTGCCGGGCCCCGGGAGGCCGCGTTGGGAAGTTGGGGAGGGGGCGGCGGGTGCCGGCTGACAGCTCCCCGAGGACCCTCCCTCCCTCCCGCCTCCCATCCCAGCGGGGCCGCGCTGGGGTGGCCCGGCGGGCCGGGGGTTGCCCCCTGCCCCGCGGCGGGGCCGGCGCGCTGAGCTCCGCTTGTCCGGTTGTTTATAAACAGTTCAGCAAGTGTGGGGAAACTGCCGCCCTCGGCCGAGGCGGGAGCCCTGGTGCCGTGGTTCCAAGGGAGGCAGGGGTGGGGAGGGTGCTGCCGGGACTGGGAATGATGTTCTGTCGAAGCCGGGGTCGGGGAGGAGCAGGATGGAGTGAGTTCTCTCTGCGTGGTCGTAGAGGTTCTGTAACACTACGAGAGAGGTGGCGGATCCCTTTCCTCGATCCCATTCCCCGATTCTCCTCGCCGAAGGTCCGACTTAGGCATAGTCCCGGGTATTAAGAGCCGTGCCATACCCAGGCTTTGGTTGGTTTCTGTCCCTTGAAAAAAAAAGTGTAGGTGCCATCTGACGCCCTGGGAGGTTTTCCCAGGTTGGTGCGTGGTGTCACAAGGTGACACATTTGGAGAGTTCAGCATTTAGGTCTCCTCCAGCCCGGAGTTAGGTCTCTTAACTGCTTCCCTGCTTGGGTGCTGTATGTAGGAGATCCCACATGCCTTCCTTGCTCGTGGGAGATGTCCTGTACCACTGTAGTTTCTCCCAGGTGCCACGGTGCAGGATATCCCAAGGAAAGTGATCGTGTTGTTTGGAGAAGTTGGCTCTCTAGTGTTTAATTTTGAAGAAGCTGGGGTTTTACAGCGCCTTCCCTGGTTTTTATCCCGTTGTGGGCCAGTGGAGCTGCTGGTGGTAGTGTGGAGCCAAGGTGGGAGACCTGCAGCTCCTGTTGTGTTACGGAAGAGCTGGTGAAGTCATTTACCCTGACATTTATTCTAAGTTAGAATAGGAACCTTAAAAGTTGGGCTTGGCTCATCCACTGCATTCTCTCAGCCCCCAGAGCAGGGTGGGGTTGGCCCCAAAAGGAGAAGGGAAGTGAGGGGTGTGGGTGTCCCTGTGCCCTTTTTCACTGTTTGCCTCTGGCTTCCAAGGAGGAAGAGGACGACGACAGCAGTCCCGGCGTGTCCTTCTCGCTCTCTTCCGAGGAGTCGGAGATGGAGCCCGAGGAAGAACGGATCCGTTACAGCCAAAGACTGGTCAGTAGTGGCCTTAAAACAATCCTCTTCCAGTCTTGCTTCTGTTGCAGCTGGAGGAGGGAAAGGCTTTTCCTGGCAACAGGGCTGAGCACGCTGAACACCCCCAACAGGCTGGTGGTGGATGGATGCAGCCTGCACAGAGGTGTGGGCTTGGCTTAGTGGCTTTGTGGGTCCTTTTGTGTCACCAGGTTTGTCCTAATGAAGGGAATTTGGCTGCTGAGCTCTGGAAAGGGGGGTTGGAGGCTGAAGCTGGGAAAGGAGCTTTGGGATAGGAACTAGAAACTGGTGTCAGTGTAGTTTCTCTGTCACAACAGAGTTTTTTCTGTGTGTCTGTGACAAACAGAGGACCTGAAACACTGTGTGTTACCAATCTTGATTTGAGTAGTTGTGAAAGCTGAGGGAACCAGCTCCAACTTCAAGCTCCAGTTTACCTGTGCCTCTTCCCAGTGTTTTCTTCTGAAAGGAGCTGTTCCAGCATTCGGGTCCCAGTCAGGCCCTGTCAGGAGCTCTGGTGTTTGTGCTGGGACTGCATGAATCCAATGGTCTGGAAATTCAGCTATAACTGGGAACAGCTTGGGGACTCTGCTCTTAGAGTCTGAGGTGATATTCCCAGAGATGCCAGGGAGGGAGGGAGGGAAGCTGCTGTGCCTCCCACGCTGTTTTGAGGCAGTTGCAAGCCCCCAGGGAGGGCAAGTGGCAGCTCTGTGGTGGAGTCCCTCTCTGAGTCACAGCAATACCTGTATCCTCACCTTCAAGGTGCTGCCCATAAGGGTGAATCCTTATCCTTTAATTCTCTGGGAACATTTGGTGTGAGGCTCTGTGGTTCTTGGCATTAAGCTTTGTCCTCAAGATGAGCAGTGCTGGGGAGTTCCCAAGTGCTTCGGTGGATGTTTTAATTTGGCATCAGCAGCAGTCCCACCTCCTTCCTCATCCTGACACATTTATTCCCGCAGCTGTGCAGGATGCAGCTCAAGGTGCTGAGTTGACTGGGGAGTGATCCAGGACTAACCCAAAACATCTGGCAGGTGAAGGGGGCTATCAGCCAGGAACTTGTCAGTTTAAAAATGCTTATCATCTCTCATATAAAAATCAGGAGGAGTTGGTGTCCTGGTGCGGGTGGGCTGGGCTCCAGCAGAATGTGCTAAGCTGGATAAATGCCTGCAGGCTGATGAGCTCCATGTGCTTAAGGGGTTTGGGAAGGCACATGGGCAGCAGAGTGAGGCTCACCTGGACTTGTGTGGCCTCTTGTGTGTGTGTTGTCTGTGCTGGCCTGAGGCCCAGGGAGGAGGCATGACCTCTGTGTGGTGGGTAAGGCTTAACTCCTACCTCCTGCCATGCTTTTCCTGGAAACTTCCAGCTCATTATGTGCTCCTGCTGTGTCAGTGACGCTCTCTTGCTGAAGGACCCTTAAAAGATGATTATTTTTCTTCTGTAGAGCGTTATTTGACTTACTCGAATATCCCACATATGCCTTGGACTTGGGAGCTGGGTTAGTAGGCCTAAATGAGAAAATCCAAGTCGGGAAGTAGTGAGCTGGTGGTACAGTGTGTTTCTGCTGCTGTCAGCTGTGTGACTGGGGCTCAATTAGCAAAAAATAAACATATTAAAAAAAAAAAACAATCCAGGTGTGATAGTAGTTCTACCAGCCAAACAACCTGGACCAGAACAGTGTATGGTGGTGAAGGAGCTGAATTAATTGTGTGGTTTGATGGTACCAGCTGAAATGTCAGAGGCTGTTTGTTCTCTGGTGTGTCAGGTAATCACACTGACAGCATCTTTCTCCTGACCAGTTTCTATCAGGACATGGAGGAAATCTTGAGTGTTCTGTGTTACTTTGTTTAGTTGGCACTAATGTTGATTTCCCCTGCTTCAACAAAAATCTGATGTGTGTCTGTTTTGTGAATGAGTTTATCAGTGTTGGTGAAAGATTTGGGTTTGGAGGAGGATTTCACCTCTGCTTCAGGTGTGGTCACGTTCCTGCAGGAATTCTCTGCCAGGTCACACATGCCTGTGTGGCACAATGCCACTTTGATAAGACGGGTTGTAGTGCTCTAACTGTACATTCTTCCTAGTTCAGGCTCTGCATCCATGACTCCCAGGATAACACAGGCCTGGGTGAGTTGCTCTGGACTCAGGGATATCACTGTGAGGATGTCTTGGATGCACCCATCCAAGGCCACCTGTGAGAGAAGCTGTGTCCTGCTGAGCTGTGGGAGGCTCATACAGGCAGTGGATGATGCCGAGTGTGGAGAGGACACAGAGGAGCAAGTTATGGGATATCCATGCTCCTCACCCAGAGACTGGGAGCAGCGGAGGTGGGATTTGCAGGCACTGTGGAGTAGTTTTCTGCTAATTGTGCCTGAGTGTTCTGCCCAGCTCCATAAGGAGGCAGTTCTTGGGGCTTGGGCCGAGGTGCCAGCATTTCAAGCTGGAGTTGCGTGTTTTGCAGGCCCTTAATGGAGGAGCTGAAATGCTCTATTGTGTCCTGAGCCTGAGTGACAGTCCAGCCCTGGCACTAACAATGCCACAGTCCCAGTCTGAGACTTGGAAGTCTTTGCTGGCTGTCGCTGGGTGGTTGCACCCAGCCCATGTCACACCAGGCTGTTGCGCTCCCCATGAGGAGCCTGGACTCCTTAAAGGCTCTGGAGAGAAAGATCCATTAGCCTGCTGTTCACAGAGGCTGCCTGTTCTTCTGCAGAGCAGTCCTGCCATATTCCTGGGTGCTGGAAGTGTGAGGAAATCTCACCTGCCTGCTCCAGGGCTCATTTTGGCAGGCCTGTGCTGTGAACTGAGACTAGCAAGGCCCTGTGAATTGCAAGCTGGGATTAGCACATTACCACAGTGCTGCCATGTGCTTGCAGCGACAATGTTCAGGGTGAGAAATGAAGGGCAGCAACACTGGATCACTTCGGAATGACTTGGGAGCACAGCAGGAGAGTGCC